TTTGTGGAGACGCTCCGGCAGGAGCACCTGCACAACCGCCTGGATTGGCTGCAGGTGGGAGCGGGGCGAGGGGGGAGGGGCTGGTGTGCTGGGAACCGGGAAAGTGTACGACATAAAACACAACCTGCGTAAGAAAAGCGGGAGATAGAGCGTGTCAGTATTTGTCAGCCACACGCCCTAAGCTGCCATGTACATTCCCCACCACCACCCCCATTGCAAGACCCCCCAAAAACTCCCGCATTTCTCCTCTCCCCGTCTCTCTCCCCACCCCCCGCACACACACGTTACTGAAATACCCCCTCCCCCCTCCCCCCCCAACCCCCCCTGCCATCCNCCTTNTCCGCTCCCNAAGNCCATCNAGGACCACGTGCTGGACTGGGCCGAGGCGGGCAGCTTCACCACCATAGGGCCCACTGCGCTGCGTAACGCCATGCTGAAGGCACAACCCGACACGGACGTGGGAACACAGAGGGAGATGCTGCGGCGTGTGTTTGGGCCGGCGGGGGCGGCGGTGGCGCAGCCGCCCGGTGAGGCTGGGTGGGGGGACGCGGAGGGGGAGAGGGGGCCCACGGGGCGGGAGGAGGGACGTCGGCGGGTTAGACAGATGCCCACATACATAGATACATACATAGATACATACATACATACATACATACATACATACATACATACATACATACATACATACATACATACATACATACATACATACATACATACATACATACATACATACATACATACATACATACATCATGTGGGAGGGGGTTGAAGAGGAGGGGAAGGACAGGGCTCATGTACAAGTGCGTGCGTGTGTATGTTTGTCTACGCATCCCTTGACAGCCCTTTTACACACACACACACACACACAAACCCCGACTTCCCGGACACTGTAAAACCCAAGGTCAACCCCCCAACCCACCTCACCTCCTCTCTCCCCCAATGTCCCCAGGCGAGAAGCCCGTCCGCGGCTCCCGGGCCTCCAAGACCAAGGACGAGGTGGCCCTGGCCCAACCTCTGGAGGTGGCCCTGCGCAAGTTGCGGCAGGAGCGGCCGGAGGGTATGGTGGGGGTGACACAGGCCATGGAGATGTTGTCGGCGGCCCGGGCGCTCAAGGGCGGAGGGGGGACACGGAGCAGCTCACCGCGGCGGGAGAGGAGCTCGATGGGCGGGTTGCTGTCCGGGGGGGTCAGCGGGGAACGCAGCTCCGGAACCGATATGGGTCCCGGCGAGCCGTCGTACTTGGATGGCGGGGGAGGAGGAAGGCGGGAGGGCAGCGGTGTGGTGTGGGCGGATTCGGAGCCTAGTTTGGTAATGGAGGCATCGCGGCCGTTGCGGGGTGTGGAGTTTGAGGCGGGGGTTGGGGGCGGAGGGGGGCCCCCCGGGGGGCTGAGCGGGGAGTTGTCTACGCAGGGGAGCACCCCTGGAGTCGTGGGGTGACGTACGGACGTACGGGCGTATGGATGAGGTTTGGATTAAGCTCTATACCCCGGTGCCGGGGCGAGGGGTTCGAGATTGCGCTGGAGGTTGTGAAGGTGCCTCCCCCGGCCCCGGCCCTCTGTGTTTCGACACGGGCAGTACGGTGTAAGGCGCATGTTCTTGTTCTTATTGTTATTGTGTGTGTGAGGCAGGGGGGGGTAGCTGGGCGGGACATTGAGCTGCCGCATCTCCGACCTCACTGGCAGGATGGTGATGACGGAGGGGGAGGACAAACCCCGACGGGATTGGGGTTTGGGGGATTACACACGGGGGGGGTTAAGGGCTGATGACGCGAGTGTGCATGCAGGCAGGCGGGGCACTAGGTGCTCGGGTTTTTTCAATGTCCCGCGGTTCCAGGTGCTGAATATAGGGTCATCTTTCCCCCCGGAAGCCGGTAGGGTTGTGATGGTGGCTAGCACTCGCGGCCGGGGGAGGGGTGGGGAAGGGGAGATGTTTGTGGCTGATGGGCGGCAGCCCGGATGGCCCTGGGGGCACCGGGGGCTTCCAGTGACGATGACGATGCTGATGGTGGCGGTGATGACCCCGTTGCGGAGCTTGCATTGGTAGAGGCGAGGGGATACTGGACTGTGGCCCGAGCTGCGGGGTAGCGTAATGTGCATGGCTCAGCCGCCTGCGGGTCGTTATCAGAGCTGGGGAGTGACAGAGGGGCAGGCAGGCGGTTTCACGGGTGTGCGCTTGCTGGCGGCAGAACGGCAGGTTGCCTGGCTGGCCGGGGGGCCGCATCCGTTGTCTGTCTCATTGCATGGCGGCCTTTCTGGTGTGTATGTACGTATGATGTCGTCTGTTTGAGGATTTCAGCTTACAAGGCACTCGTATGTTTGAGGGACTGACTTACTGCCGCACGAATTGACGTCATGCGAGCTTTGAGGTTGGGATTAGGCGCTGTGTGCCTCGGGGGCCAAGGGGAGGGGGCTTGTGTGACTACGGCGCCAGCGCCCCGTGGGGCCCCGGGCATTGTGGGTTTTTCCTAACGGAGACGAACTGGACTGCGGGTGTTGTGGCTGGCCACTTCTCTCTCCACACATATACGCACACACGCACGCATAGGCGAGGTGACGTCGCTTGCATTGCCAGCTTATCATCACGCCGGATGACATGTCACGCAGTGTCGCGTCTCCAAGGACGACAAACACAGTTTGCAACCTCCCCAACTTGCCGTACAGCATTGCATGCCACTGGATGTGCTGTCAGTTGCTTCTGCGGGCCCGTGTGTGTCGGGGTGGGGGAGGGGGGGAAGAAGGGGGAGGGGATCGGCGGAGGGGGAACATCGTGATCGTGTGGCTACAAGGGGGACGAAATGCCTGCAGCGCCAACGGCAGTCCCCTTCCCGCGTCTTCGTGACCCTGAGGCCGACTGGCCCTTTCTTCAATGCGTGGCTGGGGAAGCCGCCATTATGTGGGAACTTAATGCCGTACAGTAACAGAACAACTGCAACAACTGCACCCTTCCCAGGGCTGCCTGCTCCTCGTGCCGGTGCTGCACACGCACGGCTCGATTCAGCCGCCACTCCATTTTTTTATTGTTGTGAACCCCGAAATAAATGTTTAGCTGGAGGCCTTGGTGTGATGGTGGAAGCACTCCGCAAAACGTTGTCGTTGATTGATACTCATTGGTGCGGTGTAAGTGTACACCTGAAGGTTGTGTATTATGCGTGAAATTGCGAACCCCGTCTCTCTGCCAGAGACATCAGTGCTGTGTGGCACGCTTTCGGGAAAAGAAACATTTCGCAACCCTTTCTGCCGAGCTGAAGCCCCAATGCCTGCAGATGCCCCCTGCAGATTACATCCCGCCACTGTAATAACGTCCCTACGGAGGGAGCCAACTTGTCCTGCCACCTGTATCCTCCTCACTGGACAACAGTATGCCGGTTCCTCTCTGGCATGCATGTGCTCGCTTACGGAAGTGCGGTGGAAAGGGGGGCCCCAGGAGATATCTGCGGCTCCAAAAGGAAAGGCCTGACTGGGTAAGACACAAAAAACGACCAAACACCGGCGCCGAGACCCCCCCCTCCAACACACCGAGACGCTCACCCCACCACCCTTCCCTTTTCCCTTTCCCTGCTCTCCCCGCACAACACAACACTAGATACGCACGCCCGAGGAACACCGCTGCAGCAGAAGCAGCAGCAGCAGCAGCGCCGCAGTTCTCACCAAACTGTGATAACATAATTCCGCTGATAATGACTTCCTGAGGAGTGCAAGTGGTTTGAGCCCACATGAATAGGTGTACTGGGGGCCCAACCCGATCTTGTCCGTGTCCACCGCATACGGTGTGTCACCCACCCCTTGACATTGCAATTTACTGACGCACACACACACCACCACAAAGTTGGTTGGTTCGGCCGTTCAGGAGGACCAGCAGCAGCAGCAGCACCCGACGTAAACCCAACCACCCCAGCCGCCTGGAGGTCCGCATTGGGTGCTTGGCGACAGGGGTCATGCCTCCGTCTCCAAACACCACCCAACCAACTTTTTTTAAACACTCCTACCCAACCCTACGGTGAGGCCTTAGCCAGCAGGCAAGCGCGTTGTGCATATCCCCATTAACACCTACGACGACTTCCACATAACTCCGGAGACGCGGGAGACACCAAAACAGTCTAACAGGTGAAATAAACACGAATTCCTTTGTCCTCGTATCTTCGTCTCCTTCCTGCTTAGGGCTTACGAAGCCCTGCAGGACCCCTCATCCCGGACCTCATATCCTAACAGCTGCTGCTGCCGCTGCTGCTGCAGCCAACGCACCATAACGAGCGGGCCCCACCGCCACCACCTCTCATCACCACATTGCCACCACCTCTCATCACCACATTGCCACCACCTCTCATCACCACATTGCCACCACCTCTCATCACCACATTGCCACCACCTCTCATCACCACCACCACCACCACCACCACCAGCAACAACAGCTTACTGCGATCAGTAGCAATTATAACCACCACCGCGACAAGACGACGACACCACACTCACCGAAACGCACAACACGCACGCCATTTGCAATTCTGCTCACCGTTCAATCCGCACCGTCCCATACCTGTATGTATGCCTGTGGCCTTCCTGCGGGGTCCTGGACGCCGGGGTCCTTGGATCCTCTCACGCCCTTCCTTCTCCCCCGCCTGCAATCCCCACCACCCACCACTACTACCCTCCATAAAAGTAATCAAACGCAATCAGACCAGATCCGGCCCGCCCTAACCCTTCCTGCCGTTCTTCACCACAGTCGCTCTTCCCATTTGTAAAACTAAGACTACACCGCGAAACACAGCCGAGCTCGCTGTCCAAACTAACCTGTGTCCATTTTTACCCCACCAGACAACTCCTTCACCCCACAACGATCTACCAGTGACCTCCCACTCCCACTACAGGTCCTCTCTCCCCCATTCGCCGTCGCCGGGCTTTCCCCACCCCTCGCTCCCCGCTCACGTCACAGTGGGCGCCACTGCCGCGGCCTCGTAGTGCGTCGCCATGCGCTGCATCCTCGCGATGAGGAAGTACACGTACAAGTGGATGAGCACCGCGTACAGGAACACCGCCACGCGAGCCAGAGGGTACTGTCGAAGGACGAAGGACGTGGTGGAGGCCGTGGAGTCCAAAAAGTTGGCTGCGGCCTTGACGGCTCGTCCCACTCGGTTGTGTCGTACCAGGCGCTGGTACGGCTCCCCCAAGGCGTCCATGGGGATGACGTCATGTGGGGAAGAGCCATCGACGCCGCCGCCGCCGTGACCGAGGCCGCGACCAATACCGCCTTGTTGTACGGCTTGGCGGCTGAGCTTGGCCAGCTCCTGCATGTGCATGGGTGTGCAATTTATGTGTATGCGGCAGCGATGGGTCCCAAGGGGGAAAACGTGTGCGGAAAAGCGAGAGGAATCAGCAGCCGACGTGTCGGGCCCGGACCCGGGGCCCAGGGGGCTCGGACCCCCCAGGGACCCCGTCACGAGGGCAGTGGCCCTTCACGCCAGGCGCTGCTTCAAACCCGTCCCTTTTTCCTTCCCCAGCCTACCTGCCGTACGCTCTCCAGCTCCCGCTCCGTTTTGAGTTGCTGCGCCGCCTTCTCCGCTGCCAGCCGCTCCATCTGTGTTTGCTTCAGGTAGAGCATGTCGGACACCTCCCGCAGCTGGGCCTCCAACTGGGCCGTGTCCTGGATTAGGGGTGTGTGGTCCAGGGTTTGGGACGAGGGGGGTTATATACAGGGGCAGCACATGGTGCAAGAGGCAAAAAGGATCAACACGTGCGACACGTCCGAGGCAAGCAAGCCCCACCTGCCGGAGGGACACAAAGGGATGGCACAAAGCTACCCGTTGCGGGGTTTGAAGGGGGGAACGGAGCCCCGGCACGCAGGGCGAGGTGACGGGAGAAGGGGTTTCTGGCGTGGTTGGCCAACTGGCACGTCCGCGTCGTCCGCGTCGACCTCACATGCTTCAAACCACCGCATGCCCACCAAACACGCCAACAAGGGCAGCCAATAGCCGCATCCCTGGCCCCCCCCCCCTCTCTCTCTCTCTCTCTCACACCACAAAAAAACATATATACAGGCGCACACAGCCCCCAAACGACCCCAAACCCCATACCCTTGCCAATAATACTTTGTAACGCCGAGAGCTAGGAATCCCACACTTTCCGAGCCCCTCCCACCTTGCGCTGCTCCGCACTCAGTCGCAGCGCCTCCACCTCCTGGGCTAGCGCCGCCGCCTGTGCCTGACTAGCCTCAGCGGCCTGCCTCGCCAGCGCCGCGGCCCGCTGGTGCTGAGCCAGCTCACTGCGGAGAACTTCCAGCTCCGCCGCCATGGCTGCAGCGGCGGCGCCGCCGCCGCCACCGCGAGCTGGGGTTCCCCCTCCACCTCCTCCACCTGGGTGCTCCGCCCCCAGCTGTACGTCGATGCCCGCATCCGTGAGCTGCAGCTGCAGGGCGGCGACCTGCGCTGCTAGCTCGTTCCGGCCCCGGGTGGCCGCCACCACCTCCTCCTCTAGCCCTGCGGAGGGAGTAGACGCAGCCGCCGGTGGTGAGGTTGGGGAGATGGCCACACATTTGAGGTAAGGTTTTGGGTATTGTCTGTGTATGTGTGTGTGTGTGAGAGAGGTGTGTACACAGGCTGGATCGTCTCTAGCTGCTTCTGGCCTCCGAGCGCACGAACGTACAAAGAGACATGATATGACCCGCCAAGTGCACCTCCAGCCCACCTCCACCTTCTTCTCGGCGTCATCCTTCGTTGTCCGCCCTCCTCTACCTCACTGTCCACTACACGCACACACTAACAACCACACCCGCCTCGCTCACCTCTGCACTTGCGGTTGGCCTCCTCCAAGCTCCGAGTCAGGCCCGCCAGTGCGGCAGTGCTCCCCGCAATCTGCTGCTCCAGGTCCATCTCCCGAACCGCTGCGGCGGTACGACTGGCCTGGTGGGCCTTGGTCTCCGCCGCCAGACGAGCCTCTGCGGCCGCCAGCTCGGAGCGCAGGGCTGCGAGTCAAATGTGCGCGCACGGAGAAAGATTGGGCGGGACCCTGGACTTAACACACATCAAGAGAGGCTATGCGGAATTTGCGTGAAGGAGTGCGGATGCAGGGTGTGCGTGGGGACCGGGGGTTAAGGGGCGGGGGGAATGGTGAGCGAAGTTAAGAGGACATTGAGGCATAGCGGTAAGGCATAGCGGAACCAGACCCCCGCATGTCGTGGACCCTTTCCTCTACGGTTCCAGTCCCTACCTCCTGACGCGCTCCCTCTACGCCCTCGCACCTTCCACCATGCCGCCCTCCCGGTCACTGTGTTGTTCCAGAAGCCTCCGGCTGCTCTCCTCCAGAGCAGCCAGCTGCCCCTCCAGCACCAGCACCGTTCGCTGACTGGCCTCGTACTTGTCCGACACCTCTGACAGCGACGACTTGGCCACCGCCAGCTGGGCGGCCAGGCTGCTCTCCGCCGTCGCACGTGCCTGCTGCAGCCCTGCCAGCTCCTCACGCAGACTCGAAACCAAAGCAGCCTCCTGCTGCGCACGTACCTCAGCCCGCGCCAACATATCTTCCAACTGCTCGTTCTCAACACGGGATGCCTCCAGCCGTTTTCGCAGCTGATCGCAGGTGCGGCTCAGGGACTGGATTTGCTGCTGTGCTGGGGCGGCGGCGGGGCCGCCGGAGGCGGCGGCGGCAGCAAAGCCGCCACCGCCTCCTGCGTCGGCTGCCGCCGCTGCGTCCGGGTCATCGAAGACCAAATTGAAGAACGACATGGAGTGTGTGACGGCGGTGGTGGTGGCGGAGGCCAACGTAGAGGCGGCCGCGGTCGTGGCGGACGCCAAGGCCACCACGGGCGCTGGAGCTGGGCTCGCACCGCTGCCGCCTCCGCCGGCTGTTTGATGCTGCTGCTGCTGTTGTTGCTGTTGCTGCGGCTGTCCTGCAGGGTTTGGACCAGTCACAGCCGACGCCACTGGTGAGCCTGGAGCCTGCGGAGTGTCGCTCTTCGCAGAGCCTGGTCCCGCTTCTGAAGACCCCGCTTGGGTTTCTGAGCTTGGGTCTTCAAAAGCGAGGCCTGGAGCCGATGAAGATGCCAATGCCGGCGCCGGTGAAGGCCCCGCGGAGGCTCCTCCTTTTTGCAAGGAGCCAACCGGTGGGTGGCTGCCTTGTTCCCCGGGGGCCTCTTGTCGCGGGGAGCTCCCCCGCGTCGTAGGTACTTCAGTGGCGGCTGGCAGTGACGACGACGGCTGCGGCGGTGACGCCGCCATCGCACCGCTCGCGCCTGGCCCGCTGGGTACCGCCGGTGCCACGTTTAAAGCCGAATTCAAAGGACTTGCCGCCGCACTCGGTCCACTGACCAACGGAGCTGCTGCTGCTGCGGGCGCCGCGGAGGCTGTAGCTGCTGGGGCTATCAGTCCCGTCGACTTGCTGAGAGAGCTCGAGGGATCCACCTCGCTGCCAGGCAACTTAGCTTGTAGCCCACTCCAGGTAAAGCCGGGACTGCTGGGCCCCGGCGCGCTCGACGAAGCTGTGGACGGAGCCACTGGGCCTGGGGGACCCCCAAATGGGATTGGTGCATCCGTCTTGACCGTGAACCCACCCCCGCCGGGGGTACTTTCGCTGGCCGCCGTCAGCGTGCGGCCAGAGCTGGGCCCCGAGACAGCATACGCTGGTGCCGTTGGACGGGTTTCCCAGGGCGGTGATGCTGTAACGCCGGTGTAGTAGCTGGTGGCTGCGCCTGGCCCATTCGAACTTACGAGGTTGCTGCTATATGTCTGGTATGCCAGAGACCCAGCCGGCATAGAGGAATAAGACTGCTGATAGATCCCGGTTCCTGCTGAAGCCTGCAGCGGTTGATAAACGAATACAGGCGGTGCAGCTGTTGTACCTTGGGTCCTCGGTACATGGGGCCACAAAGCCGCAAGCCTGCATCTTTTACTGCCGACCGTTGTAATCTATGTGTTACTTGCCCGTATCACTTACTTGGGCAAGGTTGACCGATGTGCTAGAGAATCCATACTCTGGCGTCAGTTGCTCCGCATCGCCTGAGCGGGTTAAGCACGCAAGTCGTTGAAACAAGGGGCTTTGTGGAAAGTATGTCAGCAAGCGAGCTTGGCTGTCCACATTACAGGAAACACTTGAGCACTCATGTCGAAAACTGATCAACGGGCGAAAGCACCGCTTTGCACATACTACCTTCTGCAAGGCCCAAAGTTCCGACAGTCCTTGAAACCGTTTTGTCCACAGCTTCAAGTAGACCTTCGGCCGCTTTTAACTGAGCTGTAATCCAAGAAGCCATCCTGTCTAATTTGTTTGAGGCAATACCTCTACATTCCCGTAACTCCCGTGTGTAAATTCAGAATAAAAAATATGTTAGGCAGGTCGCGCCAACGAACCACAACTCTCGCTCATGCCGTACTGAGAAGGTGCAGTAACTAACTTCTAAAGTATGGACATGGACAACAACAAAAAGTTTGGGTCCCCTGAAAAATCGGCATAGCTTTGTCCTCATCTGTTGACGCTTGTTCGAAACTATCCGTGACGCTTGGGTCAAAACGACTCTCCAGTCTCTATCGGTTCAGCCCGCTGCAGATGTATAACTACAATTACGGCGCACCGCCTCCTTACGGCGCGCCTCCAGCTTATACTCCACCTGCTTACGGCGCTCCACCGTCTCCCTATGGGCTACCATACGGCGCACCGCCCGCTCCCTACGGAGCACCTGCAGCCCCTTACGGCGCTCCTGCGCCTCCCTACGGCGCGCCTCACCCCACACCTTACGGCGCAACCCCTTACGGATCCCAGATGCCCGCGTACGGAACCCCGACAACGCCGTACGGGGCGGCACCTGCCCCTTACGGCGCGCCTCCAGCACTTCCTGTTGCCGCACAATCTTCTTCCCCCGCTAGCGCGCCAGCCAACGCGCCACCTCCTGGGGGGTCACAACAACATCCCGAACCGCCGCGTGTGTCCGCAGTGGGCCCGCAGGACCAGCAGCAGCAGCAGGCCGCCTCCCAAGCACCCGGTCAGGGCGGCAGTAGCAGCCAGCAGCGGCCATCGTCTGCTTACCCCACCGTCGGCGCCACCTCCAACCCTGGACCCGCCACCGGGCCCACTCCCTCCGCCGACGCACTGACGCGACCCGCAACTGCTGCGCCGCAGACTCCATCAGCGCCCCCCGCCTACGGCGCGCTGCCGTTCAACCCCCAATCGCCAACGGCGCCCTACACGTACGGCCAACCGGCAGCGCGTCCCCCTGCTCCTGCTCCTGCGCCGTACATGCTTCCGACCACCTACGCCCCTCCGGCGGGTCACGGCACTCGACGGCGCCGTGCCGTGTTGATCGGCTGCTCTTACCCTGGCACCAGCTCCGCTCTGAACGGCTGTCTGAATGACGTGCAGTGCATTCAGGTAGCTGGGCTGTGGACCGGGGCAGGGGGGGGAGGGTGCATGGGGTGGGGGGGAAGTGGATGGGAGTAAATCGAGGACCGAGTCTAACCGAAAACGCCTCGCCTGATACATCTCTGGGTTCCCTCGGGTTCCTGTCTCCGCTCTGCCTCTGCCCCCTCCTCCTCCTTCTCCTCCCCGTCCTGCTCATCTGTCGCAACTGCTGCGGTTGCCCCTGGCCTGCCCCCCCTGGCCTGGTGTGGTGCTCTGGCCCCCCCTGGCCTGGCGCTGTCGCTGGCGCTGCCACACTCCGCAGTTTTGTCTTCAGAAGCGGTTCGGGTTCTCCGCTGAGCAGATCGTGGTCCTCAGAGACGACCCCGGCCGCCACCCGGACTTCACGTCAACCAAGGCCAACATATACCGGGTGAGAACACATAGCTACACACACGCACCGTCGTATACAGCCGTACACAGTCGTACACGCACGCACGCATACAGTCGTATATAGCCATACGCACGTACAACTCTACATAATACAGATATGAATGAGTATTTACGCACAGCGTGCATTGGCTGGATTGTCAGGATGAGGACATGGGCCAATGACTCGCTTCGGTCCGCTCCGTGCGGCGCATTGGGGGGCAACCCTGGGTTGATGGGTGCCGAGGGGGTGGTGGTGGTGGGAGAACGACGGAAGTGAGAGGAGGAGGGAGAGGAGGAGGAGGGGGACCTGGGGGTTAAGACTAGCCCGCCCTTCCAACATCCCCCTCCACACACACACCCGCTCCTCCCACCCATATCTCCCCCACACGCCCACACACACAACACACAACACACATACACGCCCCCACTTCCCCTCCTCCTGCTGCCGCTGCTGCGCTCCTGTCAGGCAGTTCAGTGGCTGATGATGGACCAGCGGTACGGCGACTCGCTGTTCTTCCATTTCAGTGGCCACGGCAGTCAGCAGTACGACCGTAACGGCGACGAGGAGGATGGCTACGATGAGACGATATGTCCCTCAGGTCGGCAGGTTGGCCCTCCCCCTTGGTGCCGTGTAAGGGCGGGACTGGTCCTCAGCGGTTGGGAGGGGGGGTATTGACTACCGGGCTCTTCATGAGCCGGAGGAAAGGGAAGGGAAAGGAGATGAAAATGTGCTCTAACATGAGAGGGGGAAGAAGGGGGGAGAAGGGAGGAGAGGGGCGGGGCGAGAAGGGAGGAGAGGGGCGGGGGGAGAAGGGAGGAGAGGAGAGGGGAGGGGAGGGGAGGGAGAGTTCCTGTCCGTGTGCCTAGCCTTTCTACCCAACCTGATACACAGCTGCTCAGCCGGATCTTCACGACCCCCTATTTCTTTCATCTCCCCCTGCCCTTTCCCCCCATGAAGAGTGTGTCCAGTTTCCCCAGCAGCATACAGCTGCCCTCCCGAACCGTAACATCCATCCTCCTCCTCCTCCTCCTCCTCCTTCCCGCTCTCCCCCTCGCTGCAATAGGTGCTAGCTTGTCTGCTACCACCACCACCACCACCACCCTCCTACCCACTCACCCACCCAGGGAGGTCGCCGTTTCCACCCTTGTTCCGATCTGCCCTCCTGCCTGCCTGCCTGCCCGGGCGATATCGCCTTAACATTGCGCTGGCGCTGTATCGTTTTATACAAACCTGCTTAACGTTAATCCTTGCGTCCGGTCCGTCTTTCCTGTCTTTTTAAATAATGTTTTACGCGCCAATTCACATGTGTACCTGCTCTCGTACTCGTACTACTAGATTTCAAGCGTGCGGGTCAGATTGTGGATGACGAGCTCAACCGGCTGATGGTGCGGCCGCTGATGCCCGGGGTGACACTGCACGCCGTCGTGGACGCCTGCCACAGCGGCACAGCTCTGGACCTGCCCTTCCGAGCCAAGGTGGACGGAGCAGGACGGTGGTACTGGAAGGGCCGGGCGCGGTACGACAAGGCAACTGCGGGAGGTACGGCAAAATAGAAGGGGCTTGAGGAGCGCGAGGCGCTGACGGGGTGGTGGGACCCTTTGAATGGGGGGCCATGAGGGGCTCCTCCCGGGGGGCACCCGGAGGGTGCCGTACGTCGTGGGGAAGACTGGGAGGGGGAAGGGGGAAGCAACAACAGCAGCAGGAACAGCCCCATAGGCATTAATACAAGTCATATGGCCGAAAGGTTCAGTTGTTTGTGCGAAAAAGTCCATTTGGTGGTGGTGGTGGTGGTGGTGGTGGTGGTGGTGGTGGTCCTTCCATCCCTCACCCTCCCCATCCCTCACCCTCCCCATCCCTCACCCTCCCCATCCCTCACCCTCCCCATCCCTCACCCTCCCCATCCCTCACCCTCCCCATCCCTCACCCTCCCCATCCCTCACCCTCCCCATCCCTCACCCTCCCCATCCCTCACCCTCCCCATCCCTCACCCTCCCCATCCCTCACCCTCCCCATCCCTCACCCTCCCCATCCCTCACCCTCCCCATCCCTCCCATCCGCGTCCGCACTACCTCGCAGGAACTGCCTTCCAGTTCGGTGCCTGCAAGGACTCCCAGGTGGCCCAGGTGGGTGTGCGTGTGTGTGTGTGTGTATGTGTGCGTGTGCGTGTGTGTGTATGTGTGCGTGTGCGTGTGTCTGCTGAGAGGTCCTGGGCGGAGAGGTCTGTACAGGCAGACTCCCACACGCGGGTTAAAGTCACATTTCTGCACCACACCGCACCATCCCCCAGAGAGGCGCTGTTTTGTGTTGGCTCCAGGTGCCCCAGTGCCTCCAAGCCGGAGGTCTCCTCCACCCGATCGATCTCGGAATCCTCTCCCCGCTTCTTCCCCCGCCCCCCCGGGCTTTCCCGTACTCGACACCGGCCCATTCCCAGCCGCCTCTCGGCCCCCGTCCTGCTCAGTTGAGCCGCTTGCCATCAGTTGAGCCGCGCGTTGCCCTGAATTCTGTTGCCGCCTCACTCACAACCTCCCCTGCGCTACTCGAACACCTCCCTCCTGCTGTTCTCACCCGCTTCTCACCCGCTTCAACATCTCCTCGCAACGCCTCTCCCTCACACCTCCCTCTCTGCCGCCCTCCCGCCCTCCCGCCCTGCCGCCCTGTCGCCCCGCCGACCCGCAGGACACCAAGCTGCTGAGCGGCAATGCCTACACCGGCGCCGCCACGTTCTGTTTCATACAGGCCATTGAAAAGTACGGCATCAACCAGACGTACGGCCAGATCCTGAGCCACATGATGTCCACGCTGCGCGCCAGCACTGGCAGCCCGGGGCTCAATCTGGGGACCACCGGTTCCCTCATCGCGGGGATGCTGCTGGGGCCCGCCGCCTCCGCGATCTTCAGCTCGGGCGGCCAGACGCCGGTGCTGAGCTGCGACAAGCAAGTGGACCTCTACGCTACGAAGCTGTCGCTGTGAGATTCGATGAGGCTGTCGCTGCAGAAGGGTTCTGATGAGGGGTTCTTCGTTGAGGTAGTTGGAGTTCCGTTGAGGTAGTTGGAGTTCCGTTAAGGTAGTTGGAGTGGGATATGCGGGGCATCGCGGGGAGGAGGAGTTTTTTCAGTCACGCGACCAGGAAGGGGTGAGAAGGAGGAGGTGTTGATGATGGCGGGAAAGCCAGGTGAACATGGCGCTCGGCGGGGGTGGGTGGGACGTGGTCGTTTTCGAGGGTCGGAAACGCCGCCAGCTGACACCGACTGGTGCTCTGCAGTGAAGTGATGTGTATGTGTGTATGTATGCAATGGGGCCGCCCTACCGCATCTCCGTATGCGTGTTTTTTCTTGTGTGTATGTATGTATGTATGTGTGTGTAAGAAGGTCCGTTGACGCCACCTCTGCCGGGAGGTCGAGGGGGGGCCATGGGGGTGTTCCAGGGGGGCCGGTTGCGGGCGTCACGCTCAACCTGATTTCCACCGGCTCTCTGGGTGAGGGCTCTGGCTCTGGCGCCTCGGGGCAGGTAGTACTGGTGTGTCCAAGCACACACCAGTACCGTTACCACGACCCTCGCCGCCACCACCACCACCACACCCACCGCCAGGGAATGAATGATGCAGCGAACCTGCGGCGGTGTCCACCAGCCTGAGGACCCTATCAAGTCGAACGACCCTAACATCCGCTGTGTGTGCTTATATGGTCCGAGAGGTGTTTTATTGATCTGAGCCGCATTAAGAAATGGCGAGAAGGTACTGTGGCAGGCTGGCGGTACGGTGGTGATGGTGTTTTCAAGGGAGGGAGGGCGGGATGTACGGCAGATGTCTCCGGCATGGGTTTGCAACTGAGCAACGGCGCCTCGGGGTTGTGTGCTGGAGGGGAAGTGCGGGCTGGGGGCCGGGCCCAAGCAGGGGGCTGGAATATACACATACACATACACATACACATATGCATACAAGGCTTAATGCCGCTTGCCGGATGGAGTGGACTGGTCGGTCGTAGTTCAGCTCAGCTGGTTGGAGGTATTGGTTGCTGGGGGGTGAGTGACAAACCACCACGGCCCTGGACGACACTCCGAAGCGTGTTGGTAGGGGTGGCGGTGGTGCATGCATGCATGCATGCGTGTGTCTCTGCATGCATGCATTCATCCATGGGGGCCGCCGGGGTCCGGGAGGACCAGTGCCGAGCCCAATTGTTAGGCGGCGGGAGTGAGGCACAACGTTGTGTTTTCTTTCCATCCTATTTTCCCCCCTCCTTCGTGTTGATGTATGGCGTGTGGCAACACAGTGTGTTGAACACACACACACACACACACACACACACACACACACACACACACATGGAGGGGATACGGCAAGAGAGCCCAGACGATGCTTGCGTTGGGGAGGCGGTTTGAGGTCAGAGCGCGGGGCAGCAGCGCTGTCGATGTCAACCTTACGTTGTGCGCATTTGCCGTTCTATGTATATGTATTTATTGACGAAGCGAAGTGAAGGTCAATGTCGAGGGGACGAAACAGGCACCACCCGGTTCTTTTGCGTTTTCTTGGAGGTGTTTGCTTTTATTGCATTGCATGCACATCGAAAGTCGTAGGGGTTACGGCGGTACTGGAGAGCAGTACAACACGTGCCTGGCAGGATATGGGAAGCGCCTCTCTGCGCTGCGTGCCTTTAAACAGCCCTCGCAGTTGATGGCACCCATCAGGGTTGAAAGGTAAATACGAACTCGCGGCTTACAGGTACTACTGCTTAGGACTACTATTGCATATTCTCCGAGAATTGCGCTGAGAGGAGCCGGCCAGGTGGTCCTTAGTGGCGTTTTGAACGTGGCGCCCGCCCTCATTCTTTCCGTTCTGGTACTTAGTGCATGGGGCCAGTAATTGCATGTGGTAGCGCTCGTTATTATCCTATGGGCATGACGAGCTTTTGCGTTGGGTGAATGAGAACCGTTGATAACCCAATACCCTATAGCTCGCACACGCCAGGGACGCAACTTGTTGCGAAAGGGTTTGCGAGCGAGGCAGCTGATAGTAAGGAGCGTTTCTGAAGCACTGTGGTCGCCTGTCGCAGCGGTGACTGAAATACACTATGATGTAACTTGTAAAAGCAGTTTCAAAGTCGTTCTGGGGCCTTACCACCGGATGCTCTTGCGTCGCTTGAGTTAGGCAGGTACATTTGTTGAAAATTGTTGTGAGCATGTGTCGGGCGTGCATCAAGGTTGGAAGGCATGTCAACTTGATAGAGCTTCGGACAGGTACCGGACGACAGGATGACTGAAGTAGGCCAACTTTCAATGCGCCGAGTGGATTATTATCCCAACGAAGATTGCAAATTCTTCTGCATGTTCGCCGGCAACTGACAGGATGATGCGCGCTGGTACGGGATGCCTGTTAACCGATTTTCGGCACTGGTGAAACAGCCTAACATCTTGCTGACAAACGACACCCAGTTTATTACTACTTGTTTTATTTCATACTTTGTATTTCTCGCGTCTCACAATTACGTACCTGGTCCGCGACATCTCGACTTAACCTGGCCTAAGCCTAGGAACTTACAAATGGCTGCGCCCATGCCAGAGCTGGCACAACAGCAAACAGCAAAGCTAGTTTTGTTAGGCGAAATGGGATCCGGGAAGTCGTCCCTGGTGCTTCGATATGTTAAGGGACAGTTCTTTGACTACCAAGTATGTTCTGTGCGTTAAAGAGGCTCCCCAAAGAGGATGAAGGAGGTCTTGGGCCGCTGAACGTAAGAACTTTCCTCCAACGTCTGCAGGCGTCCACGGTTGGCGCTGCATTCCTTACAAAGACGTTGCCGGAGCTGAACGTGAAGTTTGAAATATGGTAAAGAAGGAAAAACTTAAAACAGCTCTGATGCTTCTACAAGGGTTTGCCATTTCTTGACTGCGTCCGAGGTTCTTGTGGATGCAGGGACACGGCTGGGCAAGAGCGCTACCATAGCCTTGCGCCCATGTATTACAGGTTCGCATTGCGCGTGGGTTCTGCCTTCTGCGGGGAACTGAGTGTGGTTGTTATCGCAGGGGCGCTGCTGCGGCAATTATTGTATATGACATCACGAGCCCAGACTCCTTTACACGCGCGAAGTCCTGGGTGCGCGAGCTGCAGCGGCAGGGGAACCCAGTGATGATTATGGCCCTTGCAGGTGAGCTCGGGTGGGTCAGATGCAGCGAATGGGAGCTTACCAAAGTGTTTGGGAGGGAGTAATGGGAGGGGCCACGAAGATTACGCCTTGCCGGTAGCCTAACGTGCTGCATGCCCGGGAGAAGTTTTTGGTATGGTTTGGCGTCAACCCTCCGACGTCTTCTCTCAGGGAACAAGGCAGACCTGGAGAGCCAACGTGCGGTTTCCGTGGAAGAGGGCCAGGCCTATGCCGCAGAGAATGGGTTGTACTATCTGGAGACATCCGCGAAGACCGCCGCTAACGTGAATGAGCTTTTTGAGGAGATTGCCCGCAAGCTTCCCAAGCCCGAGACGGCACCTCGGCCAGTCCAGGGTGGCGGCATTGTGCTGGAGAACCAGCAGGCACAGGACCGCAAGAAGAGCTCGTGCTGCTGAGAATTTTGCGCGTTGTGCAGGGTGGTGGGTGGATGCAGGGATGAATATTGCGTCGGCGCCTTCCCAGTCACTACTCGGTCCCACGTGAAATGCATTTTTTGGGGTGCACTGGATGCGGTGGGTTATGTCAAGCGATGGGTGCCAGTCCAGGACCACAAATCCGTATTCCTTGGTCCAAAGGCAAGGCACCGCAAGCACCGCGTCAACGTACGAACTCTTTGACCACTTGAATGGTGGTTAGGCCAAGGTTACCTTATTGCGGTTGAAAATAAAACTAGGTAGGCAGGGCGAGGTTGCTTCGGGACCTGGCATGTGGTCTCAACCTCGATCCGGTTGGTTCCAGAGGTGCTGGTGAGGTTGACCGGCTGGCTGTCCTGCTCAGCTGTTGGCTTTGTATTGGCGTCCACAGAGCTATGTTTTGGCTTGGGTCAATTGCTTGGGATGGCTTTGATTAGTAAACGTGCCCAGTAGTAGCTGGTGTAGTGGCTATGTAGTGAAAGGCGTCAGGGTGGCTGAAAGCATGCAGAGGGTGTGGTGCATCAAGAGGGTCTGTCAGGTAGTAAACTTTGAGGCGGTCCCATGTTCCCCACCCCTAATCTTTTGTGCAATAGGCCGCCAGAGGGTGAGTGTGTGTATGTTTCCCGGTCGCGGTGTAGTGTGACTGTGCCATGTGCAAGGACGCTCCTTTCGCAGCTGTTCTGGGCTGCATGTGCTTGCTTGGTTAGGATGACATGCGATTGGCTTCCCTTTTCAGCCTGCTTAACTGGATTGCGCAGAGTCTTGTGTGCCCATGGAGCGTTGTGGTGTAGTGTTCGGTGTATTTAATGAGAAGCAGATGGAGCATTAAACATTCTAATCTTTAATTACTAGATAGCTACAAAATGTTAAAAGCTACCAGGCATACTGAACAACATAGCTCTATATACCGCCGAGGCCGAGGAAGGACTTCCTGTTAACAGAGCGCTTCGAACTGCGCCATCCTTAATGCAGAATCTGGCAGCGAAAAAGCCCTTGAATCAATCAATACTCGCCAAAGCACAACAACTACGAAATGCCTGACAACCACTGCTCCCCTGATGCCGGAGGCTGCAGAGCATGCGTCCATGTTCGTCCCCACCTACAAGGTATCTGCCACCGCGCTGTTGGTAGCAATTTGGTGAGCTCCACAAGCTTTCACACCATGTCGTCCACATATCGAGCCACACCACACGACAACTCACCAAAAGAAGCTTCAAAGCTAAATGCACGGATTGAAGACATCCCGTTCCTTATCGCTGTGTATTATTCCAATTGTGCATGCATCCTATACGTGCCTTAAAATGTAGGGCACTAAAAAGATATGGCATTAAGAGCCAAACACGCACCAGTGTACCAACTGCCATATCCCCATCCTTAAGTGCCCACAAACCATGGTTCGCCACACCTCTCGCAGCACCTCGCTGCGCGTCTCAACGAGACAGGGGTCCCTATGTGCAATTCGTTTGCTGTGCCAAACCGCAAATGTGCGAACCCCCTCGTTGTCAGTTGCAGTGACGCGCACACATGCAACTTATGTGCCGCGCACTTCCCCAGGGCCCCAGCACAAGAACCCGTCCCAGTGCTGGCTACTTAGCTTCAGTTCCGCTCATTCTTCCCATACGCAGCAAACGGTAGGGACCGGCCCACCCTATTCCAACCAACTCGCTAAAGTGCATAGAAGCCAGAGATATATATAAGCACATCTCCACGCCATGTCCGGGCCCCATGGGCCCCTTTTTCCAGGCCCATAAAGAATCCGCGAATACGATTACACAGAGCGGGATCGTACGCCAAGCTCAAGAGTCTGCCTTCACTCCAACCGCGATGTTTGCAACCTGTGAAGGCCATTTCCGCGACATGACGATAACCTCAGGGAATCGAAGTGTCGTCGAGGGCAATGGGGTCCGATAATGCAATCCGACCCATGCAGCCACAATCCAAAAGAGCAAAGGGTGTTGGACGCACAACGATCTATGACCGGCACGCTCAAGGTGCAGGCTAGAGCACGGCTTAGCCATCGGACTGGATACAACAGAAATCCCGCATTCCGCAAGGAAATAGGCTTGCCTCATTGCATAGCCACATGCAGCCAGACTCAGCCTCGCCTTACTATTAGTGTGTGGCACACATTCATGAACACATTTGGACGTGCCTCATATAAGTCGACGCGCTACCCAAGAATGCACGCCGCGCACACGCACGCCGACCGGCGATTTCGACCAGGGATTGGAAGTAACCATGCAATGTGCATTACCAGATACAGGGCACCCGTCTCATTCCATTGAACGCACCTCATTCCCTTTGTCGTCGTATGATGGAGGGTTTTCCACCACTACTGTCTGCGTGGGTTTAGGCCGCTGTGGTTGCTGTAGCCCGTTGGGTCCCGCTGATGTAGGCCCCCCAGGTCCCGCTCCCGCTGTTGCCGCGGTGACCGGTGTAACGGTGTGGCACACGGAGCACTTCACGCTCTGCGCCCCGACTGGGTATTGCAGCATGATGTTGCACCCATTGCAGACCAGATACACGTACACAGGCACCTGAAGCGCCATGGTTTATTTGAAAGACGTTCGCGTGCAGTCAAGGGGGGCGACAGGGCACCCGGCAAGCGTTAGTTGGGTCTTCTCAAACAACCGGTCCACCCAAATACGCCGAGGTTGCGCCGAACTTCATGGCGCCAAGTCCTTCAAACTATCTGCCACAGCAACAGCAGGGGCCCTCACCTGGGTCACAGTGTGGCACAGTGCACACTGGACGCTCTGTGCGTTTCGGGGATACGATAGGAGCACTCGGCATCCATTGCAAACAATCTGAGCGCTATTTGCGCCTGTATACGCCGGGGCCGTTGTAATGTAGTCGCACCGTGCACAGCGCACGTTTGACGCTCCCTGCAGTATGCAACGTATGCTCGTGAAGGCGACAGCTCTCAGCCGGGAGAGATAAGTGTATCTTACTTGGGGATATATGAGGAGTTGTTGACAACCGCCACATACGAGGTGACACTGCGCTGGAGCAGGCACAGCACCTGCAAAAAGCAGTCGCGTCGTTCAAAGCCCTGTTGGAAGCCGAGCTGTTATACCCTCATACCATTATGTGGAAATTGGTACATAGACATCCCGGTTAAGCTTGTAGAAGTTTCCTTGCGAAGTGACCTAGTTATGGAGACAAGTTGTGTTCCTAGGATATTAATAATGACGCACTTTATAGATTTGTGTAACGTTATGTAAAGAATGAATGCGACCTTATGAGACTAACCTTGGGAGGTAGTACCGCCGTGCAGTTGTCCCCCGGCAACTCACCATATGCAAGCCCAGAACTCCAGCAGATCTTCCTTCCTAGAAAGCGCGCAGACCTACCTTAGGCCCCTTTATTTGTGCTTTCCTTCGGGCCCCGGAATTTAACTCCCGTATGCAACTTCACTTGGTTAGGCTTGTCTGCTTGTTCCTATTCATTGTGCACTTGACCGGGTCTGCTGGAGAGCAAGATGTATCGGGCGAGTCAAGCAACAGTTTTATGTTGCGCGCACTTGCGCTGCCGTTACATGATCTGGGTGTTTTGTTTTCTCGTTCAGTTTCCTTAGAGGCTGAAGGTGAAACTTTGGTACATGATGGCTTTGAGAAGGTGAGTCGATGCGACAGACATGCATAGTGTGCGCCTTGAGGAGGTTAGGGGCACAGTATACCTAAGCAAAGCAATCAGACTCCTCCATCTGTTGCTGTCAAGATTGGGTGGGCCAGTATGTTTGGGGGACACCTGCAATGGTGTTATAATACCTATAACCCATACCAGGAACATGCTTATCGCCAACTGCAGCACGCCTGGCCTCGATGCTTAAAAGGCATACACAAAGCTAATATTCCGTGACATACACTGCGCGAGTCGCCTGCAGGCCGTTCCTGGAGAGGATCGCGACGCAATCTTGGCGCCCACCGGACAGCGAGTGAGCACCGCCATCAATGTCTGTACAGAACCGAACACATGCGGGCCGGCGTGCACTCAGGAAAATTGCGGTTTCGACACGGCTAGCTACATCACCGGCGGACCTGTCGACGCCCCAGACTCTACGGCTGGCAGCACGGCCAGCGTGCCGGTGACCAGGGGCCCTGAGCTCACGTGCGTGCCCACAAAGGAGGCCAACGCTACTGTCCCATCGCCCCAGCCTGGTATGGCCGATAATGCGGATGTTTTGCCTTGCAACGCATCCTCCCAGCTAGATCAGCATGCGCAGGCCTCCAAAGAGCATCTGCCTCCGCAGCCGACCTCACAGCCTCAGTCGACAGCATGCACATCGCAGCTTCATCCATCCGATGGAGATAGAAAGGATGGCTCGGTGACCCAGATGGATGGCGAACAGTCAGATTGCGGCGCTGAGACGATTGAGACCACTTTGCGGGGCGCTGTGAATGATGAGCACCTTGGCACTGCCACAATGCCAAGCGCTGATGCGGCTGGCAATAAATCCAGCGCACCTCAGGCCGAGACGTCGACCCAGCAGGAGGCGGTGCTGCGGGCGGTGCGGCAAGAAACGGCCCAGCTGACTGTCCATCCAATAGGTCAGGGCAACGATGTAACACTGCAGCAGCAGCCCGCGCAGCAAGCAGCGACACCGCCATCTCCATCGCCGATAATCTCTACGCAACCAGTACCATCTGCACAGCCGCCGCAACAACAGCAGCAATCCCAGCAACAGTTCCAACAAACGCAGCCATTAACGCAGCAGCAGCCCCAGCAGCAGCAACCCACGCAGCCGCCCACGCAGCAGCAGCAACTCCAGCAGCCGCAGCCGTCGCTTTCACCTCCGCCACAGGGCATCGCGCAGCCCACGCAACCAGAGCGGAAACGCCATACCGCCATACCCCTACCTGACGAATTTGTCATGTCGATCCCTACCAACGAGCTTTCCGTGTCGATCATCTCTGCTGAGTCGTCCGGCACTGCGGCTGGGCAGGCCGGGGCTCAGCTGGGCATGGCAGGTGAAGAGATCTTTCTGGAGGGGTTCGCGGGTGTTGGAGTTATGTCAGGCGGGGATTTAGACGGACGTGTGGCTTTGGGCGAGGTAGGGCTAGGCGGATCCGGAAATCTGGAAGCGGGTCTGCTTAACGGGGGCCCAGGGACAGCCAGCGGAGCGCCGCACGGCGGCATGTCATCTGCGGCCGGCGGCTCCGCGGCCGGGGCCCATCTTCAAGATGATGAGGATGATGGGCGGAAGATTAACCTCGCAGCTGCATCAGACGGCGCGAGCATCGTGGCGGCCAATAAAGAGGCAAAGCGGCCGGACAGACTCATAGATGGCGATGACGACTCCTACATGAAGAACACGTGCTCATCTTCGAAGTGGGTCATCGTGGAGCTGTCCCAGCTGGGCCGTGTGGACGAAGTCAAGCTGACAATGAAGGAAATGTACAGCTCCCGTGTGCGCGAGTTCCAAGTCAAGGGCCGTCAGTCTCACCCCAAGAAGGACGGCTTGGCGGACTATGCGCGCGGTCTGGATCTGGATAGTTGGCAGTTGTTGGGCGTGTTTCAAGCGGAGAACCGGAAGGGCAGTCAGGTGTTTCGCCTGCCGCGTAAGGCCCGTGTGAGGTACTTGCTGCTGCAGGTGATGTCGCATTACGGCACGGAGGAGATGTGCGCGTTGAATAGCTTGGAGGTGCGTGGGGTAACCGCGGCACAGGAGCTGGAGGCAGCGTTGTCGCGGCCGCTCAATGCGCATTCGCACATGCCGCCTACGGCAGGGCGCGTGGGCGGGGCCCAGGCCCGGGCCCCACCGGGAGCAGCTCCGCATGCGGGTCAAGACACGCCATCGCAGGTCCTGCCTTCGCAAACTGCCGGTTCCCCATCATCCGCCGCGTCGCCTGTACCTCTCGTCCTCGAGCATGGGTCGCAACAACCAACGGCAGCTATACCGCTGCCGCATGTGCCGCCGCTGCAACAACACACACCGCCAGTGTTGCAGCAGCCACAGCAACCGCGGGCACCACAGCAGCCGCAACAGCAGTCGACGCCGCCGCAGCATCAAGAGCAACGTGAACCTCCCAGCTGCGCAATGCCAGGACCCCCTACAGGCCAGGCAGGTGGTGCCGGTGTAGACCCAGCTATCAACTGCGGAGATCCCCCGCAACCCGAGCCGGTGCCTGGGGAACCGGTGCCTGGGGTGGACGCTGCGGCTGGGGCATCTAGCGGGCCAACACCTCAGGAAACTGTCAGCAACTCAAGCAGTTGCAGCAGTAATAGTACCAATAATAGTAGCAGCAGTAATATGAGAAGAGCAAATGATAGTAATAGCAACGGTAACAGCAGCAGCAGCGGCAGCGGCAACAGCAGCAGCAACACTGGCGGTCCTAATAGTAATGGCAGCAGCAGCAGCCGCAGCAGCAATAACAACAGCTCGGCCGGGACAGCGTCCGCGGCGGCGCAGGGTTCCTTGGCCGGCACTGACCACGTCAGCCACCCGTTTGCGGGCAGCGGCGAGGTAGCAGATGCGCAAGGCGGCGGCGATGGTGGCAGGGCCAGCTTGGATACCTCGAAAACCGCGGAAACTGCTCCGCGGGCCCCTGGCGACACTGGGTCGGAGTGTGAGGTCATTGGCACTGAAGCACCCACCAGCATGGCGCAGCTGGCTGTGTGCCCTACGGAAAGCCCCGAGGTTTCTGATTGCCAGCACTTTGCGGCCCAGGCTGGGGCCCTCAAGGAGGCGTCTACTGTCACCGGGTGCGTGTCTGGAGGCACAGGGTCTGACGCCAGCGCTACCGCGCCCGCGCCAGGGCCAGCTCCAGGCGCCATCTGTGATGCGGCCCTACCGCCAATTGCTCAGCTGACATGCGGGGCTGCGGTGTCGGGACTGTCCGATGGCACAACCTTCAAGGAGGCATCGTCAACAGCCCCGGCTGCGTCCCCATCGGCAGCTACGTTGGAGTCGGGGCCGCCAGGGGATGGGGCTTCACAGGCGGCGGCTTCGCAGGCCAGTCAGCCATCGGCGGCAGAGGATGGGAGGTCAGAGGTGTCATCGGAGGGCCCTGGAAACGGCGATAGCTCGACAGCAGGGACGGAGGACCAAGCAGGTAGCAGTGGGGCGGCGGCGTCGACGAACGGAGGTAGTGAGGAAGCCCTGCGGCCCTTGTCCTGCTCTTCCGGGCCCTCGGCGGTTGCTGGCCCGGGAGGTCAGCCCCAAGTGGCAGACGGGGCAAGCACTACTGGGGACGTTTGCAACACGGTTGCTGCGCCTGCAGTTACCGAGACGGGTGGGGGAGCGCCGGTATCGCCGGCATCTCCGCCATTGACGCCCAACGGGGCGGCGTCTACGGCCCGTGCCGGGGGCATGCCTTCCGGCGGTAACGGGGGTGTTATTACGCCACCAGTCGCAAACCCAACGCAAAGTCAAAGCACCGCGTCCGACGAGCAACAGCATAAGGCAGGATCCGCTGCGATGCCGGCGGATTGCTCAGCTGCAGCCATATCAGCGGCAGCACCCACATCTCCGCCATCTACCCCGGCAAGCTCAGCTGCCGCACCGGCAGCAACGCACGCTGCCGCTTCTGGCGCTACCGGCATCTCATCCCCGGACATCCCTCCTATGCCGTCAGCGCCTGTCCCACCACCGTCGCAATTCGCTTCTAATGGCCATATCCTTACAGTCAACGCAGCCGCCGCCGCCGCAGCAGCAGCAGTACCTCCAGTTGCCCCTGCTGCCCCTTCCGCCGCGGCCGCAGCCGGTGCTGGCGCTGGTGCTCCTGTGCCGCAGTCACAGCCCGCTGCTGCGGCCGCCGCCTTAGACAGCATCGCGTCCATGCTGGATGGCGGCGCGGCCAGCAAGCCGAGGGTGGCGGGCAATCTGTTCGACGTCATAAAGCAGGAGATGATGATGCTCAAGCTCAATCAGACGCGGCTGTGGGCATACATACATGCGCTTGTGGACGCGCTGAATGCCAGGCACGGAGAGCTGGAGGCTGATGCACAGGTGGTGGAGGACAAGGTGCGGTTTGAGACATTTATGGCCGGGTGGCGGGTCAGCCAGGAGCCCAGCGGGGGTTCGGGGTCTCGGAAACGTTTGGCACCTGCTGAGGGGAGCTGTTTATCGAATCGCCACCCGGTTGCGGCATCAGGGGAGGCATGTTGGCCTGTGGGCCCCTGCCCTCTTCGCGTCAGGCGGTGCAATGGCTTGCAAGGTGCAATGCCCCCTCATAACACGGTATTTGGCGGTGGTGGCCGTTGCTAGGGTCTGGGTAAGTGTTGTGGGTACTGTTATGTCGCGGCTAGAGCCTGCTGGAGGGCGTTACTCGTTACCGAGGTCAAGGTGTGCGACGTATTACCAGACCTCATCGCAGCTGCTGGGAAAAGGCGCAGCTGCTACGGTGCCACCTACGTCTACCTCGCTCCCTTGCTGGTAGCACCCCATCCCCGGGGCCTTGCCACACAGCTGCTAACAGCCCTTTGCTGCACAGCTATTAACTGGCTACCCAAAATCTGGGATTGCGTTCCCTTTGCTTTTCCGCAGCTGGTTCTGGATCTGGTTCTGGATCGTGTGGATCCGGATCTGGAACTGGGTTGCACGTTTGCTTATCATCTGTTACCCGACTCAATAGCCTCGGACATTCCCCTGGCTCTCCCCCTGCCCCGTTCCATGCCTTGTCTGCAGTTGATCTTGTTGGAAGCTTCCTTGGGGACGGTGACAGGCCAGGCGGTGGCGCGCGCCACCGAAGCTACCGCGGCGCCGCTGGCGGCACTGGCGGCGCGGCTGGCCGAACTGGAGTCGCGTGCGGCGCGGGCCGAGGCGCAGGGTGCGGCTGTGCTGTTGTACAGCAGTGCAGTGCTTGGGGTTGCGGCCCTGGCAGGACTAGGAGGAGGTCGGTGGCGCATGGTGAAGTGGTTGACGGCCCTATTGGGTTTGGTGAATGGTGCGGTGGCGCTGGGACTGCATTTGGGCTTGGTGCGAGGGGCACTTGCGGGGTATAGTCAGGTGGCAAGGGGTTACGTGTTGACGTTGCTTGGTCAGGCAACGAGGGCCGCGGTGGGTAGGTGAGGTGGCGCATAGTGACAAGGAATACAGATCTAGGCCCAGTATTGGTGGTACTGGTGAGGTTAGGCTATTTTCATGATGTGTGGTTCCGGAGTTGGAACCCGCAAAGGCCCAGGGAAGAAGATTTTGGAAATAAGCGATTGCGCGTACGGTTCCTGGTTAGCCTGTTTAGGCATTTACGGCTTTACTGGTTCGAAACTGCATGGCCACTTTGCATATACACGTTTATAAACATGACAGCTCACCAGCGAGTGAGTTGGTGGTACAGCTCCTCGATGACGAAGTCCGGGAGGCAACTTGACGCCCCTCGGTTCCATCACGTACGAACCATATGCATGAAGGATGGCGGTACACGGATGGCGTGTCTCCCCAATTACAGGGTTTTAAGTTAAATCCCTCGGGGTGTGTGATCAGGTTAACTGTCTAAAGGGACTGATGAGAGCTCGCAAAATGCGTCGCAGATTTCTTGGTGTTGTGAAGCATGCAAGCCGGCATGTCGTGTCGGAATAATGTTTTGGACGTACGGTACGGTTGGGTTCAGGTTCGCCAATCCGATGAAGATACAAATCGCGTATTGCTTTTTACAAGTATTCCGTGTTTTAAATTCCTCGCTAATGCTTGTTTGTTTCTCCGTGAAGGCCGGATTTGCAAATTGCGGGAGACAGTACCGCAAGAACCGGCTTGGCAAATCGCAGTCGTGCGAAACAAATTGTCTGAGCTACACGTTGAACATTTTGAAGATAACTTAGTTACTCTGTGCCGCGAGGCACACCGTTGATGCTGCAAATGTCTTGCACCGCAAACAAGTGAATGCACAAGATGGAGTTCAACGAAAAAGCTTTTGCCCGGCAGAAGTTTCGCAGCAGCCGCGGCCGAGGTCGGGGAGGCCGCGGCGGAGGCTCTCACCGGGGCGGCCAGTTCAGCGGACCAGCCCGGCAGTCACATAGAGACCTTGACAGCAACGCGTACCGGTGAGCCCCTCTTGCCTTTCCCTGTTGAACCCCCGTCCTCCGGCTGCCATGCTCGCTCTCACGAAAGACGTTGGGGCATAAGGTATGAAGATGATGCGGACAAGGAGGAGGATGGTGTCGTGGCGCCCAAGTCCCAGGGAGCCGACCTAGAGGCGCTAATTAACGACGCGGAAGTGCAATTCAACCAGGCCTTCTACCGCCTCCGTGCGCAACTGCATGACACCATGGAGGAGGTCCCGCCGCTGGGTGCCAGCCACCCGGAGCAGGTGTGTGTTTATGTGTGCACACACATGGAGGTGCGCGTGTGTTTTGCTTGGACATGGGCGTTACAAAGAAGGATCCCTGACTTGTTCACGACGCTTCGCGAAAATATACCAGGAGACAGGGTTTTGGGGGCTGAACATGTGCGGGATAGCAGCTGATATATAGATCCTCCTGCTCTTCCCTTGGGGCAAGCACCCATCCATCTAACCGCCTGTGTCCAGTGACGATGACGTGGGCCATGCTGGGGGCATGCCGGCACAGCGCGCTGCTTTTCCCCCGCTCGATACCGCACATCATACCACAACCGGCACATCGCTGCGGGTCCTCGTTTGTGGTTGCAGTTGCTGGCCGTAGACCTGGAGGCGCTGGCCGGCAGTCTTTCCGCACTGCCGCTCCACACGCTGCTATCCCTGGAGCCACACTACCTGGCGGGCCTGGATCCAGAGGCACCGGCCACCGGCACAACGAGCGGACCCGACCCTACGGTAACGGAGCAACGGCAACCTGGGAGCGCTGCTACGACCCCCACGGCGGCAGTAGCGGCAGCAGCACCTGGTGCAGCCATGGGGATGCATTTGCACGCGCGGCCACCACCGCCTCCCCCTGGGGTTCCCCCCCCTTCCTCTTCCACATCGGGAGTAGAGTCAGCTGCGGTCCAGGTCTCCGCAATGATGTCGGCTCGGGGACCCAGCCCAGGGGTGCTACCGGCTGCTGCTGCAGCTGCCGCTCCGGTTCGCATTTCATCAGGAGTTGCAACGGCTGATGCAGCTTTTCCTGCTGCACATAGTGGGGGCGGGGGTGGGGGCGTCCCCGTATCGACCGGCGTGAATGCAGGTAGTGAAGGTGGTAATGACGAGGAGCTGGAGGCGCTGCTGACGGGGCGCGTGCTGGCGCGCCCAGCCCATCCAGGTCCCGTACCCCCTGCCCCCGAAATAGTTACCTCAGCATTCGGCGGCGCCAGGCCCACCGGCGGTGCCGCCTTGCCGCCAGCGTTGGCGGCAGCAATGGCTGCTGTCGGCCGGTCCCCGCCTCCACAGCAACTCCCGGCCAGCCCCGGACTGAGCCGCAGTGAGCTGCAGACAACAACACAGGGCCATGGCGGGAGCAACGAAGAGGTCAGCAGTGCTCCAGTCTCAGGGGCTGGGGCAGGACCAGCCCCTGCTGCCGCAGCGGCTTCTAGCTCGGGGCTGGGTGCGGCTTCCAGGCCAGCAATACCCGCTATTCCTCCCGGCCGCGCACCCCTACCACCCCACAGCCATCTGCCCGGCTTGAGCTCCACGACGGCCGCGCAAGGGCTCCTGGCAAGCGGCGGGACTCCTGGCTTGGTTCACCTGGCGCCTGGAGAATCGGCCAGCCGCCTGCCCTCCGTGCCCCCTTCTTCCTCCCCTGGAGCTATACCAGCACATGCGGCGGCGGCGGCGCCAGCAGTTGTGGGGTGTGTGCCTTCCGGCCGACTGGTGGCCTGTGCACCGCCAGCACCAGCAGCCCAGCTGGCTGGAGCAACCCGTGGTCCGCTCGGAGGACACCCCGGCGGGAAGCCACCGCACTCCAGTGCTGCGCTGCTACCTAAGGCGCCGGGGTTGCAACGGGGGCCAACACCAGTAGTGGCGACTAGCGACTCAAGTGCTGGCGGCGGTGCAGCTAATGCTGGGGCGGTTGTGGACGACGAGCTGCGGCTGCTACTGGGCCTGCCGGTGGGGACTAACGATGGTCCCACGGCCAAGGTGGCTGTTGTTACAAACTAAGCAAACAATAGCAAAACAAAATACAAAACCAAATTTATTTGGAAAACGTTTGCTTCACTTTTGCTTCAATCAGCATCAAATGAATAAATGAGTGCTTATACAAAACGAGCATAAAACCATTTTTTGTAGCCACAAAGCAGGCAGCGGCGAAGGTGCGAGTATGGCGACAGGTTGATTCAGGGGCACCACCGCCATGCATGTTTTTTGAGACTCACTAGGCAAGTCATTTCATGCTGCGAAGCCTTTGTAACCCGAAGTACTATGTAGAACCCAAAAGATCTAAAACCCTAAAACCCATTGATGGAGCTAACAGAGTTATGCTGCGGGTTGTGGTGGGGTGGGATGGGGTTGGGTGTGACCTGCAGTGCCGGAGGGGCGTCTGCAGAGATCCAGGACCAGGGGTTGTACTGCCTGGGAGTCCTGAAGGTGCACAATTGTACTGCCGGAGGAAAGTGCTGCAACTTTGAGACATGAAATCCTTGGGGAAATTGCCTGGTCCCGAGCACCTTCCTCCCCACCTTCTTGGTGATACTTTTTTGTCCCGACTCTTACTTTTCTTCCGCTGCTTATGCCTTCCAGGTGCAGCAGCCGCAGCCCCGGTTACAGGCGGCGACAGCAACGACTTTACAGCCCGCAAAAGTAGCATCAGCGGCGAGGCCAGCACCACCGCCGCAGCAACAGCTGCAGGGGCAGCAGGCATCCGCAAAAAGCCTTGATGACTGGCTGAACAGCTTATAGAATCCGGCACGAGCTGGCGGGAGAGAGTTGGGTTCTTCCTGCGGAGGTTTTCTTGCTGGACGTGCAGGAACAGCATAGCCCAGCTTAGCTCAGCTATGGATTGGGCATCCGGCGGTTTGCTGCAGCTTGCACGGAAAGCACACCATCGTACAACACACCACACCACACCATGACATAGCACAACACGAACCGGCTATGGTCGGTTATGATGCAGGCATGAGTCAAGAGGGAAAGAGCCACCTTCCCTCTGAAAGGGGCTGTTCGTCCCCAGGAAAGCTGTGTGTTTTGGCTGCTGACGGCTCCTATGGGATGTCTCCGTGGGGCTGCGTTGCCGGCGGCACCTTGAAGGAAAGGGGGTCTTTAGCCCAGCACATCGACACGGGCTGCACGTGGGCCTCCGAGGCTTCCGTTATCATCTTAACATCTTGTCAGTTGTCGCATGAAAGAAAACACCTAAGAAAACTCGCTTAAACGTTTTAAGCCAGAATACGGTTACTGGGGATGCTCTGGAGGGATGAATACAAGCTTCACTGTCCAAACGAACCCGAAGGCTCACTAACCTTACCAACTCACAGGGGGTCTGACGGTGCCTAACTTCTTTGGCGGGGCTGTCAGATGGGCTGATTACCAGCTGTGGATGCTACGGAAGGATGGACTGAGTGGTACCTGTTAACTGTCGTTCGTGGACATGAGTTGCCAAGTGGTGCGTGCCAAGACGTATAGTTGCCAACAGGCCTTAGTCAGGCAAGGAGCGAAAAAAAAATCAAAATATGGGAAAGATTATAAATGTTTCCTAGTGATTTTCATGTGGACGATCTTCATGATCCCCTTCATAGTCGGACTCCTTTCCGGGGCTTCCCACTCCCTCTGCCCGGTGCTGATGGCTGAGTCCCTGCAACCTGCCGGATCCAGATTGTGAAGCTGGGCACGAAAAGCTACCGGGGTCCGGGCGCCTGGTCAAGTAGTGGAGAGGTCCACCGACGCCGTGGCCTGCCCCCTAAGCGCCGTCCCTCTGTACTTCTCCGCCTGTTCGACCTACACCATCCCCGTGACCCGATACCTCTCCCGGTCCTTGGACACTGACGGACACCCGTGTCTGCAGGAACTGCATGCAAGGTGCTTCACCAGTTCTATGATGCTGTGGTGGATGGTCCGCTACAAGCATTGGTGACGTTTCCTATGGCAATTACAAGGAACGGTGAAAAGAGGGATGCATGGGGACAGGGTAAGGGGGAAGTGTGTGAACGGTCTCGAGACATGAGTGGTGATGCAAGAGGTGTGTGCGCACGACACCGTGTGGTAACACATGGTGCACATTGAGGGTGAAACCGACTGATCAACTAAACCACCGTTGATGCTCGTAGGCCCCTATACTCAGCCGAATAAGGAACGATTCGACAAACACCTAATGTAGGCAGTGTCACCTGATGCGCCTGCATTTGCTGTTGTAGCGCGATAGATAGCTACACAGTAATGATGAGTTCATTAAGAAATATGCGAGTTTGATTACGAATAGGAAATCTTCTGAAACTGACATGGCTGTCAAAGAATTATTTGTAAGAATACACCGGAACTGAATATCAAGAATCTGTACGACAGTCATTTTTGTAATCCACGAACTTACTGAAATCTCTTTGCTCACACAATTACGTGGCTGTTTTAGAATTTATATCCTACACACGTTCAGTTGGTGTGATTTGGGCGGCTGTTGACCCGGTTGCCAACTGGAAGGAGACGTGCACTGCAGCAGTAACAGGTGTTGTTGGGGAAAGGGGGTGGACACCACGAGGGCCATAGAGCTCCCCGGGCAGCCCTCCCCGGGCAGCCCTGTCTGACCCCTACCGAGGAGTTAAGCGAAGATAGGCTGCGCGTTGCTGGCTGTACTACTAGTTGTGGGCCCGGTAGGGTTCCGCATGGTCGAGAGGATTTCCCGTTTGGCTCGTAGCCGCGTTGTGGGATGGCGGCTTGGGTTTAGGCCTGCAGCTCATGCGCGGGTTTATGTACACCGGCTGGGCTTAGGAGCCGACACAAGGCTGGCAAGGGGAAATCAGCCTACCGTGGCCTTGTGCGCCACTGCATTGCACTGTACTGCACTGTACTGCCGGCCCTACCGTGCACGGTGCTTGTACTGCCGCTGCTATCGTCGACGCTGCCACCGCTGCTCAAAGTGCTTCGATACCCATAGCCTTCGGATGACCCACCGAGGGCCGAGGGGGGAGCGGAAGGTGGAGTTAGCCCCAAGCAGCTCTGCGGTCTTCACTGACCCCGACATCTGCTTTACGGCGCTCCCCTCCGGCACTCATCTGAGTCACCTCGTGGCGGGGAGCAGCCCCGGTCACTGCAGCTAGGGCCTCCACGGAGGGCGGGACGGCTGTGTGATGTGGAGGGAGGAAGCGAGAGGGCAGGCAGGCAGGCAGGCAGGGAGGGAGGAAGGGAAGGCTGTCTTTTGCAGGGTCCCCCCGACAACAGCAGGGGTGCAGCCCGCGACCAGTTTTACGGCTTCTTGCGGTCGACGGCTGATAGCGGTTGGCCCGTCGTACGTTGCCGGGGACCATTGACGAGCCGCGTTGGTGGCGAGGCGTTTGGTCGGGTCAGCAGCATATTCGACCTTATTGGGCGTTCTTACCGCCACCATGTCGCGTAATTTACACCACGGTAGATTACCTGCGTTGGATTGGAATAAGAGGAAATTTAGTGTGGTTCAGGGTGGTTTGATGATGTTTGCGGACCTAAAGCTGCACGTATTTTTGGAGGACCTTGCTGTAAGCACGCTTACCGCCATTTGGACGGCTAACGTGCCCCCTTCATGGGGCCCTCATGGTCCGGGGAAAGACAGGATGGGCACAGGTGCCGAGCTGGCACGTCACAAATTGCCAACCAATCACCCGATCATCATCCTTATTGGCGCCAACGCATGTATCTATGAGGTGCATGGGCTCGGTTTATTTTGCCAGGTTTGCTTGCAGGGTTTCGGACCTGTGGCGCGATATGTCGTGCGTCCTCAGAAACACGCCCCTGCTAAGGTGCTTGGGTGCTCTGATAGGGCCGCATTGGAAGGGGGAGGTAGCAACATGCAGCACTCCTGAATGTGTGAGTGGGCCTGAAGTGTCTTCATGCTTTATGGGGCTCATGGGGACATCCTGCAGAATGTGTTCCGTTAGGCAGTAACTAACCTTGCGCTTTACAGGGGCTCGCAGACGTTTGATGTTATTACGAGAATTGCTGGGTAAGCAGTCGTGGTGGCTTGAGCCTGGTGATGATGGTGGTTGTGATGGTGGTGTAACCGTGGAGGATTTGTGTCTTTTTTCGTGGCGCAAATCGGGTACGCTGGGTATGACCCGTGGGTCGATTGGCGTCAGCATCTCGAAGGAAACTGAATTAATAAGACTGTGACCTCCTGATAAAATATTTTACATGCAGATAGGGACAAAGCTGTGTTCCTGAAAGTTTCTGAAAGCCGGGTCCTTGGTGACGATTAGGCAGGTAACACTTATGATTGCGTTGGTCTCGGCGCGCTTATCGACTGCATCTGTATATCTTTGCGTCAGGTACCGATATTAAAAACTTCTAGCAGCGCTTGTAGAGCTCCCCATTTCCCCGTCATCTCTCCTTCTAATAACTAGTCTTGGGTTTGATTTTGCTACCTTCCTGTCAAGTCTACCAATTTTGAGCCATGCTGCTGCACCTTGCCCGACGCTTTGCCGGCGCGGCTACTTCGACAGCGCCGGGTGGCTGCCCAAGCAAAGCCGCCGTCGTTGCTTACAACCGCGTTTTTCCTGTCGCTGATCGCGGCCTGTCTTCCAGCCCCAGCTGCTGTTCTGCAATTGGCTCCCACATGAGCGACAACGACCCAGAAGCTCTGGCGCACCACAAGGAAAAGGTAAGCCGCGAGCCGGGCGCAAGAACATGGCAAAGCTTCTTCGCTGCCTCGGATGACTAAAGATGCCGAGCAATGAAGCCGTCACCGACCGGGACCCAACTGCAGTAGAACGTTTTTTCCTTTTTCATCCAGGCGACGCCACCAGCTAGTAAACTTGACACAAACGTGTTCCCTGGCCTGACGCAAACCCTAAGTCTTCTGTAGCTTTGGGTTAACGAACACAGCTTAACAAGATGATAGCTAGCGCGCAGTGTGGCCAGTTCGCGTGTGGCTACCACTGGCTGTGGTTCCGCAGGTGCTCAAGGGCGAGATGCCTGCGTTTGTGCCCGAGGTCGAGGGCTGGCATGAGACGTTGGCCTCGGTTTCGGAGGCGGTTGTAAAGGCGGAGCGCTACGTCGACGAGGACTCCACCAAGGACCCTCACAAGCTGGAACAGCTGCAGAAGCACACCATCGAGGTGGGGTCTGGAATGGATCAGCGCTTACTGCCCAAAGCTGAACAAGCACGAAGCAACTCGGGTGTTCGTCCAACGACTGGCAGCGCATAGCTGCCTTACGCGTGCCGTCTTCAGTCGCTGCTTTGGGGCGTTGTTGGATGGAATCAACTGTCCGTTTGCTGAGTCACCCCGTGAAACTTGGTTAGGGCCTCGTGTCACTTTCCGCAACCCCTCCCTGCTCTGTGCAGGTGGTGCAGCAGCTGCATCACCATGGAGAGGATGGTATGCCGGAGATCCCCAAGCGCAGTCAGCAAGACGTGTCCGGCTCACCTGCGCACTCTGCCAACCTGGAGCACATGCGCAATGCGCCCGGTTCAGATCCTCGCTGATGAGTCCGGATCCGGGAGACCCGGGAATGAGATGAGCGAGCGTCAGGCGACGGCAGGCAGCAACAGTCGCAGCTGCTAACGTAACGGCGGAGGGATTGCTGTTTGGCTGCAAATTCTTCATGTGCCAACGCGAAGCGATTATTTCTCAACCCGTGGAAGCGCAAGATATTATCCGAGTGGATATAAGCCATTAGCGGAATTCGTTTTGGTGGGAAGGGAAGTTTGGGCATGAGGAATGCGATTGTCTATGTGAGGACGTTCATTGCAGTACTTCACACATTGATGTTGCTGGTTCGCACCACTTCGCATCGGTAAATCAGCAGACACGGTAAAACCAGCTGTAAGCCATGCGTTAGTCTCTGCCTCTATGAAGCAGGAGTTGCATTAGCTTGGTGGCAAATGGCGACCGTTGACGTCTGAAACGTCAATTACTACAGTAGGTGGCACATCACGGTGCAATAACAAGTCCCGCGGGCAAAGTTATTGCCACCATTATGTTCAGATTCCGTCAACAAGTGTGACTCGAGTACTTCGGAATGAAAGCAAACATATCAACTTGATCTGGAACGAACGACGGGAGACACGGGAGGATGATATTACATACCTTTCCTGGCCCCCTCAGCTGAGGGACGGTGGCAGTTCCAAATGCACCGAACCCTTCATCACCGCCACGCCTTCGTCACCGACCTGTGAGCCTTCTACCGGCTCCCTCGGCTTTCTGTATTAGGAAACCGCTCCTCTTCCTGGATAATCCCGAAGAAACTACCAACGCAACACCATATCCATTACTCAAGTACAGCAAGCTCCAGTGTACATGACTAGGTCATTCTGTCCAAAAATTAAACCCGTACACCGCCCGGGTCACCATGCCTGCATCCTTCGCACGACCGGACCACCATCGTCCAGGGCGATGACATGAACACCTGCATCACTTATTATAGACCCTTTATGATGTCATATGATCGCTATATGTACGAGATACGACGCGCAGGTACGATACGTGGTGTCGGCCGCATGCATCCCGCACACGCTTTTGTGTCTTGCCGTTGCCTTGTGGCCTACTTGCCGGCCACAGTTTTGACCCACATGACAAGCGTATCCACATCACGCCGCTCGCTGGGATACTTGATCACCTGCACAGGAAGGGGTAATCAGGAGCAGTGGGGGAATGCGTAACCCAGGCGAATGCACGAACCTTCCAATCCTCGCCGCTGCAAGCGAGAATGCAATGGCCGGCTTCTTGCTTACCGCGGTCTTCGCCAAGCTTAAAAATAGATAGATCGCATTGACAAAAGCTACACACTTCGTCAGCTTATATCGTCTTCAGGTCCTGCACATGAAAACAGCCCTGCCCAATCACATCAACCTGCTCTACCTGCTTGCTGTCTGGCGGCAGGTAGACAATAGTGGGGAAGGTCTTGAGCTGCAGGTTGTCGTTGCAGAACTCCCGGTCAATGTCCGCCTGGTACTTGGCCACGGTTACGTTGCTGCCCGCCAGCTGAGAAGCCAGGGCCTCGTATGCGGGCTCCATAGCCTGGCAGAAGGGGCACCAGGGGGCATACAGCACCGCCAGGGTACCCTTGGCACGCTTGCCCTCCGCCAGGGCCCGCACATCATCCTTGCTCAGGGTTGCCACAGCGCTGCCTGCACCACCATACGGACCAGGAAGCAATGCTTTAGTTCCTCCATGTATGGAATAAAGAATACGGAGCATACATTTGTACTTAAGCATGGAAGGATGCACAATGCATAGACCTGAATGCACCAACACCAGGCATACGTGTAAATCCATCCTAACGTTAATGGGGCATCTCAGGACCCGAGGATTAAGGCCACAAGGTGCCCTTACAAATGGGCTGCATATATGGGCTGCTATATTAAGGCGCCTGGCGCTTGGCATGCATATGCCGTCCAACCGTAAGCTGCCTCCCGCGCCTCTGGCAGGTGTGTCATATAGTTTTATGTCCTTCCGGTTCCCGACCTGTGCATGGGTTAGGCAGCATATGGGTCCTTCTGCCATCCACAATTCCCGCCCTCACCCTTACGCACCCTCAGCCCACAGGTCACGCTCCGCCTTGCGAGCCTCCGTGGTGCCATCCGCCTTCTTTATGTTACCGCTGTGCAAGCCGCATTCCTTCGCGGCCGCGTCCTCCCACCACCAGCGGCCCTCTCGCTCTGCCTGGTTAGGCAGCACTGGCCGCGTGCATGGCTCGCAGCCAATAGAAATGTAACCGCAGCTGTGAAGCGAGTTCACTGGCACGTCCTGCAGGGCGCAAGGCGGGCGGATAAATCCTAGAACCATGCATCTTGTCAGGCGTGCGGCCCCAAACCCCCAAATCGTGGCGATATATTCACTATCAAACACCTTGGTAGGCCAGCTAGGCCAGGATGGAAAGTACAACGTACTAGGCAATAAAACGGCAACAGGGCCACGGCTACCTCATGCCATTAGCCACCTAGAGCAACATAATGCTACCAGTTTAGGCTACAACAGAGCTCGGAATGCCGTGGTGCAGCACAGCTAAATGGGGGACGAGTCCTCCCATGCGAGCACATTGGGATAACAGTATTCCCAAGTCGAGATGATCAGCCACAAGGCGCGGACATAGGGGCAGTTTGTCGGCTATCACCACACCCCCAAACAATAGATTTGGTATTTAGGTTCATAAGGCTTCCCGAGTGCATCAATAAAAATGAGGCGTTACGAGATGTACACAGTGCATGTTCTGCCCCGCGAACGGCTCTGTGGCCACTGCAGGCCCCGAGCCTGCCTTAAATGGAGCGGATCTCTATCAGCTGTTGAAAGGCCGCAGCACAGCACTGAAGAGCTATGCCATGGTGAGTGGCAGCTACTGTCAACGAGTTCACGAATGCCATATACAGCGCATGTTCTGCCCCGCGAACGGCTCTGTGGCCACTGCAGGCCCCGAGCCTGCCTTAAGTGGAGCGGATCTCTATCAGCTGTTGAAAGGCCGCAGCACAGCACTGAAGAGCTATGCCATGGTGAGTGGCAGCTACTGTCAACGAGTTCACGAATGCCATATACAGCGCATGTTCTGCCCCGCGAACGGCTCTGTGGCCACTGCAGGCCCCGAGCCTGCCTTAAGTGGAGCGGATCTCTATCAGCTGTTGAAAGGCCGCAGCACAGCACTGAAGAGCTATGCCATGGTGAGTGGCAGCTACTGTCAACGAGTTCACGAATGCCATATACAGCGCATGTTCTGCCCCGCGAACGGCTCTGTGGCCACTGCAGGCCCCGAGCCTGCCTTAAGTGGAGCGGATCTCTATCAGCTGTTGAAAGGCCGCAGCACAGCACTGAAGAGCTATGCCATGGTGAGTGGCAGCTACTGTCAAGGAGTTCACGAATGCCATATACAGCGCATGTTCTGCCCCGCGAACGGCTCTGTGGCCACTGCAGGCCCCGAGCCTGCCTTAAGTGGAGCGGATCTCTATCAGCTGTTGAAAGGCCGCAGCACAGCACTGAAGAGCTATGCCATGGTGAGTGGCAGCTACTGTCAAGGAGTTCACGAATGCCATATACAGCGCATGTTCTGCCCCGCGAACGGCTCTGTGGCCACTGCAGGCCCCGAGCCTGCCTTAAGTGGAGCGGATCTCTATCAGCTGTTGAAAGGCCGCAGCACAGCACTGAAGAGCTATGCCATGGTGAGTGGCAGCTACTGTCAAGGAGTTCACGAATGCCATATACAGCGCATGTTCTGCCCCGCGAACGGCTCTGTGGCCACTGCAGGCCCCGAGCCTGCCTTAAGTGGAGCGGATCTCTATCAGCTGTTGAAAGGCCGCAGCACAGCACTGAAGAGCTATGCCATGGTGAGTGGCAGCCATAACAATAACTCTGCTAACATGCCATAAAGCGCAACACCACTCCGCACAGGACTCTGTGGGACACCTCAAATGCTTTTTGGCGTACGGGAATATGCATTTCACGCCATCCGGCCCCCTTGCGCCATCTCCGCAATGTGGATATGTAGCCCCATTACCCGATGCAGCCACTTCTAGGCATAAATCCGAAACGTGCTTACAGTATTGCCACTCACCATAACACGCAGAAAGTTCCAGACCTCGGCAGAGGTGATGTTCGACAGGGGGTTGTACTTAATAAGCGAGCCCGGTCCGCCCTCCACGCCCTCAAACACAGGGTCGACCTGCACCACGGGTACCTCCGTGCGGGTGCCCGGGGACTGGTCCTTGCGCTGGCCGGTAATCCAGGCACGCAGAGTCTTGAGCTGCTTGCGCAATGGCTTGACCTGCGCAGTGCGAAGTTTCCGTGGGGCACAATTTGGGTCTGGTGGTATTGTCGAGGATTTCTATCTTAAAAGCCCTTGACCAGACTCTCGATCCAAACAGGTCGATGTTTTGACGTGTCTACCGGCCATGCGATGCGATGCATACTTGCGGGTTCATGTCCATAAACATAGAGGACTGACCCATTATCAACCGACCGACAAAGTCCAACGCGCCACGGGCCGGTTTGCCCGCTGAACTAGCTTCCCCACTGCGCTGATCGTGAAGACGCCAAAGAATGTCAGCAAATCAAAAAGCCGTAAGGAGGCGTGGGAGCTTCCCAGCCCCATGCACGCGCAGCACACCTTGCGAATGCGGCAGCACTCGTTGTGGCCATCCTCGTAAAACGAGAACAGACCCTTAGCCCGCACCAGGTCCATGACCTCCTGCGCCTCAGGGAAGGTGTACTCGATCCGGATCTTGTACCGCTTCTCCACCGCATCAAACAGGCGGTAGGTCTCAGGGTTCAGGCGGCCTGTGTCCAGGCTGTGATCACAAGGCGCAGGAAGAGGATCAATCGTCCATTCCCAAAAGGGAAAGCTGGATCAGTGGCCCATCCGGTTGGGAAGGAAAATAACAAGAAAAACGGGATTAACGGATTTCCGAGCTGCAAGCAGGGACTTTGCCGGCTTGTGCGAAGGGAACCTTGCATCATGGGACACACACACACTCACCTGCCCGGCCGCTTAGCATGGCGCTATGAGCTTCCATTACGAAGTGCTAAAGAGCAAGAAAGCCCCTACTACGATGGTGTGGACCCAGTAGAAATCGTATGTAGGCCCTGCTTTCGATCCATACCCACACCCGCGCATACAGACCACTAGCCGTGCCAACCCACCCACCAAGCCTTGAAGTGACCCTCACAGCGCCACCAAAATCAGGCCGACTGGCCAAGCCATGAATGCTCAGATGCCCACCTGAAGACCCGATACGGCCGGCCAGTCAGATGGGCGTACTCGATGAGGGCCACATCCTCCGCACCGCTGAAGGCGATGGCAATGTCCGAGCCAAAGGTCTTCAACGCCTGTAATGGGTGCCACAAATTCCATGGAGTCGGCAAGAGGAGGATAGGAATCCAGGCAGGGGGTACGGGTCCAGCAAGAAGCAAGCGGTGAAGGATGCAAGCGAAGCGTACAAGTCCCACATAATTACAACCACAGTACCCGTCCGAATGAGGTGACCAGTGTTCCACGTTGTAGGCATAGACTAAACGTACATGGTCCATAATGACGAGCGGCGAGCTGAGCTGCATCTCTGAAGCAAGCGCCTCCCAGTTAGGCTTCGTAACAACAGCAGCTGCGTTCACCTGTATATGGAGGACAAAGCTGGCAAGGTCAAGATGCTCTGGCCTGGCCAATCATTGCGTTGACGCAGCTTACCTGGGGAACGCGAGCAACGTTCGTGCGAACAGCAGCACGACGGGCCGCTGGCTGAGCGGCTGCCCGTCGGGCGGTGAAAGCATGGCCCTAAACAACGAAAGATAATATCTTAATGCGAGCGCCGACAAAGTAATTCAGATAGGATTGCCGATGAATTGCCTACCTGAGTCAGCTGCATTGCTACACAGTCGATAACGAGCCAGGTCCAAAGGACAGAATGTTGGATGAACAGCCTCCAAAAGCGATCCTTCCTTACCTCCGAGACCGCGAGCAATCGTGGGCCTTACAGCTCAAAAACGCTCTATCAACGTTATCGCCAGGCACGGATCGTAATATTCAACAAGAAAGAAGGTGTCAGCAGACAACGAATATCTGTTGTTCCCGGATATATAGAAACGCAGGATTTCTCTGGACTTCTTGAGGATCGTTGCAAGATGCAGCAGTCGTGAGTGTATACACTTTGACGGGGTACCAATGAAATTACATCATCGCACTTAGGTTTGCGAACTCGTTTAGACCCTAGCCTTGTTGGGCGTTAACACGACTTTCCAGTCCCTGGGTAGGTGTCAACTGCCAGCCCGTGGTCCCAACGTACGCAGGTGCCGCACTAGCCTGCGCTCCGCGCGCCCGGCGTTTGGGTCCCGACCCTTCCAGGTATGCACTCCAACTTTGCTCCCGCTCCTTGTAACGCTCCTTGTCTTCCTGCATCTCAGACCCACGTCCCCCACGGCCTCGACCTTCCCTGTAGGCAGTGTTTCGCCCAAGCTATGCGGGCCGCAGGACCTTCGTGCCCGTGCGGGCCTCGTTGACCGTCAAGGACGCGCAGTCAGGTGTCGAGTTCCTGCTCGCGCAGAAGTTCTGGTGAGCGTTTTTGATAAGTCCTTCACGACTGAACACGCCCTGGCAGAGACGCGGACGTCGGCTTCTTTGCGTGCGGATCTCCTGCTTTAGTTGTTCCTATATTATAGAGCAGCTGAGCCACAGTACAGGGGCCCAGGGTGTTGGGTTACTTCATGAAGTATTGACCCAGTCACTGACTGAAATTGCGGCAGAAGCCCTGCGGCCCGCCACTTGCATACGTCTGGTGTCCCCGACCCAGGGCTGACAGGAGGGTTGCAGAGCGGTCGGGATGCAGCGGTCAGGGTCGGGCACAGGATACGGATAGGAAAGAGTAGGACGGATAGAAATGGGGATCCCCACCCCAGGATAAGGAATGGCAGAGGGCCCAGGATGGCGGCATATTTGGAAGGGTTGACGCCAACCCACCAAGGATGAGGATAGGGGAGGGGAGGGGAGGGGATGCAGTCACCAGGATGCGGCTGTTGGATGTTTGGCTCGAGGAAAGGTAAGGGGGTTGCAGGGTGTATCCAACCGACAGGATGCGTGCCCGATACAACCCCCAGGATGCGAGGATGGGCCACCGCTCTGCAACCCTCCGGGCTGACTTAGCCGTCTTGTTCTGGCCTGTGTCTGGCCCTGACCTGGCTGGCTGGCTGCTACGCTATGTCACGGGTGCGGTCAGGGCGCTTTAGTTCGGCACAGGCACTCAGTGGCGCTGCCGGATGCCTCCACCACATGCCGCACGGAAAACTGGCAGCACGGGGGTTGGCTTTGTTCGCGTGCCTCTGAAATTTTGGCACCTAGCGCAGGACGTCGTCCACGCAACCCAGTGGTGCGGTGGTGCGGCCGGCGAGTGCCACAGGCGCCTCCCATGCAAGGCAATTCCATGACCATGACCATGAGTTGACTACGTATCCTTAGCTCCATGTCAGGAACTTTATGCCCCCGTTCTCATCCAAGTCGGCCACGCTGGGACGCCTGGTTAAGATCACCCACAACAAGGCAATGCGGGCCAGCAAGTGCCACCGTTGATTCTCTGCACAATGCCCTCCTCTTCCCCAACCCCCAACTCGCAGGCAGGGCGAGGCGTACCGCTGCCTAGGTGCCGCAACGCGATCCAAGCAGATCGTGTTCGTCAACGTCAAAGTGAGTGGTTGAAACTCGTCGACGCCTACACGATCGCACTTCCGTGAGCCCCATCTATGGGTCCCTCTTAGGGCACCACTTTAGGCACCAGAGCGTGCCAAGCGATTTTCCTTGGCTTCATTAGGTCGCCGCGGGGGGCCCCGGGATGTTCCTTCATTGCTATGGTCGCCGTGGGGCGGCAAGGAGTTTGCCTCCCTCGTGGGAGAGACTTGTCTGTACGTCGTAAGGTCTCGACCAGCACCAACACATTAACCATACGTACGAGGCAGCCGCGAACAAGCACCACGTCATGTGCCAGCACCAGTGCCTGCTGCCGCCGCCTTTCATTTCTATTCACCAGGCCTAGCCCAGTCCCCGTGCACAGGTATACTCGGTGGCCGCCTACGTGGAGGCTGATCGAGCCGCCAAGGAGCTGGGTATCCGGGAGAGGGGCGGCTTCTTTGAGACGGATGACGATTACTGCTCCGCCATCTTGGATGGGGCATTCAACAAGGTCCTGGCGGTGAGCCAATTCACATTTCCCTTCCCGAGTCACGCCCTGCTCATTTCTCCTGGACGCGCGCCGCATCTTTTGCACTTTGCCAAGTGAACTGTTGCTAGTGTGGAATTTGCCATACCTATGGGCTTCTGGACGTGCGTATCTATGTATGTGTGTGTTGCTCCCCAGCTGCACCTGGTCCGCGACGTGACGGGGGAGCAGTTCACGGAGGCGATCAACAAGAGCCTGGCGCCCCGCATGCAGCTGGCGGGTGAGTGCGGATCGTAAGGGGGGCTGCAGCGAGGCAGTCCCTGCGTGGCAGCCGGGGCTGGGCCAGGCGGCCGTGCCACGCTAGGTTTGCTTGGGGTTTGCTTGGTTCGCTAGTGCCCTGGCAGCCCCTCGCTATGCAAGCAACGAGGTGGTATAGCAGCGTGGTGGTTGCATGGGGTCGTGGCCAGCACATTCGTGGTGGTTGCCGACACGTGGTCCTTCCCCCGGCACCTCATTGCACGCTTCCATTACAATGGCCGCTGCTCACAGGTGACACTGCCTCCCTGGACAAGTTCAACGCCTTTTTCAGCAGCAAGAACTTGGTTAACAACACTGAGGTGCTGCTCTTGTGGAGCATGGCTGGAGACCTGGAGGTGCTCGTCACGCCGCCAGTCACAGCTCCCCAGGAGTACGGCCAGGTAGGATACACTACACTCTGCCCCGGTGCTCAGCCCATATACTCCCGAAAGGAGAAAAGCAGTGCTGTCTTCCGCAGTCCCACGTCTACCAAGTGCTACCTAGGCAAGTGCTCCACAAGGCAGCTAAGTCCCTGGGGTTGCCAGCAACCTTGCCACAGCGTTAAAAGAGATGTCCACATTTTCGTACGACCCGCTCCCAAACGGCTATGGCCAGGTCCTATGGGCTTCCTGGGTTGAGCTTTCTGGCTGCAGCCATTCGGCGCTGCGCTTTCCAGTTAAGACTCCTGACGTGCCTTAGCTGGGTAACCTTGCGAAAGCCCTAAGTTCGCTGGCCGCCGTGATACCATGCATGTTGTAGCGGTCTTCTGCTGCCGCTCATCGCTGCGGCTTCGTACTCGCTCCCCATGTACCGCAGGCTACGCCCGAGCTGCGCATAAGTAGCCCGGCTCTTAGCCGCGGGCTGTTCGAGATCTTCCTGGGCAGCAGCCCCGTGGTCCCGGAGGCACGTGCCGAGTGGGTCAAGGGCGCCAAGACGTTGCTGGAAAGCGAGAACGTGAAGCGTGCGTCGCGGAAGGCTTGAATTAGCACCGTTTGAACTACCCCGGGTAATATGCCGCATAGGCGCCACCGCTCTTAAAGGCTGTTTTGATTTGTGGATTAAGTGGCTGTGCTTTGGATGTTCACTGTGCCTGTTTGTGCTAGGCAGGATGGTTGTTGCTGATGATGGTGGCGGCGGTAGTAGTGTGGAAGCAAGTTATCAGATTGCAGGATGTCGCTGCAAGGATGTGATGGATGTGAATGTGTGCCGTAGAAAGGCGGGCGGTGTGAACCCGAGGTTCTGGCATCGGGTTTGTGCTGTTGCGATGGAGAGAAGTCTTATCGTGGAACGGAGGATATGATTGCGCGATTCCATTGAACTCTGCGGATGAGCTGAGGGGGATGTGGCGGATGCATGCGGACCGAGGGCAGGAAAACGCAACCGAGATCGGAATGTTAAGCTCGTTCAGGGGCCGCTGGACAGTCCGTAGGCAGCAGGTAATTAGGCATGGCACGACGCATTGGTCGCAATTTTGCATGGGACGCTGCATTTTCCTCATGTTGCATGGGGGCAACAATGCCCCACGGGACTTACTTCAGAGCAAGCACTTGGCTCTTGTTAAGCTATAAGAAGCTAGGAATGCAAGGATGGTTGTCAGCGCCTGTGAGTTGTGCATCTGCAACTGGCTGCTGCCTTTTTGCGTTTCATAGTGTCACCGGTGGTCACAGATGAAGGTCTCACAACTGCCAAAAGCCCTGCAGCCCGTTGAATAGATTCACGTAATCGAAATGGATGAATTGCTACCTTTGGTATCGTTTCTCACGTTGCCTTCGATACTCACATCGTACAGTTACTGATACGACATCTTTTCTAAGTGGAGCGGGACTTAGGGGTCTATGGGAAGCATAACCCTATGTTAAATCGAATCCTACTCTGGTTCATTCATTAGGCGTTACACCGGCCTTGCTAGAAGGAATGTTGCAGGCAGTATAGCTACATCGTTTGCCACTTGAGTCATTTCCATCAGATAGCTAAGGACTGTCAATTCCTTGCTTTACAGTAGTTGCGCTGCCACATTGCTTGTCCTTGTTAAGGCCTGTAACGCAGCGTGCCTTTAAAGATGCCCGTCGAGGTCGCTGGCACACTTAGCACCTTTGGGCACCAGGCAAGGCATGGGCGAATATGTTGGCGTTATATGTCTGCTTGCTCTTTGAATAGGCCCTTTCATCAGGATTGCGGTAGAGGTCCTGCGCTGGAGCATCGGTAGAACCTTAACCGCGAAAACTCCCCAAGCGCCGCATCTATACAAGTTGTGCTCACCATGCACCATGCTTTGGGGATGGCGGCGCAAACATCTTCTGTTTCGGCTTGTGCTTGACGCCAAAAACCGCCTATACCTGCAGCCCCTTTCGACGAAGCCCACGGAGCCACGAACGAAGATTGGCACGTCATCACGGACAGACAAGATTACCGGCGGACAGTTTGTGTTAAAACTCCTAGGCGGCACCTCGAAGGGTGTGACGACTGATGTTGCGAGCGGGTTCGGCTTGCAACCAAACTCGCGGGCGCAATCTGCACCTTCATACCGGGTAAGTTGGCAAAAATGGTGCATGTCACAATTTGTTATTTGCTCGTACATTCAAGCAACTGCCTCGGCAGTGCTTGGGGACGAGATGGTGTCGGTTCGTACGCATCCTGAACTTCGTCGGGTTTCAGGTGACCGATACAGATGAAAAGAGATTCTTTGGCAAAAACGGCTCTTCCAGGCAATATTATCATGCCACCTCAAGTGGCCTGTCTGACCTGCCTCCCCGTGCAGTTCGGCAGTCGCTTCAAACTAGACCACGAGGCAGGCGAGTCAAAGCAAGGCCTACCAGAAAGCCCAGGAACGGTGCCTCGTTATGGCAACCCGGGTCCCGGTGCCTATGCCCCACCACGCCTAGCTGCGGACTCAGTTGGCAAGCAGACGTTGTCCAACAATCCCACTGCGCCTTTCACACGGGTCGGTACTGAGAACCGTTTCGGACAGTTCAAGGACAACTTCGCGACGCCGTCTCCGGGCGCCTGGAAGTGAGTCACAGGTCTTCCATCCTCCTCTTCCTTACAATTGAGTGTGTAGGAACGAGTGGATCCTAACGACCCGTGGGCTCCGCAACCAAATCCCCCACGTTTATTCTCTCACTTGGGGCAATGCAAATGCATATCTTAGATGGTACTACTGTAAATTATACGTTGAGGGGTTGAGCACATACCGTCCCCACTTTGTTGGGTATCGTTTTCACTTGTGTTGCTGCACACTGCTGCGCAGGCCTACCTCCGGTTGGTTGGGTGACGCACCCACCTACTCCTTTCACGGCCAAGGCCGCCGCGCGGACATTGCAAAGGGCCTCCCCGGCAACCACTCTACAGCCCTGCAGGACCCAGGCCCAGGCACATATGAGGCGCCATCGGCGTTATTCATGCAGGCGTCATCAACGAAGCCAACCGCGGCACGCACCCGCGTGGGTACTGCAGATCGCGAGACTCAGCGCCGCGTGTTCGTGAGCAAGGGACACGAGAGGGAGTCAATTGGGGCTCATTCGCCAAGCCCTGCTGTGTACAGCCCGAACACGACCGTGAGCTCCAAGGTACGGCAGTCGAGCAGTTGGAAGTTTGGCAGCGGCGACCGCTTCTCGGAGGTCAAGTCGCAGAACGGGCGGAACCTCAAAGTGCTCACGCCCGGTCCAGGCTCCTATGTTGTGTAGGTCAGCGCCAAAGCAGAGCGCGCGGTATAGATATTCTCCAGCTGTACTTAGGTGCTGGACATGCATGGTGCTATCATTGAGGCTTGGCGTCGTCATCTAATGTTATCTAAGCTAGCATCTGCATGTACACGCTGAGCTGCACGCAGCTTGGGCGGTGTGCTGGGTGGAGCTATTTAAGGCCTCTCTTGCTGCTCCTGCTGCTGGGCGTCTTAGTGGTATCCAGCGATATTCCACGTAGGGTGTATTACCATGAGCTAGTTGACATGGTAAAGCACCCAACGGCTATGTACGGCGTATAATGCCTAACGGTGGTTAACCCTATGGCCGAAAGCATTAAGGTTTGGGCCTATCGGCAGTGCGCAGCTGCGGACCCCGCTGGCTTGCAATGGGGAGGAGGACCCTGGCTGAGCTGGGCCGGTGAAGCCCCGTTCGGCCGCCGGTGCAACCAATACTGGCCTTGGGGGCCTTGGGCGAGTTTCCACGGCAAGCAACCTTCTGTTTTGGCTACATCTTAGCTATGGCTTGACACAGCCGCCCACGGTGGCGTCACTACGGGGTCCGCATCCGGGCGATATGTGTATGTGACTTGTGCAAACTTACATGTTTCCGTACGGAAACGGTCATCATGGTGGTTTATGGGCAGGAGTGTTTGCAGGAGGGAAGGTCCGCATGGGAATTGGCATGGCGCTATTGGGGGCAATTACATAAGTATTGGAGATTAGGACGATGCGCACTATGTAGCTTGTAGGAACTGGATGAGATCGACTTGAAGCATTGCGGCATTGCTAGCGACGACACGTATAACTGCGCAGTGGCAGGTTATCCTCTTGAATCCTTCAGCTAGTGTCGTGTGGTTTTGGTCAGATGGAAATTGCTATTGCGCAGTATGTTAACAGCGGTGATGCGTGTTAGTTTCAGCCTCGGTGCGAGTGTTTCAGCATGATGCTTGGTATGAGTCTTATTCATCAAGGGGGCAGCGAGTCCACTGAGTCGTTATGCCACCCTGGGAGGGTCGCGTGCAATGCCTAGAAGTGGTGCGACGGCGCATAGCGGCATTGCTGTTGCTTGATTCCTCATCCGGCAATGTGCATTTTCTGATAGAATTAGGTGCGAACCATGTGTGAAGGTGCTAGTTGTTTATCTTAACCCTAAGTTATGGAAGAGGTAGGATAGACGATAGAGGGTTGTTATCTGTTCACAGTGTGAGGGATTAGGCGCGGTAGAAGGTACGGCACTTGCGCGGCACGCTCCTCCGCAGCTGCATGTACATCCTTCCCGCATTATCAAAAATGTGAATTGGATAGTCAGCCGTCGACGTGCCTAATGCTTCATGCTAACGTTTGCAATGACGATCAAAACCCAATCATTTCCGTGCCTTGAACGCGCTACAATGGTCCGGAACGCTTGCCAAGCGTGTCGAGACTCATACTCCCTTTTAAAAGCCATTGCAATTCATGGCAAGGCCATGAGTAAACGCAATTGGTCCAAGCCGCGAGCTCGCGACGAACGGGCGTCCCCGGGCAACGCTCAAAATTAAAACTACCAACCCTCAAATCGACCGTCACAGAAATTGTGAAATGAAAAAATGTGTTGATAAAACGCATGTAAGCCAGGTTCATTCATTGTACGGGCATATGCCTTGTGCCAGTTTTGTGGTCCGTCAAACGACAGTCCCGGTATGGTAGCGCATACCTGTTTCCGAACTTGTGTCCAATAGAACCCAAGGGAATTCCCCGCAAACCTTTCAGTAGGCAGCATAGTAAACAAAAGCGCAGTGTTATCTGAAGATGTATGCCGGTAAGCCAGCCGAACATTATTTACCCATCAGCGCGCGCGCGTCTGAGCCGTACATTTCACGTATGCACCGGTTCAAATGGAAGGGTTCCGGGCGGTGCATGTCATATAGATGTTTGCAAGCCCATGCACTTGACGACGGCTGAGGCACACAACGTGACAAGTCACAGCGCATCAAGCTCGGCCTTAATCCCGACAAGCACTGCCACCACCACGGCAATGCAGGGCCGCGCGTCTTTTGAGCCATGAAAGCAATCTCGCGTCAACCGCACGTAACGGGGCGGGGTCTCGGGCCCGAAGTCCAGCTCCGCAGTGTTCAGGGACGGGTAGGAGCGCAGCCTCACGCCCGCACGCCACAGCGGGCGAGTACCATTCTGAAGCTCCCACAGCATGATGCCCAAAGAATAGATGCTGCGTGTGCATGGAGCCCCAGGCACGGCACAGGGTGCACAGCAAGTTCAGCATTTCAGGGTGGCGGATCAGCAATGTGCCTGTCATTGCAACAGACCCTGCCCACGAAGGCCATCAAGAACCTAGGCACTGGATAGCACAGAATCATGTGCACAACAGCGGAAAACGACCGCGGAAGAAGGGGAAGGGACGTCATAATCACCTATGCCATTTGCCGCGCCTTTTCGGAGATGCCGTAAAGTCCTAGATTCCTTGCGGACGGTTACAGGATGTCTGACACAGGTGCGCAACCCAGCACCTGAGCAGTGCTGCGTTGGGAACCCCTGTGCAGACTCGCCTTTACGACGTAAGCCAGGCACCAGCCTGGCAGATCCACTTGTCTATCAGGGTTGTGCTAATCTGAGACGTCAACAAGCCCGTGCAAATTCAACTTACTCGGCACTCTTCCCAACCTTGCCAGAGAGGACCACCTCCTGCGCAGGAGGGAACACGCAACAGCAATGCAAGGCGATGCAAGGCGAAGCGCAGATCGAGTGCTCCGCCAGGGTACGATAAAGCTCCCAAAGAAGGCAACACAGGAAGAGGTCGCGCTTCCGTGCAGGGCTGTGATGTTGCAACACAAACCTCCGTTGTCAACGTCACGCCAACATCTTTTCGGAGACAGCAGCAGCTCATAATGCGAGCCATACCATCCTATGCTATGCGATACGATTCACCTTCAGCACCCCAACCTCCCCACGTCGAAAACATGGTTAGCCCTGGATGTCCTAGCAAACGTCAAGTCATATGAGCTTCACCGCACTGCACTACTCGTAGTAGACGTATTGGGCACAAGGTGCCAAGAAGTACACCTGGACTAAATCCCATCCGTACTCGGACGCTTCATCGGCCAACCCTGTGACGATCTTAAGCTTAAACCTATGTACAGGACTTATGCACGGATCCACAGCACCCCAGGCTGCGGCCCTCAACACCCGAGCCAATCCACCCACCGGCGCGCAGTAGTACGGGGAGCCCTGGAAGAGGTTGGACATGTGCGACTCGCCTTCCGCCATGCGCACAGAGAGCCCAAAGTCCGCGACCTTGAGGCAGAAGCCCAGCGGTGTGCCGGGGGCGCGCACCAGCAGCACATTGTTCGGGTTGAGGTCACCTGCAGGGCGAACGGCCGGGCAACAGGCAATGGGCAGACAGACTAGTATCTTCGCGAGATTGTTCATCTTCCTAAACTTGACTTCAGGACCGCCACCCGGGCTACCGACCGGATAGAGTATAGCCTAGAAGGCGCATGGCCTAGGGCCCGCTGAAATTCCCATCGACATGTCACACAGCAGCTTGGCAAACAATGACGCACAAGAATGCCACCAACTGCGTAAAGGCAGCGCACACGAATCCACACGCAATAACGCTGAACCACTACTGAACATACTGTTGGAAACCTTTCTGCCTCCTACATCCCAACCATCCCAACCACAAGCACGACATTACTTGCTGACCCCCGGCCTCCTCCCGCCACCTACGACTCACACGCATAGGACGCGTTCGAGCCCCGTAACGCATACGCAAATAGCTTAGTATTATCACCTCTCAAACCCACCGTGTACGATGTTCTTGTCGTGTATGTGCTGCAGGCCCCGAGCGACCATGAGCGCAGCCTCCACGTAACGACGAGCTGCATGGAGGCTGCTGGTTGGCCGCCCTGGTACATCAGAAGGCACCGGCTCAAGCGTGGGGCGCTGCTGCTGCTGATGTACAGCCGAAAGGGCCCCCGGGCCCTGCGCGCTGCTGCTGGGCCCCGAGCGCACTGCTGGCGGCAATGAAGGTGATGGCACCGAGGCCTCGTTCCCTGGCGAGCCCCGACTGCAGTTATTGCCATTCACGCTGCTGCTGCCGCTGCTGCCACGGCTGACGCTGGTGGCTGCTGTAGCTGCCGCGCCTGCTGCTGCTGCAGCTGCCGCGGAGCTGCTGGCGGGGGCATCACCCCGGCTTGCACTGCCAACGCTGCCCTCACCAGACGGGGAGTCCTTGCGCATCAGCCCCACGGAGGGCAACTTGAGCTTGGGGCGCGTGCCGGAGGGCTTGGGTGGAGTTAGGAAGAAGCCACAATCCACAAGACGACGCAACGGCCTGGGGAAGGAGCGGAGTCCTTGAGGTTTCTCACACATGGGTGAATGGACAAGCGGCTTGGTGATGCACTTGCATCTTTGCGCCACTGCTAGGGTCATCTCCCCACTCGGACACGGAGCGCGGAACGGCGTTACCTAGCAAACCAAACTGCTGTTCGACTGCACAGGTTCCGGAGCTATTCCACTTGACATTTCGCGACTCCCAGGACGCATTCACATGCACTTGGATCACCAGCCGTCAGTGATACGCGTGCCAGCAAGACGTGCTTCTGCGTACCCTAGCAAGCCACATGAACTTCACTAGCAAGGTATCCCTATGTGTCCTAGCTCTCGGGTCTGGCTCCGGGTTAAGCAAAGAATGCAGTCTGACTGGGCATGCACGGATTCAGCAGTGCAATATGCCCTGCGGACTGACACGCGGAAACGCACCCGGCGTCGCAGTACTCCTGGATGATGAGCAGGCGCCAGCCACCACCCTGCCGCGCCAGCTCTTGTGAGATGGACGCCAACTCGTGCTCCACCTCCCGCAGCTCGTACGAGTATGTCGTGCTGCAGTAAGAGATTGTGGTTGTGCAATTATGCCATCAATGGCGCAGGTCAATTACGTCAGGAATGGCGCAGACGCGCTCAGTTCTAGAGCGCGTAACCGCGTAACGGACGTAACGAACTGTCCTGACTGGTGAAGGCATCCACGGAACCCCTAGACCCAGCAACCTGCACACGACAAGCATGCAACTAGGCCTCCAGGACAGGGATTGACTTACACAATATTGGGATGCGCAAGGTTGGAGCTAATGGCCGCCTCCATGAGGACGCGGCCCTGCTGGCGAGCGCTGCTGTCGCTGTTAAACACCATGGACTTGACCGCCACCTGGGAACCAGACGCACCGGGAGGGATGCCACCAGTTCAATTGTGGCGACAGCGGACATGCAATTTAAATAAAGAAACGTATGTGGGCAAAATTCATGGTGGGGCAGCACCAGCCGACCATACCATGGCTGGACAGCCAGAAGCGCAAACGTCTGCCCAGAAGCCCGCCCCGCTCCCCTCCACCGCTTCCTGGCTCACCGGCAGTCCACGCCAGGTGCCTCTGTATACCGTCCCGTGAGCGCCTTTGCCCAGCATGCCATGCACCTCCAGCTGCCGGTCGTTGAAGTCCCGACCCAGAACCTGAATCATTTGGTGCATCTGCTCCAGCGCTGCAGAGCCTGTCGTTCCCAGCACGCTCTGGGTCTGGGAGACGATGGAAGTGCTCGGCACGGAGCTCATACCCGCAACACTCGCCACCCGATGTGTGTGGCGACTCGCGGGACCATGCTGACCCAATGCTGTGTTGCTCGGCGGCCGGTCGAAAGAGTCAGTGCCCTGGCTAGCGCCGTGCCCCGCGGGCACGTTAGCCGCACTGGCGGCAGTGGAGCCGCTGCCGCTACCAGGCGGCGGGACTACCGCCCGCTGCCGCACATCACCGCTGGTGCTAGGACTGCTGGCGGCTGCAGCAGAGACTTGGGCGCTAGCTCCAACGCCGCCGCCGATCGGCAGCACGGCGCAGCTGCTGGTGTCATGGCTTGTAACACCGGTGATGGAAGTGCTGCGGCCGGTGGGCCCAAGTCCGCCGGACGCAGAGCCAGAGGCGGTTCCGGAGCCCGTCGCCTTCAGCCGTGAAGCTTCCAAGTCGCTACGCCGTGCGTCGGGCCTTAGGACTTGACTGCTGTTCGTCAGGTCGTTACTAGGGTTGGCAAGGTCCAAGCTACCACCAGTGGGTCCGACGCCGCCGCCAGGGCCCCCCGGCGCACCCTCACGCAAATCCGCACCGCCGCTGCGGAGGTACTTCGCGTAGGCGCCATCGCGCCGCGCTGCGTCATCCTCAGCTGCGTAGCGCCGTCGCCGCCGCCGTACCGCTAGCAGCGCTGCCCCCCCAACCGCCAGCGCCACCACGCCGCCCACAACACACCCAACGACGACACCAACCTTTCCCCCTTCGAGTCCCCCGCCGCCACTGCTCGGACTAGCCCTCAACGGTGCTACGAAGCTAACCAGTCCAACCTCACCATGCGCCGCCACTGGCATCCTGAACGTGACGTCCGTGAGCGAGTATCGCTGCGTTGATCCTGAGGCCAGCCGCAAGTACGACGAATTGTACGAATCGATTCGCACCGCCGTGAAGAACGCCTTGACTGCTGCCATCAGTGCAGCGTCGAAGGTCGGCGCCGGCGCCGTGCTTGCCGGGAGAAGGCATTGCAGTAGAAGCCGCAACTCCGCTTCACTCACCAGCACTGTGCAGTTCTCCAAGACGACCCCCGGTGTGCCGTCGTCCATCAAGACACCCCAAATCGGACTCACCAGGACGTCCAGCGGCGACTGCGGGTCATAGGCCGCTGACCGCGCTGGAAGGGTCCCCAGCACCAGCGCCCGCAGAACAAGTTCCGAGCTATCAATGCCCACCACTTCCAGCATATTCAGGCGGCCGCCGAAGTCCAGGCGCACTGCTCGCAGGCCCGTACCGACACCCACTACGACCCTGCCCTGCACCCCGATGATAGCATCGCCACCGTTGGCGCCGGCGTTTGGCAGCGGGCGCGGCAGAAGGTCGACATCAGTGAGGGAGAAGTTGGCGACGAGCAAGATCCAGCGGTACCCCTTGCTATCTGACTGCATCGTACTGGGCGAGAGCGCAATCTGCATGGTCGGAGTGGGATGCAGGAGTGCACAGCAGTAGTAAAGCGCGGACGGAACGGCACGGTATGATGCAGTAAGCAGGAAATTAGACCCAAAGGGGGCATGCCGTCGCCCCTCTTTAAAGATGCCTGCTACACACGCCACACATGCACCGCACACGATAACCTAGCCACCGCCGCCGCGCAGATAGCCAAGCAGGCAGAAAGGTGCACAAGCTGGCTGGCAGGCCCGTAGGCCGGTGAGGTAGTCGCCCCCTAGTGCCACACATACATGAATGCACGCGATCCTTAGGAATTCACAGTAACAACATCATTCATTCACGAGTACGCGCGTACCAGCATATCTGACATGTTCATGACTTGCCGCACTGCGGAGAGGGGCACTCCGTCCTCCAGCAGCTGCTGCAGGCCGAGACTGAGGGGCAGCAACGGATAGCCCCCATCGAAGGAGTCCGTAAGGCGAACGGAGCTGTAGGTGACAGTGTACGCCTTGACGGCATCATAATATATCCCGCTGTCATTAACCTTGAGGATCTGCTTGCGGCGGGGAGGGGGCAAAAAGGGGCCGGCGCGGTCCGGTTACGGTGCACGCCTAGCGCCGCGGTGCGACCCTATTTCGCAGTGTTGCACAGAGCTTCACAGGGCTTCATAGCAGGGCGTCATTTTGCATTGTTTCTCAGGCGATGAAGGGAGTGGCTCTCAAGGACTGTGTGCTTGACAACGCATTGGTAATCTACTGCAGACCACATCCGATTACGTTTGCAAGGTGTCGCACGCAAACCCAATCCGTGACACGGCTCAATCATACACCTTGACGTGGCAAGGCGTACAACCAAACCTTGCTTCGTAGCCCACCTCCCTCTGGCCCCCTCATAAAAACCGGCTAAACCATGTACGCACGACGCCAGGTGCTCCTAGGTTATGGCCCACCTTCATATCACTGACGTTTAACCAAGCCGCCTGAGCCTGTGAGCACACGAACAAATAGCAATCCGCAATAAAGAAAGGGGCTACGGAAGTCTCCGTCGATGCCATCCGATGAGCATGTGACGAAACTCGCTCAAAAAACTGTGCGCTTGGTCCTTACGACCCGGCCATGAAGCAGCGTTGCTTAATGGCTCGCCGAGGTCATTACTGCGTTAGCTGGTTCCCCTGCCTGCTCACGCTTCACAGCCCCCGTCGCAGTACATGTCCGCATAGGAGCACATGCTTCAGGCAGTTTCACGTACCTGGTCCTCGGGCACCGGTGAGACCAGGTACTTAATCCAGTACCTGCGCACAACCAGCAGCAACAGCCCAAGGAAGGGACGCGACCGACCGAAGGCTCGCTTCCATAAGGGATTCCTGCCTCTTGTTGTCTGCTGGGCTTCACGCATAGCCCGAGCCCAATGGCCTTAAATTGATATGTTCCCGGTGTGTGACGGGGGAATGTGCACGAACAGCGAGGCACGCATGGACTTAGCAAGCATAGGAAATTATGGAAAACTCCAGCCTAGAGGACCTTGACGAGACCCGGGGCCGGGCAGAGGGACATGCGCAGAGGATTAGCCAAGCGCGTAGGACACTGTTCCCCCTTCCCATCCCACACCAACGGCGGCGCTGGGGCGCTAAGCCACACAAGCCACAGGTGGCGAAGCCTATGGCGAGCTGTGTGCAAGTTAATGCTCGGCGCAGGCAGAGCAGTATTAGTCGGCATGACTACAGTTACACCCCCTGTATACGCTAAACCCTCCAAATCCCAAAGCAATCTGCCTCTCTGCGGCTCCTCGGTCACCCGGTCCTAGGCGTAATCCCACCGCGCCCAGGTAGGGTGCACTTACTTCATGTACCTTAGCTCCTCGGCAGGCGTCACCAAGGTCGTGTTTGTGATGTGCAGCTGCCTGTCAGTTCTGTCGGCACAAATGCAGAAAGGCAGACACGCAGGTAGCTTAATACTTATGGGTGAGGAGACCAAGGAGCCCCTTCTCCGTGTGCAAGGGACATCGCACATCAGACGGCTTATATCCCAGCGACTCGGGAAATGCGCATCCGGGGCTCAGGAGGGCGGGGAACCAGGTTGGGTGCGTGGGTAAAGAGGTTACCGGACACGAACCTGTACGGGTGTGTCACAGACGCGTGTCCACCGATGTTATCGAATCAGAAGAGGTGGATCCGCACTGCATATGGGGCTACCGTTTTAGGCCTAACCACATGCGCCACAGGCGTCTAACATCTATGTGTTGGTAGCCACGGTGCTAGTGCCCACATCGTCTTTTACACGTTCGAGGTGCTACAACTACCGTCACATCGCCTGTACACAAGATCCAGTTGCCATGCATGCGGCTGTTCCCTTCAACCTCTCCTCTCTTCCCCCCTCTCTTTCTTTCACACACACATGTATACACACACACACAAACGGCGGTTACATTTTATTCACAAAGTCCGCTGTGGAAGGTTGGCTCCCCGCACACCTGCGGAACGCCCAGACGCGGTGTGTGACCATCGAAAACGCTGCGGCGGCGAAGGCGGGGCTAATATAGCTGGGCGCCAGGTTGACGCAGGTAAGGTTGATAAGTCCAACGCTGACGGCAGGTAGCAGGTCCCACAGCGTCACCATCAACTGGAAGTCCAACACCGGCCTGTTCAGTCGCGACGACCCCACCAGCTGTACGTGGTTGCCCACTGGGACAGGGCTGCGGGGCCAGGAGCTACACAACCCGACGGGGATAAAGCCGGCCAACGCCACAAGAAACCGTGAGGACAGAAGACGGACGAGAGTAGGAGGTTAAGCGGGCGCGCACGTCAGCCCGTCATTCGTGTGCATGTACGGGTATGGGGGGTAAGAGGCCCAACGACAGGTGCAGGGACAGCTCTACGTGTCGTCCTAAAACAGACGTCATAACGTTCTATCGTCCAGGCAGGCACAAAAAAGGCACGAGATCGCAGACAGCGGCCATGCTATGCTGCGCCTTGTATCCTATGTGGGCCCAATGCACGCTAATATTGGTCGCAATGGACGGGGGTTACCAAAGCAGCCACGACGCATCATCCTGTGCCTGGTGCCCAACTCCCAAGCCGACGCAGCCCTCCCTCTTCTTCACATTTTGGCCTCGTCACGCCACCTCGCCTTTTGCTCCGGGCCCTTTGCCCAAATCCATACGTTACCGCAGCGTACCTATTAGAAATAGCAATATCCGCTGCCAGCACAATTGTGACGTTGGCCGCAACCGCCTCCATGTACGAGACAAACGCATTCAGCAGCTCCGTGGCGTTCCCCACGGATGTGAACCAACAGGGGGGTTCGGGTGCTGCCCCAGCGGACGGGCAGGTGAGGGTCACATTCCGCAGGCTGGTGAAGCCGTCCTGCCACGTCATGAAATGGATGGAGCCCCGCCAGAGCTGCAGGCCAGCGTATACATGACCGACGGTTAGCTCATGATACGGAAAGTCCGAGCCCGGGCATGCAGAGGGCTGCGGGGCCGTGGCCTATCTTGTGCGCCATCATAGGACCCCGCCCAGGCATAGTACCGACGAGCTCCCAAGCGGAAGTGCAGCTAGGAGTAGTTGTTTATGCCTTGAAAGAAAATGGATATACATCTGAGGGGAGGTCTACATAATGCTTAGGCACCGGCAGGCAAAGCGACGAGGCGGCGACTGCCGTCAGTGCATGTGCCATGCCGCCGTGCTGTTGTACCTACCATGATGCTGCCCGCAACATCATGCGACGAGCAAAAGTACTCCTGATACTCAAGCACGCTGTCGCATCCGGTGCGCAGCAAAACGTTTTGCATGCTGAGGCCTGTGGCGTTGACGATGTCTATCGCCGTGGGTTGCAGGAAAGGGGCCGACCCGGTGGGGCGTCCCACCGAGACGTTGAGAGCTGTGACGCACGCGAGAGTGACGTTTTGACCTGCAGTCGTGACATGTGCGGTGTGTCGCGTTGGTCATCCGCGGGCCTGCATCAAGCCGCAGGTGCGGAATTGCTGACTTTGCCGGGCCGACCACACCTGCTGCGGCCTGCAACGACCCGGTGCCAACTCCAAAATCCCAAGTCCTTGCCACAGGAGAAGCTAGTCCTCCATCCGCAAGCTGCTCTGTTGTCAGTGTTGAAAGGCTCTCCGCGGGACCTTGCGGCCCTGCAGGACAGCCTATATCCAAGGGCTGCTGTTCCAGTTGTGGCTGACCAGTACGTGCGAGACTGATCAGACATGCAAGCAGCAGCAGCCCTCGGCTCGTGCGATTCGGCATCCGCCACGACATCGGAGCTAGAATCCCGACTTGCTAGGCTATGCATACTGATTCATGCACAACGTCATGCATACGTTGTATTGCTGTTTTGCCGGTTCGGTTGCGCTGCACGGTTCGTAGGCAGCAAAGTCGACAGTTTAGGCCTTCCGACGCTAATGTCCGTCCAAAACAGCACAGACATAAATCTTTATTATGTTGGGCTTCCATCCCAAGGACGCAGTTGTTACAGTCTGACATACGGCATGCTCTGCCAGCAATAAAAACGACCTATGGCTCTGATCGTACCTTTCGACATCGCCTCCCTACAAGCTGCGCATGTGTACTTATGGGTCCTGATATTTACCTGGTGTTTGTCAATACGTGTGACTCTACAACCTTCTTGTGCTTTTATCAAATGCGTTTGACCTGGAAAATTTTATTCTTAAGAAAATGAATGCTACGCAAGCCCGGTTGGATACGACATCCGTTCAGAAATGATTAAGAAGAGGCGTGATGACCGATAAGCCAAACATCGTGCTTCCGATTGGTACGGATCGCGGCTTCGTCGAACGAACGTGTGCATCGCGTCTCCGGCCCGTGCAGAAGCGGCTAGAGTCCTTCTAGACTTCAGCACGGCCGAAACGCACATTGACGGACAGATCTATTGACCGGAACGTGAAACGTGGAAAAACTTAAGAGGGCGCCATAAATATATCGTCCACCAAATCACCTACCCTCCACGGCATCCTCCAACCCATGTCAGCGGGCAACTTGAGTCCAGCAACTATAACCTCTAGCGCCCTTCTGCCCGCGCTTTGCAACGGCAGGACGCGACCGCGTCAACACTATAGCCCGGCCAATACGTTCACGGAGGGTCTGCCAACATTGTCATGGCTTCCGGGAAGAGCCACCGCTTGCAATGATCCGCCAGCACAGGCCCCCTCTCTGCTGCTGTCGGGGCATAGCCATCATATTGGCCGCTTACTGCAACTAACTGCGACTGCGCACTGGTGCTGTACTTGCAAACTGTACTCGCATCCTGCCCTGGGACTGACACCATTAGGACACATTCCAATGGCCAAACCTAATGTCAGAAGCCCGTAGATACCGGCCTCCCACGGCAACACCATGATTACCAAAAGCCATGGACATTAGTCCCCGAATGGCTCCGGGCCACTCCGCATAAGTCGAAAGCTGGCCTTAAAAGTAGTTGCACGGGCCGCTGTCATAAACAGAGGCAACTGGCCTTCCTACGGAATGTGCAGCGTCGTTTACATGCAATAGCCGCTGAACGGCCGGCTTGTTGGGAAATCCCCTGCCCTGGCATCCCCTCGATATCAATTTACTTGTGGGGCAAAACCCACAGCCGCATAAGCGAGTTAGCTCCGGCCGTGTCATCATCGCTTTCCTCACTGTTGCCGTCCCCGGAGCTGTCGCTGCTGAAGCGACCCATAGGTCTTCCACAAGCCCAACTCACTACCTGCAGAGCAGCAGCATGGGGATTAGGACCCGCTTAACCCAGGCGGACGAGACCGCAAAGACGGAGTCGCGTACGGCATTAACGACACGTCCACAGCTATGGACGGATCATGGAGCCATCGTCTCATGCAATCAACCGCAGTGGCTGCTCCTAATAACAGCTCAGAACCATTTTACTGGCAGCTGCTACGGTACAACCGTTCACAGCAATTGAATGGAGGCCCGTCACTCGTGAAAGAAATCCGCACCTGCTCCGTCCGCGGAAACTTGAGTGCAGCTGCGCGGGTGGGCGCCATGCACCGCAAAGCACTGGAGCTCAGCCAGGCGGGACCGTTGGGACCCAGCACGCGACCAGACCAGCGTAGGAGTGCACGGGGCCGCCCTGCCAGGGCCAGACGCAGTTCCACCCCGGAGCAACGACATGCGGCAGGTAATCAAAGACGGCACAGGATCACAAATACAACAGATACAACGCAGAGGTACATGCACCACTTGCAATTACCGTGCAGCTGCGGTCACTTCGCAATACACCGTCGAAGCTGGCTTGCCCAGGCGCCGCTTGTTTGTATCCAGGATGGACCGACATACCGGCTCCGGTTCCCGCTGTTCACCTCTTTAGATTGCGGGTGGTTTGCACGCCGTCACAAGTTCATTCCAGCCGCAGACAACCGCCAACTAGACTGTGGCCAGCTTGAGGTTTGGCAACAGTTGTCACTCTCGGTTTAGGCCGAACCACTCTAGGTCCGCAATTCGCAGGGCACACCTGCTGCAGCGCGTTGGAACTGGAGGTAGGCGGATGCCGCCGACGTTCCCGAGCCGGACGGGCTACGCTGGACAGAAGACACCCTCCCTTGGAATGTCAGGTCGTATAGCGCGTGCCAGACGCTGTCGGCGCCACGTGACAGCTCTCTCCAAGACCTCTCATCGCGTTGTTGAATGGGCAAAAGAAGGGACGATTATAAGGCATGATTACTGCTTGGCCTGGCTGTAACCAATATGCATTCCTCCATGCAAGGCGCATCCCAGCTCCGCAGAGTACCTCCGGAGGGTAAGCCCTCGGTATGTTCTGATGTGATCTCCTAAAGGGAAGTCACCCAGCAACGGCAACATATTGTCGCCAAGGAGCACCTGTTGACGCAAGCGCAACGCGCCAGCTCCACCGGGCCCAGATGGCCGAAGACGGCCTCCACCACCTCCACCGGCAGATCGTCCAGTGCGGACCGATCGGGTGCGCCTGCTCCCTTCGCCTCCTCGTCCTCCGGACCGCCATTCGTCTTGTCACCTGCGTGCCGATTCCCGACACCATGAGGCGACCTCAATCTGCAATCGCTGCTGCAACTCTCTGACACTGCAACTGCTGACTGTCCCTAACGGCGTTTTACAAGCCAGCATCAAGAGATCAGCCCCGCGTTGTTCCCTGCTTTGGAACGCAGGCAGGCCTTGCAGGCTCGACAGTCGGTCCTTTAGAGCCCAACACGAAGGTTCACTCCTTACAGTTACAGTCACAGTGTCCGCCGAAGTGCAGACAAGGCCCATGAACCGACCGTTAGTGGAAGTTTGTGTTACTGTGTCGGGGGCGACGATCTCCGTCCTCCCGCTCCCGTTTGAGCGCGAAGCGCCTCCAGAGTTGAAACTGGAACTTACTGAAACAATCCTTACAGGGCATTGCCCCAGCTCTGACTTAGCAAAGGGACCCTCACCTCGCCGTGCAGAGCGCCTCATTTGCACGACTGTGCGCTTTTGGGCCGCCAGCACCAGCATCCTGCAGGCGCCATGCCACATGCGATACGCCATGTGCAGCATTCGGCGTGCCATACCAATACCGTGAGGCCGTGGCTGCAACTGCAGAAGGACACTGTCCGTTGATGCACTCCTCCCTTACGAACCAGTGTCAATATAGGGTTGGGGAAAAGGTCAACAGAGCATTCGCATCCGGCAAAATTTATCCTGGCCCCAATTGGGCCGGCCAATTGCGAGGTGTCGCCAGTGTTGTTGCCTAGGGACAAGTCGCTCGGCGTCCGATACCTGTGCACGATTGCTCATACCATATCCATACCAACCAACCAAACCCAGCACAGAGCCCCTGCATGCCTCCGCAACATGGTGTACAGAGACGTACCGCTTTTGTTTCGGCAGGACCCGCACTGCTGCGGCGATGAGCTGGTCGAGTGTCCGGTCTAGCCTTCCCATCCTGCAAATAGCAGCGTGGGCTACGTGACCTGCGCTGCAGGAGATATTGCAACGGCTGCAAGGATGGTTAATACACAGCTCTGGTGAACTTCTGGGGTTACCTTTCAGCCTGTTGCAAAGCGACCTGTAGATCTCCAAACATGGAGACTTGGACGGCCTGCCGACGTGGGGCCGCGTCCCCAACCATCATCACAGCACATTCTCGTACATACCAGCCAATGAGAATCAAGACAACAAGGAATACCTTAACAGCATCTCGTGTAAATGCCGTCTCGAAAAGTATCTGTAGCTCCCTCATCGCTCGAGCGTTGTGTTCCCTGTGAACCAGCGCACCACAAGGGGTATCCCCCCTGGGTATTGTAGGCTGTATCCAACAGAGCTTCGACTGGCGGGGATTTCTATGTGCAGATTATGTGTCCGGAGGTGCGTGTCAATACGCGCATGGATGAAGCTGGGTATTCGAAAACGTGCTTTTGGGGGCTAGGTTCTGGGACAAGCCTTTTTCCACCTGCCGCGCGCCAATGCAGCGCGTAGTCTTCATCCTCGGCTACATGCGGGATGACGGATAACTACTACCGGTACATACATTTTTTGTCTCACCATGTCGAAAGAGCCCAGCCAAGCCGAAGTCGTTGGTAGCGCTCACAAGTTAACCTCCCGCTATCGCTGTCGCTACCTGAACTGTAAGGCATACTGCAAAGCTCATTTAAGCGAGAAACCAACTTTCAGGGCACATGATGAAGTATGATGTACGGATTGTCCGAATTGACAGCCCGCTGCGAGGACATGCGTGCGCTTGTGCTATTGCCTAACTCTCATGGGTTATTACGTATGAGTTCTATTTGGCTAGCTTAACTGGGTAGCCATGCCTCTCCTGCTTGATTCGGAAGACCCAAAGGCACCAATTGGCTTTGATTTATCGACTTCTTCGACGTTATTCTGGAGGCCAGTTCCTGTCCTTGTGAAGCAACAGGACCGGGAAGACCAGCATGAAGCGTTGACAGTTCGCATTTTGACTGGTTATGCGCGTCAGAACCACAACCTTCGGGTGCGCCGTAGTTCGTAGCTATGGCTGCATATAAGTGTTTTACGGGCGAAACGGATTGAACAAGTGAGAAACACATTTCGTTCCAACAGATACTCCGCATTCACATCTCCAACGACTCCGACCTGTACTTCCTTCACACACTTGAAGTCAGCGAAGAGGACTTCCAGAGCTTAAAAAATGATCAGGGCATCCTGGTGGACTTCGCCAGCTTTCCGGGCAAGATTATCAGCTTGCTGGAGAAATGCATTGCTGCGCAGCCAGGGGATTCGCCCAGGTGCGCAGGACCCGAACACGTGTGGATGTCCTTTTGCAAATGCAGCTGCCCAGGAAGGAAAGATCTGGGTTTTTGTTTTAATCTTAACCACGTGTCAGGGTTTGCGGGGCCCCCCCTCTATGACACCCCCAAACTTGCGCAGACTCATTCAACTTAGAAAAAGATGCCCCGCAGATTTCAGGCCGTAATGATGGTCCGCGGTAATGAATCTCTCTTCAAGATCGTTGAGATAAATGACTTCAAGCAGCTGCCGCACATCACGCTTGCTTTCAGACCTGGCAACGATTCGGTCGTAAAGCAGGCAAGTTGAACCTCCCCACTTAACCGCATACAAAACGTGGGAAGCGTGCTACTGGGCAAAATCTGTTATCCGGAGTGCCCACGCGGATTACCGAGGGGGCCATGGAAGGCTGCAGACTGGCGTTTACATCGTACCTGCCAACCCGAGACATGCCCCTTGACAGTTCCTTGCCTTCAGACTTACGGAGGTCAAGGGTAATTGCCAGGAGCTGTCAGACGCCCTAGATCGGACGAAGGTAAGTGTGCCTTTCGTCTGGCCAACCCTCTCGCGCGTGCTGGTGGTCTCGGCCGCATGTATCGCCGATGTGCCTTAGCCAGGTCCAAGAACCGACCAGTCCTCCTGCAAGAGCCGCGCTGCATTGTGAAGACCCTTTTGTCCCCTGCAACGTTTGGCAGGACGAGCGTGACAGCGCATCGGCGCAGTTGATGCAGTGCCGCCAACAACTGGCAGAACTCCGGGAGCAGTACGACAAGCACCTTCTAGAAGTGCAGGCGCAGGCCAAAACGCATCAGGCCTCGGCGCATGAGGAGCGGCTTCGAGAGAAGGCTCAACTGAAGGACCAGCATGAGCGGTAGGCTTAAATAGAATTGTTTAATGTATACATGCTGTGGGCACCTGAAAGGAGCACAAACACGAGCATGCAAGATCTAATAGCCGAAGAACCATAGACTGAATAGCTTGGCAAAAGAAAAACTGAAGGAACAAGGGGAAAAGGAGATACACTGCAGCAAGGGGCTGAACATGTAACCCAAGTCAGTGCGCTTCGACAGCGAACCTGCATGCTACCTACGTTTCTTTTATTAGGTTGTTCAAAGCCCATGCAGCATGCGTTTTTACCCGTCTGAGGGGCGATGCCACCAAAATGCATGTGGATTATTGCGTGTGCAGTTGCATCCTGTAAAGGCTTGCAGTTCGTCCTCGACCGTCACGCAATGATGGTCCCCAGCCCGTACGCACGGGTTCCCTGGCTTGCTTGCCGAGTTGGGCTGTCAGAGGTCGAACTTCAGGACGGGCCACGAATGCGGACATGCGGCGTGTTGAAGCAAGCCGAACGCACGCGGATCTAGGAACAAGCTGTAGGCAAGACTGGAAGTGATAGTGAAATGGAAAACTAGAAACAGCTTTTAAGCCGATAGCGTGCTCATTAAGGGGATTGCTCGATACGCACTGGTTGCAGAGAGTGTGGGGAGCTCGAGAAGAGGTTCCGAGACCAAATTGCGAGCCTCAATTCTCGGCTGGGAGAGCTGGACTCGGAGAACAGGAAGTTGAGGGAAATCAAGTATGAGCTCGACACCAAGGTACGCTGAGGAACTCATGTGCATATTAATATGAAGTTGCACGATGCAGAAGCCGTAGATTGCGGACATATGGTCCCCCTTCCGTAATAGCCGAAGTGACATGTTGTAGGATGCCGTCCAGGGCCTACCCAAGGATAATTAATGTTCGTATGGCTCCCGGCTTCTGGTACCCTACCTGTCTGTTGCGCTGGGGATAGGTGTCGGAGTTGAGCCACAAGTTGGGCACCGCGGAAGGCAGTAACCGATCACTGGACGAGGAGAGTGGGCGGCTGCGCACTCTCAACCAGCAGCTGTCCATGGCCAAGCATGAGCTGGAGATACAGGTTAACGAGTCGCGGGCAAAGCTACTGGCGCTGGAGGAAAAGGTACGGTAACGCTTTAGCTTGGGTTGGATGGGCTTGATCGGGGGCCTTCCATGTTGTTGGGTGCCGGTTGGCGTGGACCTGTACGCCCAGTAAGGTGCTGGTATGCACTGCTTGTGGTTGTTTTGTTGGTTTACAGGGCAAGCAATTTCCTTGTCGCGTCCGGTCCACAGGCGCAGTCCCAAGCGGATGTTGTGGAGCAGCAGCGCGGTCGTTTGCGCGATATGGAAGGCGCGATGAGGCAGAGCGAGCAGCGATGTGCTGATCTGCGCGAGGCGGTCGCCGCTGCGGAGGCCCGTGGGAAAGAGGCACAGGCGGAAGTCCTCAAGGGCAATCAGATCATCGAGAAGCTGACGGTACGTACTTCCGATAGCCCTATCATGCAAGGAGTGCTTGCACGGCGACTGTATTGGGCTAGCTTCTTAGTGTTGTAATTATGCGGTTCACTGTGGGCCTGTGCTACTGCCTATCCCCAGACGGATCTGCGGTTGGCCAAGGAGAAAACCAAGCGCAAGGCCGCTATCATCGCGCGGCAGGAGGAGGAGCTGCAGCATAGAGAGCAGACGCTGGCGAATGCCATGCGAGACCTGGCTTCACTAAGCCAGCAGCTGGAGTCCCAACGTGTTGAATTGAGCGGGCTGCAGACCGAGAACGAGTCACTGCGTGGCAAACTGGAGGATAGCAAGCAGCAATTACAGAGCAACGAGCAGATGATACGGTGGCTGAACCAGCAGGTGGGAATCTAGGACCTGCATGTATCTCACAAAAGGCAAAGCTACGAGTCACAAGTGCCATAATGCAAACAGCATCCCTGGGGTGCGATATGCACCGACACTTTCTTCGGATTCACTGTAGCCGGCTCCATCTAAACAGCACTGGGTGGCGTTCAGCCACGGGATGACCGTTCCCCAAAGGATGCCATATTGAAGGTAGCAACTGACTTGGTAGTGCAACTGCAAGGTTTGGCGGGGATGTGTAGCCACGACAATGCCTGAATAACATCCTTAATGCGACTTCGTATCATTAAAGGTGGCTGAAAAAACTCGCATGTCTCCCCTTACATGCACAGGTCACTGAGGCAACATTGCACGCACCCGCTGGAGTCGTGCCCGGCTCGCGCTTCAACTTCCGCCCATCCTCCACCTTGCCCTCAAGTCTGTCAGCACCCTCTGTAGCGGCGACGCCAGCTGTGGGGCTCTTGGCTGGACCTGGCCATTCCTCGGCCTACAAAGCTGGTGCAGCACTATCCAGCAGGTACACAGGGGCCCTAGTTAGTGGCGGGGCGGGCACAGGGACAGCCACGGTCGCCTCGGGGGCTGGGGTGGGATCGTTCGCGTCCTCGGCAGCCACAACTAGTGGACAGGTAGGCACTGCAAGCGGCAGTGGCAGCTTCGGGACGAGCTCGGCTTTTGGCACGTCAGCAGGCGCAGGGGCGCCCGTGCCGGGCGCTGCCTACAGGAGCAACTATGGCACAGGTTCACATGGCACAGGTTCACATGTCTCGTCAGGGGGTTCCGGACTGGCGTCAGCCATGGTGACGCCAGCCCCGCATCGAGCTGGTGGGAGCGGGACCTTCAGTGTATCGTCGTCGCTGTCTTTTGGAAATGGTGTCTTACCAACGAGGCCGTCGGAACCCACGCCGGCACCAAGCAAGTACGGGTTAGTGAGTGTTGGGGCGTTTGGTGGCATGGGTGGTGGCAGTGGGGTTCCAGCAGGGGGACCGGGTGGAAGCGGGACCGAGGCTGGCCGATGACATCGTGCGTGCGGACAGTGCTGTCGGCGAGAATGTTGAATATGCGCATAGTTGACGTGGCTTGACCAGCAGGCTGTGCTATGGTTGGTGGGAGATATGTGGCTGGCGGTGAACAGGGCGCTATCACAAAGTGCTGGCGTATTCGCATGCAATGCAAATGGGCTCTTGACGCTTGGACGCTTCCTATGCGAGCTAAGCCTTTATCATGGCGCGCTGATGTTACATTACGACTGACGACTATAGTATATATTGTACGCAAAATACGCAGCAGGGCCCTCAAGAAGCTTCTGGGAAAGAGCACTTTAGGTGTGGCTATGACATTGGCTTGTGGCAATCTCTGGAGGTTGTGACAATGACCAACTCCCACCGGTGCATCGAGACGGCTGCTATCACACAACACACAGCAACATAGCCCCTAGATGCAGTTTGCACATGAGCATGAAAGTTTACAGTGAATCTGGAGGGATCGCCGTACCCGAACACCATGTAGCCCAGGAAAGCCACTAGAAGCTGTCAAAAAGGACCCGTACAACGGCCCGGACAGAACCCAGCAACCGGAGGCGCTCCGCAAGGGGAGAAACTAGGTACGGCTCACGCGTAGAGACCATGACCAAGGTCATAGGGGAACTTGACTAAGTGCCTCCAACCCTGTTAGCCACCAAACGCCAAGATCCCCAAACCCCGGACTGCCCCTCATGAATTACCACCGCGTGGACCAGCCGAATAAGAGCGGAACCACTGACTCCAAAACTAACTATGCGCCAGAACAAAGCCTGACGTTGGTGGTAGTGGTGATGGGGGAATTATTCCAGCGCAGCCTACCACTCCGCGAGAGATCATTCCTCCATAGTAAGTCGCTCAGCACATGAAGACACAGACACTCACAACCCCACAGCACCGGGGCCGGACCCCACAAGCAAAATCTTTAAATTCTTCCAATTCATCAACCCTTTCGTCGGTGCATAGTCCAAGAAACCAATATGCCCACTCCACACCGGCGCTTGAACGCCAGGGGGAACAATGACAGAACATGGCCATTGCGCTGCCAGGCTTTTAAGGTCGAAATCCAGCTATGCAATGTCCTATAGCATTGAGTCATCTTACAGAGCAAACCAAATTTGCGCCCAGAAATCCAAGGACTACCGAAATCTAACCGCTCTGGTACCCTAGCACGGGGCCAGCCACCCGCTGCCAGTTCTCCTCCCATCGCAACCCCTGCTCACATGCTGCCACGTTGCGCTTTAGCTCCGTTAGCTGAGCGCTGGGCGCATTAGGGAACCCCTTCAGGAGGTTTGCCAGCTGCGTCGCGAGCTCGTCGCCACTGCTGAAGAGTAGACCCGTCTTGCCTGGCGCCACCAGTTCAGTGATGCAGCTGTACGATAAGGCACACACGGGCAGGCCGCTCCCGTACATATCCACCACCTTCATAGGTAGGTCCAGTCCTGATGAGGAGGCATGCAGCGACACCCCTACATCAGCGGCCCCCAGCAGCAGCGGGTAATCGTTTGCCTCCAGCCACAGCGCCCGTATCGCCACCTTCTTGAAGGACATTGATGCTATGCGTGAGAGGTACATGTCCTTCTGCGGGCCCTTGCCCGTAATTAGGAGCAGCAAGTCTGGCAGCATGTCCCCCGCGTTGCTGCCGCTGCCTTCCCCAGGTGCCGATTCGCTGGCCAGTTGGTCGTACCGAACCGCAGCGTCCAGCAGAATAGAGAAGTCCTCATCAGGAGTCCAGCTAGTGCTGCTAACTACAACCGCGGGCCTGTCCGGCCGCAAGCTGGCAGCCTGCCCAGACCGCTTTACTGAAACCACGGTCACCTCCGCAGACTCCTGCGTCCGGCTGGACGCGACTTGGCTGGTCCGGCGCGCCAGGAAATCGTCGAAGGCGGGTTGCTCAAGGGTGGGGCCCAGCTTGCGGAAGAGCGTGTGCAGCACAGGCAGACCCGTGCGCTTAAAAAAAGCTGGTGGCCTGTCATAAAGCACAGTTGCGCGAATGCCCCATTTGCGCTGCAAATCCTCCTGCATGGCCTTTGTGACGCAAAAATGGGCATTCCCACGCTTCCCCCAGAACCGCTCATAACTGTGTGCCAGCGCCACCAGGGGGTGGCGTTGACCTTGCGACAGGGCCAAGATAGAATACCCATAGTTGTGCCAATCTATGACCAGTTTCGCCCTATGCCGCAGAGCCGCTAGCCAGCAAACGGCCATGGTTGGGATCGCTGGTGGGTTCTGCATGAGGATGTGCCCTGGCGATGGCAACTGTATGAGCATCATCCATAGCAGCCCTAGCAGCTGATATAGAACTTTGAGAACAAGAAACAACACACGTGGCAACCGCTGCAGCCACAAAGGAAGCTCCACAACATTATGAATGTGCACGTTGCTTGCCGAGACCAGTTCCTGAAGCGGAGCTGCCCCGCCGTAAGCAACAACGTGCACATCAGTTAAAGTTTGCCTGCTCAGCGATACTGTATGATACTGCATGCGTGGGCTTCGCCCGAAATCCCCCAGCACGATGACCCAGTGAACATGCCGACTTCGTGTCGCTCTAGATGTGTCATCCATGTATCTATGTTGAATATGCGTTGATCTGTGAAAAGTTCGTCAATTACACCAAGCTTAGGAGCTAATATGCACCTTCCGATTTCCATGCAATTCGCGTACACTACCGTACCAGCAAACGCACTACGCGCAAGCCACATGCAAGGATGGACCTGTACAAACGGCTGCCTAAAGGGCAGGCTTCGCAGGTGTTTTGTATTCGGCTTGGTAATAAAATACCGCAACGGTAAACTACCCAACTACTCCTATCATAAGACCATTCTGGTTGCTCTGAGTCAGGTAGTCACCACACACTAGACACCAGTCACTTGTATGTAGTGAGCTGCAATCGACGACAAGAAAAGAGTTAACCATATCTCGTTTCCGCCCTCCAGGACAATGTGGCGTTTAAAATGCAATTCGCTGCACAATCGGGTGCGATCACAGCCCTAGCTGCAGCACCGAAGAGCCCACACAAAACCCATCAGCAACTCACGCGACCTTCGGGCTATTCTTCCGCAGTCGAGTCGTAACGGTCGCATCGTGTGCACCGTGCACCGCCTTTACGGTGGCTCCTTAGAAGCATCCCGGCAGCCAATCCGCCAGCAACAACCTGCCCTTCGCCAAGTCTCATCCAAACCTGCCTATAGACTGTTACGCCGCCACTAAAAACCAAGGCCGCACTAAAGCTTTCGCAAACTTGCTGGCCAAACCAGGGCCGTCTGCACAGATTCCAGCCTTTGCACCTCTCATGCCAGATAGTTGTACACCTGCGGGACATGGAAATCCAAGTGTGGCAAAACTTCGTTTACCACCACGTAATCTCACGCAACCATTTAGGCCCTACATTGCAGACCTACTTGCACTGATTTACAACAGCCCGGATCAGGAACTCAGGATGCGTAGCCGTTAGCTTTCCCCATGTGTAGGCAGCATACCGTGGATTTCACCTTTGGATTCGTGCATTGCGCTGCATGTGCAGCGGGAAACGTGAGGGACCTGCCCCAGGCCATAGAGGCAGGACGGCAGCGGCAACTTACGTTCGCGTCGCTAGGGTCGCGGGCCATGTACTCGCGATCAATGAGCGACTCGATGCGCTTCTTCAGGTCCGCCGCCTTTAGTGGGAACTTGAGCTGCTGCAGCGCCTCCACCACCAGGAGCTTGTGACTCAGGGTCTTGCGGGTCTTCATGATGCGCACCAGCGCCGCGTCGATCTGATACTGCCGGTCTTGGAGAACCTGCAAACGGGGGTAGTCGTGACGCATGCTGTAGTGTACGGCCGATATGCCAAAGGCTTGGGTGTTGATTAAGCCTGCAGCGCGCTGCGGCTTCTCCCTGAGGCGATCCGCTGACTGCGCCGCGCAACACAAGTGCAGCATACCAAGCTCCCGGCCTTTTGTTCCACACCGCCCTACCCCGGCGTTGCCCCCAAACAAATTCAATATTCCATCAGGAAACAGACAAGAGGATATTATTGTTTCCATGTATACGGAAACAGTACGTCGGACTATCTGCCATGCGTTTGGGGTGTGTGGTGCTTCCATTCCTCACACAGGACAGCAAGCGCTCGAGACTTGTGCCGGATGCTGCCGTTTCTCTCAACTGTCGGCCCCTCCCGCATGCAGGCAACCCAGTCCTGGGCCACCGCCGGCTAAACCCACACCACACCACCCAGACCCCAGCACTGGATCAGCTACCACAATCCGTTTCGGCGCCACCGGGCTGGTGTTGGCACCACGACGGCGATGCAGTGCAGTGCTGATTCGACCCACCTGTTCGTTCGTCTTCTTGTTCTCCTCCTCCGTCTCCTTCATCTGGATGGAGTTGATCTTGATGCGGAAGAGCTTCTCAGAGAAGGTGGAATTAAAGGAAAAGGAGTCCGTGTCTGCCACATCGCGGCCCTTAGGGTCCTTGACCAGCACCCGCACCTGCCGGTCCCGACACCGAAGCACGTCACATCAAGGCACGTTCCGCACACCAGCCGCCACTTTCCTTCATTCCCACATGCACACTTGGGCCGAATAACGTGACACGTGCGGGGCCCATCGAGCTGCAAGATACCCTATGCATTGGGTCTAACGTATTGCATAAAAGATTTTCGCCGCGGCACCAAATGCACAGAGTACGCAGCACGCTGCGAGACTCCGTTCCCATCTCAATTGGCGCTAAGCTGGCAAGCCCCAGCAGCAGCGATGAAATGCGCTGTTGTGGGCCGCCCTGTTAGGGAACCACCAATCCTCTTCTTCCTCCTCCTCCCATGCCCCTGCCTTCCCCCTCAATCAAAAACACTCCGCAGCAGCACTTACCTTGCCGCACGCAAGACTCTGAAGGGTGCGTTTCAGCTCTTTCTCCTCCAGCCCACAGCCCGCGGCGATCTCCTTGTACGACAGCGTGTCCGCATCATTGAACAGTAGCAGTACGGCGGTCTGATGGCAGTGGCGATTGGGCAGCACAAGGAAGGTACGGGGCGGATGGTGTTTCGGCCGAAGGCTCCAACGCTTCCGGTGTTGCCCCAATGGGGAAGGACAGCGGCGTGCGGGCAAATAGGGAGCGTGGGAGAGACAGCGCACGGGCCCCTGCCGATCACCAGTGCGATGAGCCCACCAAGAGGCGAACCCTCCAACAGAATAACCCCCAGCTGCATCCCGCTGCACAGCCGCGGGCACACAGAGGAATCACAACACAACAACCCCACCACCATGTCGTGGTAGCCCAAGGACCGGCGCTTGCGCTGCACCTCCCAACACCCCGCCCGCCGGGCGTTTCCCCAAACCGGTGACGCTGCTGGGGTCCGTAGCTAAGTACCGCTATCCCCATTCCAGTCCCACCAGGCCCTTCATAGCAGCAACCGCAGCAGTGCTCCAGGTGTTCACCTGGAAGGTGCTGACAGACAGCTCCTTGAGGCCCCGCGGGAAGGCGGCTCGCAGCACACAGGAGCCCAGGCTGTGTTGCCACACCAGCCGCCGCCCCGAGTACTTGGACAAGTAGAAATCCCGGAACACGGTGGAGGCCCTGTCCAGAGCCTGAGGGATACGGATACAGGCCAGGATGGGGCTCAGTAGTGAAGAGGGGAAAGGAGGGGGGAGAAAGAGGAAGGAAAGGGAAGCCGTACCAGCCGGCAGGCGAGCGCGCATGTGGTATTGCAGGGCAATGGCTAGGAGGGCTACGCCGTCGCCGCATCGCGATCTTGTACATTTCTGTGCGACCTCCCAGAGCCACGTAAACCGTTCGGATAAGGGCGGCATTGAGATGCACTGGACGAACAAAGGTGAGAGAAGGTGCGTGGGCATGAAACCACCTTCACGCCACTAAAGCACTTTTAACCCTTTCCTCCCCAATAATATAATCAACGAGGCAGGACCGGGTCACAAGTCAGGAGGGGCGTCAGCAAGCAGCCCTACCGACCTCCGTCCGCCTTCCCGGTTCCCCAGACCTCTTCCCCCAGTCCACCTCAGGCAGCTTGACATCCAGCACCGGGTATGTGGGCCAGTATCCCGATGTGAGCACCGACACCGTCACGTCCACGCCCGCGGGCAACCCGGCCGCTGCGGATGAGGCCCTGAACGCCGCCATGACGTCGTCGCTGAGCTCAACATCCTTGAACATGCCCTCCAGCTTGGCGGTGAACTGGCTGCCGCACTCCACTTTGAGCTTGGCGATCATGGCCTTCTCGGCGTCCACACTCGCACTGCGCCCCAGCAGCAGCCGCTTGGCCAGGTCCTTCTTGTAAAAGGCCTCGAACACGTCCTTGCCCTGGATGAACCTGGCCGGGCGGTAGGGGGAGAGATGAGGTGTATGCAGGTGATACAAAGGAAGCTATTTCACGTGCTAGAAAGCGTGCTGCGCCGATACCGGTCAGCGGCTTGTGCGCCCGGGCAGCCAGGGAGGAACTTGAGGCCTTGTTCTAGCATGTCCGGTCCGCGATGATAGCACCGGCATCTTTCATTGTGTTGGGACAGCATTGCTGCTGCAAACGATTGCGGCGTCGAGTCACAGGGCCGCAGCCATCAGGAGGTATCCCCCGACCCGAGCTTTTGTCCCCACCCACCTGAACAGCGTCAGAGCCCGGTCTAGGGCGGCCTCCAGCTCCTCCTCGCTGCCGCCGCCACCGGGGGGCCCCACGCCCACCCCGACACCGCCGGCGCCACCGGCGCCCACCACCGTGGTTGACACCGCCCCCGCCGCTCGGCCTCCCGCCCGCAGCCTCGCGTCGATGAACTTGGCAATGAGCTCCGCGGGTTTGTTGGCCCTCTGGTTGATGAAGTACTCGAAGGACTCCTTGAGAGTGGCCAGGAAGTTCTCGGAGCGAACAAAGGCGGATCCCACAACCTCGTCCAACCGCCCCTTGAGGTCCAATAACCGCTCCACCATCTCCTTGTCCTGCAGGCTCAACACACACACACGATTACCACCGCGATCACATCAACATAGCAACCACAGCAGCGATTGCAGCAGTAGCGCCGCACTGTCCACGTCGCAAAACGGGTAAACATGAAAATGAACAGCTTGTAAATCAAGTCTCATGGCATGGTGCTACATTTAGCTGCATCAGGCGGATTTCCGGTCAACGTATTTTCCCCACCGGCCTACTTGGCCCCCATTCGCTGCCCCCTCAACCCCAGCCCCACCCTATCGCCATCACCATCACCACCAATCGGCGACTCCCCTCTTGACCCCCTCCATCCCAATCCCCAGCGCAGCCGGTACCTTCTCCTCGTCCTTGACCAGCGCCAGCCCGGTGGCCCTCACGTACTCCCGGAATGCCGCCCGCAGCGGCTCCACTGCACCCACCCGGCCCATCAGGCCGTACAGTCGGGCCAGATCCGCCACCCGGTGTCCGTCCAGCAGCGGCCCCAGCCCCCGGTCCAGCAGGGGGCCGGTGTGGCGGCCCACCAGCTGGGCCTCCACCGCACTGATCAGCGGGCGGCGGGAGGAGGAATCCAGGTACTCGGAACTGCGCTCGTACTCCTCAAAGAGGCGAGTCTGACGGGGCCCGAGGGAGGGGCGAGGTGGAGGCGGGTGGTGGAAGGGGAGAGAACGTGGAGAAGGGAATCGCATAATGGTGTTGAGGGCTTAGGAAAAGGAGGGGATGGGGGTTACGGGTTTATAGCTCCGGAGTGGTGGGTGCATGGGAGTCTATTCATATGTGTGCAATATCAGGAGGCGTCGCGGCACACCCCAGCAAAGCACAGCTGGCGGTAGGGCTGGGGCCCCAGCGTCAGTCCCCCTTCCGGACATCCCGATCGCTGGCACCGCCATCCAGTCTCCGCCTCCTCACGCCCCCCAGCATGTGCATATCTAAACCCCCCTGCCTCTGCAGCCCCGGTCATCCCACCCCCCAACTCCCATCACCACCTCGCAGTGCCGCAGGTAGGCCGGTACATCCAGCTCCGCCACCAGCCTCTCTCCCTCGGCCCGATAGAACTGAGTGCTGGCCTGATGGGAGGAAACACAGGGAGTTGAGGTGAGAGATGGGGGACGCGGCGCGATGCGAATTATACTTATATTTCAAAAGGAGGTACAGTGGCATGGATCTAGGTAACCCCAGTGGCGGTAGGGGGGGGTGAATCGGTAGCTAAAACAGGCAACGATGCGGACAGGCCGACAGCGCCAACGAGGATGAGGCGGGGGCCCATCTTGGCCACCAGAGGGTGCCATCCATCGCATTCATAGCGGGTGGACAGCATCGCCGAAAAAGCCAACGGGACATACGCCCCCCCCCTCCCCGTGCTGAACAACGTCCCCAGCATCCCGCTGCACTGCACTGCATGTGTGTGTATGTGTGTGGGGGACTCTTGAGGCTCTGGTCCAAGGGCGGAGAGGAGCGTGAATGCGGGTCACCCCCCCACACACGCTCGCCCGGGGGGACACACACCTGAGGCCTGACCTGACTTGCATACTCCGCTGAGGACTGCCTGGCTTCTTCCGCCCCACCCTCCCTCTCTCACACCCTTGACTCGTGCCAAGCCCTTTCCTCCCACCTCCGCGGCAACACTCCTCGCCTTCCCTCCCCTCCCCCATTCAAACCTGCCTTCATAAACGGCTCGTGGAAGGCATCCGTGTAAATGGCCAGCGAGGTGAGCATCCTGACCAGCCCCTTGATGAGCGGCCGGTTGACCGCCTCCCCGCACCGCTCCCGACCAATCAGCTCCAGAAGACCCTCCACCGTGCGATGCTGGATCTGAGGGGTGAGGGCCGGGCCGGGCCGGGCACCGCAGGGGGGGATGCAGCAGGGGGCCGGGCAATGGGGTACATGGGAGGGGAGGACCCCAAAGGGTGAAAATGTGATAAAGAGCCTTTAAGGACGGCGAGAAAACAGCACCACGAAGCCGTGTCAAACCCGGATTCGGATGCCCAACACCCCGGCCTACAACAGTGCAGGAGGGTCTCTAATAGCATGGCTATGGCATGACAGCTCTGATACTTCGGTTGATTCGACATAAGTTTCGTGTGATAGGATAACCAATTTTCCTTGTGCGTTTTACGATATCTGTCTGTTTCAGCTGGCCCTTGGACCCGCTCAGGGCTTGGATTGTCCCGTTACGCGTTGGGAGGGTAACGCAACTCCAGGCGGTTTAACACACACATTACATATACACGCACACAACACTGGACGTTTACTCAACCCAACCGATTCGGGAGGTCGTTGAACCCCTTCCTCCTCTCCCTTCTCCCTCCAGCAAATCTCTCCTGGTCCGCTGTCCTGAACCCCCCTTCGCCCACCCCTCCTCCCAGACCCTCTTATCCTTCCCTACTGCACCTCTTTCGATAAGCACAGCCCCTCACCACCCCGCCTTGCCCCGCAAATTGTCCTGCTGAGCCCGCTGCCTGTTCTCCCGCGCAGCAACCTGGGTGGTGGGGCCTACCCGCGCGGCACGCTGCGGAGTTCCCCCTTGCCCTCACCTCTGGCCGTGTTGCCAGGTGCACCCTGAACAGCGCCAGCCCCATGTCGAATATGGACTTGATGGGTGCGGCACTGCTGGTGAGCTGCAGCACGTGGGTGCGGTCCAGATACAGGAATATCTGGCGGGTCATGAGCATCTGGCTGCAGTGATCCTGCCACACCGCCGCCACCCGGTCCAGGAAGGGCACCGCCTCCAGGGAGAGACAGTCGCTCAAGGAGGACACGTGTGCGGAGATGTGGGAGTCACACTCCTGAGGACGAGGGAGGAAAACACATACGTACGCGCACACACACATACACACACGCACACCTTTATCACTTGCTTTGTCTGGAGTGCGAGGTAGGATGGTGCTTATAGGCGATCTGGCAGCCCTTGAGCCCTCGCTCATATTAGGGCGGTTTGCAGGTACGGGGAACCCACCCACGACCATGTAACACACACACACACACGCGTGTGCGCGCGGGGGCACACACAAGAACAGTAGTCGGGTGTTGGCGACGGTGGGTTTGGTGATTTGGAAGATTTAGGAAGATGGTGTACGGCCATCAAAGGGAGTCGTACTGGGTTGTACGGGCGATACGCAAGTGTATGAGGTCTGGAGAGGCCGGGGCCAGAGGTGGGTCGGGTGAAGCCTAGGTTCGGGGGCTGCTGGGCTCCAGAGCGACGGGGGCATCATGTATGTGGGGAGCGAGGGCCCCTTCTGCTTTCCTTCAGCCCCGGGGGATCGCGCGGGAGCCGTGCGAAGGACAAGGGTGGGTCGGATCCAGTCGATTTGGGCCCAATCACGGTCACGGCGGCTAGGGCTGGCTAAGGGGCCGGGGGATGCATGAGCCTATATGTCTGCGAGCAGTGCTGCAGCTGCCTCGGTGCAGGATGAATCCGGGGCATGCGAACGAGGTGCGTGTGTACATATCTTTGTGCGTATAGACGTGTATGCCGTGTCACTATACCCGGCCCGCCTTCCCGCCTTAGGACTTCCACGCGGACCGCCACCAGCGGCGGCCTCTACCTCCCCAGCACTGGGTCATCGGGTCGGCTGCACGGATGCCCACCGGGTGTATGAATGGCATCTGGGTTTACCTGCGTCACAGCAGCGCTGGAAGCCCACCCTACCCACCTGCTGCAAGCGGCTGTACAGCTTATCCGCCATCTTGTGCATGCACATGTCTTGTACGGCCTGTGCAATCCGGCAAAACGCACACACGTATTACGGGAAAATCACCAGTGCAATCCAACAGGCGGCATCGCGTCGGGAATTTTATGCGGCAATAAAGGTGATCCTCGCAACGGCTTCACTTTGTGTGGACCCCACGGTGGAAATCCCCTTGCGCACCGTGTACAGCTCTTCCAGGCTGCACGAAACGGGGCGCTTGCAGTGTACTGCCATGATGCAGTCGCGCAGCTTGCTCCATGTGGCTTCCTCGAAGTTAGCTGGCAGCTCGGGTTTCACTGCGCCACGCACACAGCAGACATAGGAGGGCGTGGGGACTAGAGCGGCCGACCACAGGACCCGCGGGTCCTCATGGCGCACCCTTCAGAGGCTTGATCACGAGCTTTTTGGGTTGCTGGGATCCTCCATTCGCAGGAAGGAGCCCGCCTGCCGGGGCTTTGCCCTTCCCTGCTCCAAGCGCCGCCGACATGCCCGTAAGACGTTCGCTCTACCTCAAGTTATATTGTCATGGTAGCACGCTGAATTCGCTGGCCTGCGAGGGCCAAGCGCAGAACCCCGGACACTGAGCCGGTTCTGGAAACCCGCGATCCTCTGTAAGCACTAAGCTATCGTTACTTTACAAAACTTTTAAGATAGAATACGCAAAGCATTCGGAGGTATAGGGGGTTACAGTTCATGGCATATTGAGCCTGCTGAAAAAGACGTACACACCATCAACTGGCACCGAACTACGAAGCGCAACCCCCAAGCAGTTGTATTCGCCCAAGCACAGGTTGGTGCTACACTGCGCACACGCATAACGAAACGTGCGCAACCTAATAGGGGGAATAGAGGTTTGGGTGACTTCCAATCTTTGAGCTCTGCTGCAGTCTAGAGCGCCTCTTAAAGCGTGTTTTTGTCAACGAAATCATGAATCCCCTTAATGGCGTCAAAGCACTTCTTCACCGTGTGGGCTTCGCAATGCGCGAGAGCGGTCTTGCGCTCGAGCGCGTAGGCTGCCGCCTTCAGGGCATCTATTCCTTTGAGGAAAAATGTGAGGAAACGCATGGAGTGTTCACCTGATGGCTGTCATTGCGCAGAACTTGCTTCTTTCCTTTTTGCAGTGAGCCGGCACGCCTCTGTGCTGCCCATGCGGTATGAGACCCCAAGTATTGCCAAGAGTGCATGGGTTGCACCATCGGGTATGCTGTCAGGCAACGTCTCTATTGGCGAGGGTAGCTCGGTTTGGTACGGTGCCATCGTTCGCGGTAAGGATTTACTGAAGTGCGCTATTATTGTGAAGTGTTAATGATGACGGGATATGCCGGGCAGGAGACTTCCAGCCAGTGACAGTGGGCAACAACAGCAATATTCAGGACGCGGCATATGTCGGTGCTGCAAGCGAGTTCAGCCCGCCAGTGAATATCGGTAACAATGTGTCAGTCGGCCATGGTGCGGTGCTTAAGGGCTGCACCATTGGGGACAACGTTTTGGTTGGCATCAACGCCGTCATCTCGGAGAATGTAGAGGTAAGGCAGTATCTTAGTGAGCTTCTGGCATCCCGGGTGTTACACGACAGACCGTTGCCGTGAACGCAGGTGCAGTCTGGGGCGGTGATTGCTGCTGGTGCCTACGTGGAGGAGGGTGCTGTAGTGCCGTCTGGGGAGGTCTGGGCGGGAAATCCCGCAAAGAAGCTGCGGGATGTCAGAGAAGGGGAGGTGGAGTACCTGAAGTCCCTCCCAGGGCGGTACACTGAGTTGGCGGGCGAGCATAAGGGTATTATGAAGGTGCTAAGTCTCAAGCAGAAGGAGTACTACTCATGAACACGAAGGGAACGTGGTTTGCCGCTCGCATCGTCTCGGTGTTTTTGCACACAGGCATTACAAGTGGCTTACATAGTGCAACGCTGAATGCTTGTTGCAACTCTGTACTGGCAGTTGATGTCCTTGTCAGCTGGTTAATTTTGAGCTAATGATTGTTTTCAAGATCGTAGTTCTGGCCCTACGGGTTAGTGCTATTGCATATGCCTGAGAATAACGCGACTTTTATGCCGATGAAGAATGACCACAGTTACGTTTACATCATGGTTGGACGAAGTGGCGGTGTAAAAACTTATCATGTCCACAGTGTTGTCCAGATCTCGTCGTCCACAACACTCATCGTTGTTGCTGCTGTTGCAGCTGCGCAAGCATCTGCCGGTAGTGCTGGCGGATGTAGCTCTCCGTGGGTGGCGGCTGGCCCCTCGAGGCGTACCACATCTGTGTAACCCGGATGTACCTGCGGCGGGGTCACGGGACAGAGGAATAAGCCTTACAGTAAAGCTCGCACATGGCAGTATGTAACGCCTCGCGTTTAATTGTCCGCACGATACCATGCTTCCATGACAGCTTTGGCCACGTCGCACGCCTTACCTGCTGTCTTACCTGGTGGCAGCCCAAACAGTGCGGCAATAAGAAGAAGCCACTTACCTGCCGTGCCATAATGGTCGTACTGGTGTAGGAACGGGCTGCTGCTCATGCTAACCTAACCGCACGCTCAGTCCAGCACCGCGCAGGTGCATGAATGCTTGCCACCTAAAGTTGAAACAAACCGCTTAATGCACAACTCCGCCTCCGACCAACCTCAAAATTGCACATGCACACAAGCATCGGTTAACCACGTCATATCCTCACAGTTGACTATGAAATCAATCAATGTAAAATAATAAAATCAAGGGAATAGATAATTAAGCCATAAAATTGTTGACCAAACAAGCTAAGACTGCAGGGCAACAATACAAATACACAATGCAATGCAAACGGCTCAACGAAGCGAAGGTCATACTAAACGCCACACCAGGAAACATGCGTGAGTCTGTGTCCATAACACATCTCATGGGTGCAACCTAAAACTTCAGCCCAGATTTCCGTCCCGTACAGGGTAAGTCATGCCTCCAACCGAAATCCGCCCAAGACGGAGGTCATAGGAGCCACACGGACCTGTCCAAATCCGGACCAAGCAGCAACTGAGATGCCAAATCCTTTAAACGGATGAATAATTATCCAACCTTTACGACATTGCGGGCCACTTTATACATGGCACGATGCCAAACGTGCCTTACCCAAATCCTTTCCCATTAACCCTGATTCGGTGCAATTAAGGTGCGCTAATGATGGTAAGCCCTGGTGCAGGGACCCATCTACTAATATCACAGTCCGTGTCCCAAATATGTCCTATGCCAGTCCCTAGGAATGATGGCCACTCGAGGGCTCCAACCAAGCCATCCCGACAGTTCCGCCGTCTGAGGACAACTGCCCACAATACCAGCCGTACTCCTGCTGCGACCATGATAACAACTTACTCTTCCTCCGTATACGGCTGGCCGCCTGGTTTCGCAGCCATACCCGAACCAGCTGCTCCGCCGCCAGCAATTGCGCCTTCGCCACCACCGCTGCCCACGCGGCCATAGCCCACTGCGCCTTGCGACGCTGGTGTGGGTTCCCGAGCGTGCCGCGGGGAGCGCTCTGTTGATCGGCCGCGGTGATGCCCATTGCTGCTGCCCACCCGGCGCTGCACTTCCTCGTGCACGCGGCTGTATTGCTGCAAGTATTGTTCATAGGTCATAGTGTTGAAGTCCACCGGTGCCCCACCACCTCGCCGCCCATGGACGGGGCTGCGGCTGCGGCTACGTGAACGCGAACGAGCACTGCGCAAGCGGCCATCGCTGCCCTCCAACACGACCTCGTCCCGGTTAATGTTCATGAAGTGTGGTTGGTGCAGCTGCTGCTGGCTAGTCAACATGCGTGACTCAACCGGCCCCACGCCACCGCCCATGGGTCCCGAATCCTGCCCACCGCGACCCAAAACCCCGCCCCCGCGGTGAGCACCAGCCAGGGGTCCAAGGCTCCCTGGGCCTGACATACCGGTCCCGCTTAATACCGCGTTTGAGCCGGCCATGACGTTTCCCATTCCCATGCCAACGGGTCGGACGGCAGAAGCAGCACCTAACCCCGAGGGGCCCACGCCGCCAGGTCCACCGCTGTTAATGACCGCAGCCATTGCTTCCGCTAATAATGGGTTGTTGGCGCTGATAACCGTCATCGCCATGGCTTGCTGTTCAGGCAGCAAGCTGGCCATCTGGGCTACCATGGCTGCGGCCAATGCCTGCAGACCGGGCTGCTGCATGGGCCCAATACCGGGCTGCATGCCCATCCCCGCCTGCTGGAGCATGCTATTGAGCACAGCTGGACTGAAGTTGTTCATCGCCATTGCCGCTGCAATTTGCTCCAGGTTGGCGCCCGGACCCATGCCAGTACCCATACCAGCCATAGGGCCCAGCAAGCCCTGCGGCATCCCGCCCATCGCCATCACAGCCGCGGGATCCAAGGCGGGACCGCCCACTGGCCGCAAGCCGGGGCCCATACCCGCGCCCCGACCGGCAGGTGCCAACCGGCCTGGAGGCGGGCCCGGCATGCCACCACCGCGCCCAGCCATGCTTGGCCCTTGCCCGGACCTGCCACCTGCATCCATCAGCGCCAGCTGCTGCCGCGGTGGCTTAACACCGGCCGCAGCAGCGCGTTCGTGCATCAACCGTACCACAAGATCGCCCTGCTCCTGCGGCAGCTCCGTACCGTCCCGGGCGATGTGGACAGGCTTGTTCTCGTTGTAGGGGTTACGGATGTGTTCCGTCTCGCTATGCGGAAGCTCGAAGAGGACGCGCCAATCGACCCCAAACGGATTTCCAAATTGCTTGCCGTTCTCCCATACGACAGGCCGCCCGAACCTGCCGATAGGTGTTCGCATAACGGCATAGCCCTGAAACGCGTTGCTGCCGGTCACCGAATACAGGAGGCGGACTTCTCGGCTTTTGCGAAACGCCTCGTCCAGTTTGTCATCGTTTTGGCGCGTAGTTGCCCAGGCACCGACCCGAACTGAAATGAATATGTTCTGCATGGTGCTGGAACGTATGATAAAGTAACGAACACCCGAATTCACGCCACGGCCCTCGTAAATAGACCCACGTCCCTGCAAAAGGGACGTGCAAATCAAGGTCAGCAAGGTGGAAGATGCCACAACTTACCCTCCAGAACTTGTCTCTTCTTCTCCGTGTGCCCAAAAGCTAGCCATTAAGCTTACCCGCTTGACCTTACTGGGTCCACTCCCAGCGGTTCGCCCTGAAGGTCCTGCCTGTTCTTCCCCCCGAGCCGCAGCGCTTGGCACTTCATCCTTGCTACCATCGCCAGCAGGCTCTTGAGGTCCCTGGTTATCGACTTGTTCTGTCCCTACAGATAAGCCTAATATCTTTAGAAGCGCCCGAGAGGTGGGCAGCAAACGTGATGCCCACGATCCCCAGCTTCACCTGCTGCAGAAGGCGTCACCTCATGCTGCCCATCGTCTGCTGGCTCGGCCTCGAGTTCTGGCTCGTAATCGTCTTCGTACAGAAGCGTCTCCTCGTCCATGGGGCTGACCGCACGCTGATGACTCGATGTGCCTATGAAGTTACCTAAATGCCTCACAACTAATGTTTTATGCTTTAGGTCACGTGCTCCCTAATGCCACAAGCTTCTATACACGAAGTCCAAGAGTAACAGGTATACAGAATCAATTGCTGTTTTATGTTGTACTTACGTGTGCGGATCCATGAAGTTAAGCTATGCTAGGACTGCCGTTGAGTTTCAGGAGGAAATACGCCAACATCGTACGTCTGCCGGGCGACAATCACCTTGAGGAAACGGCTTAAAGGTGAACAGAAATCCTTACCGTAATCTTAATACCGAATATAAAATGTATGCGTGATAGGTTCTATGGCATCACGGTCGCGTAACTCTGTTACTCGTATTGAGCTATTTAGCACGCGCCTTACCAAGCACACAATACTCGCATGGTAACGCATTGTTAGAGGAAGTGGCAGGGGAACCCCAAAAGATTATCGCCGGGGGTTACACGTGTGTGCAGTAAGGGGTTGCAATGTCCGCACCCTTCATAAAGTCTACCTCAAAGCAGAGTCCATCCCGCTGTGGTCCATCCCAAAGACACGAGGCTCCGACTATCCAGCCGAGATATTGTGCAGTGCATGCATGGCCGGGTTTGTCCTGCCAAGCAAGGGTTATGCACGGCCGTCTTTTCCATCTTTTACACAAACCGCGGAGCGATGCCATTAGTCTGTAAATACAGCCGTTGACCCGTAGCAAAAGGGCAAAAGACAGATCCCGCTGCACCTTTACATCAAACTCCCGGGGGCTTGAGAATTGTGTGCAAAGGACTTGCGGCCGATGCCTTGAGCAATTAGGCTCAAGGCATCGGGTGCAAGTCCTTTGCAAGCCACGTCACCACAAACCTATTTGGCATCGACGAACCGCAAAGTCTGCGTACTGCAATATCAGCGCCCCTGATTCTCCATCTCAGGCGTGCTGCTGCATTCGCCGCCGCCCTGACACCACCCGCCTCCTCACGCTCGCCCGCTCTTCGCCATGTCCTCCCACAATGTTGGCTTCAGCTCATCCTCATCCTCCTGCTCATCCTCCTGCTCATCCTCCTGGTGTTGCTGCTGTTGCTGTGGGTGCGGCGTCGTGTGGAGCTCCTCCGAATCGCCGTACGCCTTGGAGGGGCACTTGATGTTGTTCGCCACCAGCGTGTCGCTCAGCTGCACCGCGGCCTCCTCAACTGCACCGCACGCCCGCCCCAGCTGCGCCCGCAGCCCCAACGGCACGCAGTCCAGAGTCCGCTTCCCCAGCAACTGCAAGTCCACATCATGGCGGTTGGGCAGCCGGTGCGCTGCTAGACCCGCAAGCAGCAGGGGCAGGTACAGCAGGCTAGACTTGAACAGCTTCCGTGCGCTCGCCTGCGACGGTTGTCGTGCAAACTGCGTCGAGCCGTACACCAAGTACAGCGCCAGGCCTGCGGCCTCCCACGCGAAGGGCTCTGACGCAAATCCCGCCTGTACGGCCAGCAATCCCACCGGTGCGATGTAGAGGCTGTGCCGCAGCGCCGTGAATGCGGTTCGTCGGCCCGTAGCATCCACCATGGATAGCATGCGAAAACCACCCGCCATGTAGTCTGCCTTGCACAGCCAGGCGAGCGCCAAAAAGTGCGGCATCTGCCAGAAGAAGAGCGCGGCGGCCAGCACCGCCGCACCCGCGTCCAGTTGGCCGGCTGCACTGGCCCAGCCCATCAGCGGTGGGATGGCCCCCACCACAGCGCCGACCCAGGTATTGGCAATTGTGACCTGCTTCAGCGGCGTGTAGATGGCGGCGTAGAGCAGGATATTGGCAGCGCCCAGGGCAGCGGTGGTCGCGTTGGTCTGTGGTGGAGTAGTAAGGCGCAGGGGTTCGGAAGGAGGGCACACGAGCGGGCGGACAGGCGGACGAGTTGGGCACGAAGAGAGTGGCGGCGATTGTAAAGAGCAAGAGAGGGCATCGGGTGTTGGTAAAATGGGTTGACAGGAAGCCCGAAGGGAAGGGGGTGTAAATTGTGCGAGTAGTCGTCCTGCGGATGGTCGACAGACTTGCGTAAGCAGCACCAGGCGGGGCAATACTCGCCAGTGCAGCTGTCTAAAGCACATCCCTACACCCACCTTGCTGCGTCGCCGTTACACTTCAGCTCTTAACGCAGCTTGACACGCTCATAACCGCACCTGCCTGCCACGGCCGCGTGGGAAGCTGAAAGGGTTTTCCCCCGACAGGCGCCCCCCAAGTCCATGCGGGCCCTGATACCCCTAAGAACAGCATACGCACCTTATCGTACAGCACCCATAAGCCAGCTGTTCCGCATGCAAGCGCGAAGGCCAGCGCATGCAGGCGGCCGAGTCGGCCAGCCGGTAGTGGCCGGTTGCGGGTTCGCGACATGAGTCGGTCGTTTGCGACCTCGTACACCTGGCCGTCAGAAACCAAGGGTTCTTGGGCTGCCACGAAACCCAAGAAGCGATAATGCAGCCACGCCCTAGCTTGCAATACTCACGTGAAGTCCTCCACAGGGAAACGGGCGAGTACACCCCAGGGCTTGCAGAAGGGAAGGGTTTTGGCCCTCCGCATCATATCACAAGGAAACCAGCCCAAAAAGATCGCACTACCTCTTCACATACAATGCATCTCCGCACACAATACCCTACCTGGTTGAGAGTGTTCGCGCAAGCTGCAGCCCCAAAAGTGCCGAGACACGTCCAAGCAAGCTTCTCGTAGTCAATAGTGTCGCCACTGGCCGCAACAAAGCCAGCACTAGCTGTCAACACGACGAGGGAACTAAGCTTGAATTTGCTGAGCTGTTTGTAGTCATTAATCAGACGGCGAAAGTTGAACCCGGCCTGCACCCTGTCTACGTCAGCACGGGTTACTGATGATGAAAGAGGTGTTCGGCTCGTCCATATAAGCCGCTTGCCGAGTAGACCACAGTGTCGGATGCCTCCGACCTCTGATGCTGCCCCGGCAACACTGTCCGCGCCAACCTTTGCAAGTTGCCATTTAAGCTGTGTAATGAGCTGCTTCACATATCGTTGGCTGGAGTAAGCCATTATGTGAAGCGGCTCTTCTGGGGGCCGGGCCCCCGGGCCGTGTGTCGGGAACGCTACTCACTATACTAAACCCAGCAGGACAACCGTAAACTACCGCTACGATCAGCAATAAATGACGACTCACGGCAGACTGCCTTGTGGATAGCGCACCGTTTGTCATAACGTACTTAGCGCAGAACCATACCGTACAAAATCATTATATGCCCTGCCGTCTAGGTCACTCCCACCAAAACTAGTAGGCAGAAGAATCGTGTTGCCGGAGTTTTACGATGCGATAGTGATGCTGCAACACATGTTTTTGTCGGGCAGCCCACGATGCTGTACTCAGCTCACCTCGACTGGTGCTGCGATACGGCATGATAAATTGGCGAGATGCCGATTTCGATTGCACCATTACACGGGTCTGCTATGTGTTGGTAGAGCTGCGCCTGACTCAAGCCCCGCCGATGTAGCCGCCGAAGCACTAGTGCCAAGCAGTGATACGCATGCAGAAGTGCTTGACGAGAAGGAACGCCAGAGGCGGGAACGCATAAGCTCGGCGAACGCTGGCAAGACGCCTTGGAATAAAGGCCGCAAGCACTCACCAGGTGCGTCGCAAAACCAACGGTTCCAGGACGACGATAGTGGGGGAGGGGGAAGTGAGCTTCGGGCAGCGTGCCCCCTAGGAAGCCTGGGCCGAATTTGCGAGGGGCCCCAGCCTTTAGGGGAATTGGAGGGTCGTGTAGTCTATGTGTGGACGGCTTGTAATCCAAACCCAAAAGTTACCTCGAGCGCCGAGATCTTACGCATATCCCTTATCTGGGTCAAACCCCGCTGTTCCCATGCACAGTAGCTTGCTGCATTTCCCGGTAAATTGCTGCCGCAACAGCAACTTGGGGCCTCCGCCATCTAGCCTTCTTGAGCCCTTCTGCCATCCTAGCTGCGGTACGGGTCCCCGATGTCTAGGGACCTCATCCCGCCTCCTCGCCCTTGCTTGCCACATTACATGGACAGTAATCCATGTCAAAAGCCACCCTCCGCCCTGTCCCGCCGCTTTCCGACAACCCCTTTCGCAGCCCTCGCCCCTCTCAGAGACCTGCTCCTCCCCACACACCACCCGGGCCATATTTGAGTTCGTGTGGCATTTCCCTACAACCGCCGCGTTCGCACATGTCTGTTTCCTGCGTATGATCCCCTCCCCCCTTCAACACCTCGTTACGATTGGGCCCCTGCCGTCCTCCGCCCACTTTGTTGATGGGTGCACAGAGACCATTGCCAAGATCCGCGAGCGCACACGTCAGGCCATGCTGCGGGTAGAGGTGGTGGACAAGCTCAAGGAGGCCAGGGCCCGGCAGATATCCAAACCCGTGGAACCAGGGGTCAGGGTGAGCGGGTGCTCGCAGGGTGCAAGAGGCAAAGAGGGAGGCAATAAAAGGGAGGAGGAGGAGGGAGTCATGTGCAAGGAAACAAGGAATGAACCGCCGGCGTCCAATGTTCCAAACTGCTGGATGAGTCCTAAGCGGTGTGATGTCATCGACCCGTGGCTCCGGGATTGTTAAAGCCCCATTATTGCGTTGCCGACATTTTTGTGGTGTAGTCGTCATCGGATGTCGTGAGACTGTCCTTGAGGCCCTTCAAATCCTGCGTAGTACAGATGAGCTGTAGCTACTGAAAGGATGTATTACTAATATTACTAGTAGTAGTAGTAGTAGTAGTAGTAGTAGTAGTAGTAGTAGTAGAGGTCAGTCCTGGCTAACTTCGTCACTCACTGAAGTAGTGAATGCGAGTTGTGGAGGGAGGGAATGTGTGTGTCATGAGTGAGGTGCAGGGTGAGGTGCAGGGTGAGGTGAGGTGAGGCGCAGAAGCAAGGTCACTTCATCATTCACTTGATCTTCCTTCATCGGTAATATTCAACTTAATTATTCTCTTCCTTTCTAAAGGAAACAGTGATGTCACATGTCTGTACGGCACTGCATATATGTCCTCATGCAGTGCCGGTTCGTTAGCCGTACGGAAGAGGGAGCCCCCTCGGGTGGGGTGGGGTGGGGTGAGGCCGGTGGGTTCCGGCGGGCGGCGGTGACGTGGGGTGGTGAGGTGCGGTTAAGGGCCCTGTGAGCAGGGCGGTATCGGCAGGTGGTCAGTTTGCTAGCGATGTGGCCCCCCGCGGTGCTGGCTTTCTTCCTGCAGCCTGAGACCCCGGGACCTCACCACTCCAGTCTTCTGCTCTCCTGCTCCCAGCCACCTTCAACCAGGCATTACAAAACCACCCACCCAGCCGCAACCGCACCCCCGGTCCATCTGCTCCATTCGCCATTGGTTCGTCTTACCCCCGGTCCCCATCCCCTTTCTGGCAGGAGCGCATTCGCGCGACGTTGCTGGCCTACCATGCATCCAAGCGATTGGAGGCGACGCAGGTGAGGTGGGGTTTGGGCAAGGGGGAAACTCTCCTATTGAAGTTACACGTACTTGTTGTACTGCTGAATGCCTGTCCACCAACTGCCTGAGTTTGGCTGATGCCAGGAGGAGGCGGCGGAGGAGGGATCATCGGCTGCAGGCGGCGCGGAGGCGGAGGTCAGGGTGACGAAGCGGGGCGCCAGGGGCAGCACTGCAGCAAGGAAGGCGATCATAGCCGGAGAGGGTTCGGCGGACGAAGAGACAGAAGCGAGTCGCGGTCACAAGCCGCTGTCAACCAAACGTAAAGCTGTAACCGGCGCTCCCAACGCTCCTACGTCCTCAGCGGCAGCAGCGCCTTCCGCTCGTGCAGCGGACGGTACACCGTCGACGCCGGCAGTGCTACCAAAGCCCGAACGCAAGGCCACCGGCGTCACTAGCACCGATGCCGTAGCATCAGATATTACAAGCATCGGGACCGGCGGCGGCGGTAGCACGTCCGAAACCGCTGTAGCCCTCGTTCAGGCCCAGGCTCAGGACCACAGCGAGACGAAGGTTCCGGAGCGGCGCGCTGGTCCCCGCCTCGGAGGAAAGCGCTCTCCGGAGCACCGGGCCGCCATTGCAGAAGCCATCCGCCGCAAGTGGCAAGACCCGGAGTACCGGGCGTCGGCCATTGCCGGTATACGGCGCGCGGCGGGGAGCGACGCAGGCGCCGCGGCCGGCAGCAGCACGCGACGACGGCAGCCGCCGTCCAACCGCGCGAAGCTACCGGAGGTGGGTGACAGCGAGGGCACCAGCGCGGGGGGGCCTGCGAGCAGATCGCAGGAGGGGACTGGCAGCAGACGGCGAAAGGCCGGCAAGGGGCCTGCTGCAGAGGAGGAGGGGGAGGGAGAGCTGTCGCCACAGACAGTGCGCAGCTCCCAAAGTGGGGTGCAGCGCAGCGAGCCGCCGTCGGAAGTGCACTCGGAGGGTGGTACTCGGAGAAACAGGAGCAGCGGCGGTGCCGGCTCGACCCCAAGTGCTGGTGGCAGCAGCGGTGGCGCGGCTGCGACGCGGACGGGGCCAACTGCTTCCGGCGGCAGCCGAGGGGCGGGCGGTCCTAGCCAGGTGAGGGGGGGAACGGAGGTTGGGGTGCGATGCAGTTTTACACGGCGGCGCAGATGCGGTGGGAAGGGGGGGAGAAGAAGGGTCACAGCGTGGCGCTTCATACCTCATTTGTGCATCCCGAACTGATATACAAACTCGGCTGGAAGCGTAATCACACACACTCGCGGCTCATCTCAGATAAACACATACACACACATACATACACACACACTTAATCACATATCCTCTGGACCACCACCTAACCGGGCCCTACCTCTCTTCATCCACCTAACATCTTTCCCCGGGGACTACCTGCCCCGCTCCGCCCCGTCCCCCTGCAGGCCGGTGGCCACCACGCCGCCGCCGCCGCCCGGTTGGCTGCAGTTCAGCGGCTGGTGCAGCAGGTGCTGCTGGCCGAGAGGCTGGTGGCCAACACGGAGAGCCTGCTGCGCCAGTTCACACAGAGGGTGAGGGTGAGGATGAGGGGGGTTGGAGGGAAGGAGCGTGACAGGAGGGAGGGATAAGAGGGCAGCGAGGGTACGGAAGGGGGGAAAACATGACAGGACCAGTTGTATGCGCATGCGCTGCGAATAGAAGAGGGAGGGATGGGGTACGGGCCGGTTCAGTGTGATGTTGTCCAGGCCGGGTGATGGATGAGAGCTTTGTAGGGGGCGGGTTGGAAAGACGTCTCTTGCCTCACTACCCCGCGCCTGTATGGTTCTTCCCCTCTTGCCTCCCCCGCGCGTCCCCCTCCCGGGAATAACGTTGGCCACCATCGCCCTCTCGGGGTCTTGGAATTCGCTTCGCGGGTTGACTTGCTCGGGTTTGGATTTCCCTTCCCAGCACCCCCCCTGATGTTCATGTCCTGCCTCTCCATCACGCGGAAGCAAGCGGGGGCGGAATGGCTTTTGACTTCCGTCCCTGCCTTTTCCATCCGCGCTTTGTTTCCCTCTCCCCATACTGCCCCGCCCCGTTATGGTGGTGACGCTGCTTCCCTTCTGTTGCGTTATCTCTCGGCCCCCTCCCCCATTACCCCCGATCTTATGCCCCCTTGGCAGCGTCACGCCCTCCGCAACGACCCTGTCATTCGCTCCCAAGCGGATGAGCAGCTGCGCTCCGTCACAGCCACTCTGGCCCAAGCCAAGGCCAAGCTGGTGCTGCTGCGGTCCAGAGTGCCGCCAGATGCCAGGTACAACGACAAGGGCGACGTGTGGTTCGCTCCCTCTGGCCCGGCAGCTTCCCTCGGCTCGACAACGGCCCGCACCTCGCGAGCTGCTGCTGGCACTGGCACTGGTACCGGTGCTGCTTCGGGCTCAGAAGCATCAGGAGCAGCGCCTGGGGAAGAGGGAGCGGAAGAGTCGGATGCCGGTCGGGTTACCGGAAGGGCCCAAAGCGACAACGGTAGCAGTCGCAGCAATAACGGCAGCGGAGAGAGTGGCAATGGCCCCGGGTTACAAAGTGGAGTGTCTTGGAATGGGAATGGGAATGGTAGTGGGCCCGGGGATCCAGCAGCTGTTGTTGGCGTGGAAGGGCAAATTGTGTATGTTGATTTGGGCGGGAATGGAGGGGGGGGAATGGCGTTTCACGGCGGAGGTGGCGAGGCCAACGGCCTGGGTTATGGAAACGGGAGGAGCCACACCCATTGGCAAAGTCATCCTCACCACTTTCGCAGTAGCACTAGCCACGGCAACGGTAGCAACGGTTTAAACGGCCTTAACGGCTTCAACGGACTGAACGGAAACGTTGTGCCTTGGCCACTGGACGAGGCCGCGTGGGGAACCAACGGTGGTTACTCGCACAACGGCCACGAAGCTGACGACGATGGCATTAACAACGGGCTGGATGACAGCGCTAATGCGCGTGTTGGCGACGCAACCAGCGACGACGATGAGGGCGACGGCGAGGACGAGGACGACGGGTTCTGGTGGAACGGCGGCGGCGGCGGCTGGGGTCACTCACCGCCCAACGGCCGCAGTCCCGGCGACCTCAGCGGCGGCCTGGGCGCCTTCCCCGACCTGCCCGCCCTTCCCCCAGGGGAGGTGGTCCAAGTGGACCTCACCTCCCTGGACCCCTTCAACTCGCTGCTCATGAGACCCGTCAACGGCCACACCGCACCGCACCACGGAGCCGCGAAGCGGAGAGGAAGCGGCACCAGCGCGGGGCCAGAGGCGGCGGTGGAGCCGCGGGAGGGCGGCAGTGGCGGTGGCGATGGCGGCTCGATGGACGCGAACTGGCAAAGCGGACAGATGGAATCCGTGTGGTTAGGTCGGCTGGCGGCGGCGGGTGGCGATGGCGATAGTGACAAGGCGACCGGCGGTGTGCTGGCCGGATCGGGGCAGGGTGCTGCGGATGGTCCAGAGCTGTCGCGGTGGTGGCTGGGGGGAAGCGGTAGCACCCGAGTGCAGGACATTGGGGAGTTCAGCGACCGACTGCCTGAATCTCACATCTGGCTAAAGGAGCTGCTGGACGTTCAGCCGGTGGGGCAGCAGCCGCATGTCCCAGGGGCGGCAGCAGGGTGGGCCTCCTTGTCTGCAGTATCGGAGGGCGAGGGGGCCGCTACCGGGCCGGGAACTGAGGCACTGGTTGGCCTTGGGGAGGTCCTCGCAACGGAGGCTGACCCCGGGCAGCTCTCAGGGCCCTCGGGCCGCCCAGCTTCCCGGCGTGTGGCGCAGCGGGCGACCAAGGGGAAAAAGGAGAGGGAGGAAGAGGCAGTGGTTGGCCAGGTGTCTAGGAACTCGCAGGGCCCCGGGAACCGGAAGGGGGGGCCGGGGGCGGAAATCCTAGCGGCAGAGCAGCAGCCGGGGGAGGACAAGGGGACAGCTCGGGAGGATCCTGCAAAGGGTCTTGAGGCGCCAGGCGAGGTGGGTGTCATGCGGGGGAGGCGATCGCAGCGGACGGCGCGGCGGCGTGGTGCTTGAGGGTTAACGGGGTAAAGTGGGTCGACGATGCAAAGCAGCTGTTCGTACCAGGGTTATTTTGAAGTCAAATGAACGAATAAACTAACAGTCGCTGGGCATAAGGGCAGGATATCCTCCAGTGTGGATATGCGCTTTTACTTATGTGTCTAGGTCCGGGAGGTCGCGTCCTTGTGTACCCCTGCATGTCGTGCGTGTTTGGATGCGTAGGAATGGAGCGGAGCGGAGGGTGAAGAGATAGGAGCTTTTTTCTTCTCGACGTGGCTTGGAATTGTTAGGAATTTATATTTTGCGTTCTCGTGCGGCGAGGCGACAGGTTAGTAAACAGGATAGTTGGTTCGCACTCTATAGCGCAGCACAATATATTTTCTTTTTTAGATAGAAACCGTTTCGTTCTTGTATTTCAATCGGAACTATTTCGTCATTGTGTTGTTGCTTTTTTTGAAAAGATGCAAAGCATTGAGAGATGTTCGGAGGTTTTGCTAGGGTCCTTGCACGCACGGCACGAAGCTGGGGAGGTTATAACCCAGAGGAGGACGGGTGCTGCACGCATGCGAGCAGGAATCGATCCGGCTATCAATCTTAAACCAGCAGGTGTAGCGCCCAGGTTGGGCTCTGCAAAACGAGTGGTGGAATGCATGCGGATGAAATGGATGCATGTGCTTGGCAGAGTCGGTAGATCCCCTTTCGACTGTATGGTTACCTGCGTCATGTGATGCTGTGAAGCCAGGCGCTCTGAGAGGGACCCTCGGCCAAAACCCCACCTGCCGCGCATACGACAAGCCGTGCTACACTGAATTTTCGCCGAATCGCTTCAGGAAAGGATCACCCAAGTCACATTGCTAATTACAAATTCGTGGATGAGCTGCATGTCTTATAATAATGCCCAGCATATAGGGGCGTTCGAGTTAAATGCGAGGGGTACGCTGGCTTTCATGGTCGCGAAACGTTCTATGATGGCGGACGGCTCCATACAGTTGTGACTAGTTTTCTCTCGAAGATCCGGGAGACCAAGCACATCACGCTCAGGCGCGCCGAGCCCGGGAAAGCGCCGGAGGACTTCGACACCATCGGCACCGCAATAATGGCTATTGCCTGTCCATGAGGCCGCCCTCAGGCTTTTATGGACGCCCGCCGCACTTGTGCGGAACTTGTAAACGTAGGACCCCGAGGTGTATCGCCTTGTAAACCAGACCCCCTTACGACGAAACTCAATAACTTAAACAAAGCAAACATCTGCGATGCAATCCGGCTCTACCGAGAATATGTTAGTGCGGTACACGAAAACGCTCCAGCATGTCCGCTTCCGAGTCCCCGACAACCACCATGTGTGGCAAACAGAGATGTAGCCGTGCCTCTCCGCAGCTCGTTAGTTTTGAATGGCAACCTACGGTGCTTAGCTATAGGACTTAAGCACTTAACCTTGGCTGTCGACCCGGTCACCATAGGCCCCTCTGCCCTAGACGCAGGCCCAAGCACAGGCTTTAGCATCCAGTTGCCGCATGCCTGAAACAAATTCACTGCGCCGTACTGGACACAGCCATTCGCAGGTCAGGCCTTGAACATCCGTTCGTAAACGCTCTTGTCCGTTCTCCGGTCGCGCAGCCGAAGCAATCGCAACTCGTGGCGCAGGCTCCGGAGCTCCTGAGCGCGGGACCCGTTAGAGAGGGCCTCCGCGGCGTTGAGGTCCTCATCAGCTGCCTGACGTCCAAGGAATGTGGCCGAGTTGTGATGTTGGCTACAGAGGCCCGGTGGGTTTGAAAGCAAGCACCGCAGGCTGGCGAGGTGGTCATGCTGCTGCTGTGTGGCATGCGGTATCTCCCCTCTCTAGGCTGGCATGTTAGTGGCTGCAGCCTGGGGCTCCACGTCCGGGATAACGCAAGAAAAGCTGCTCCACCCGTGCCTACGATTACTCACACCCACTTGCACGCACGCGCAGACTCAGTCAGCTTCCCACCTGGTACTCTCGCCTGAGCATATGTGCCTTTGCGCGCCGAAGGTGCGCCATGGTGTTTGAGGCGTCATATGACAGCACGGTACTGCACGCCTCCATGCATGCGCCATAAGCACCGCACGCCAGGTGCGCTGCGGCCGAATTGAGCAGCAACGCCAGCTGCGGGGCTCAGGGATCGGGGGATGAGGAGTGTGGACGGCAGCGGCAACCTGATTTGGGGATGACCTCGCCGAATACTCAAAACGTGATAGAAGTAGCAAGGTTAAGGTCACGGTAAATACACGAGGAAGACAGGGTTGACCAGCATGTTCAAATGTTAGGGAACCGCACCTCAGCTTCCCGTATGACTTTTTGATCGCCAGGGTTGTCCGGTTGCAACAGGCGAAGCACGTTAAGGCCGCGAGCGTAGTGATGGAGCGCCGTCTGAAAGTCCCCAGAGGTGTATGCGCGGTTGCCCAGCTGCCGCTCGTCCAACTGTTCCCATGGGGACGATAGACGTGCCACGATCATTCATGAAAATGCCTTCTATTGCCTTCTAAGCATGTGACAATGTGCAAGAAACGCGCGCATGCTTAGTCCTTAGAAATTTGTCAGGGTGGAACGAGAGACTAACGAATATGGCTGACGTGAGCGCCCAACCCTCAAGTTGTTAGCCGCAAATATGGTCATATTCTCTGGGGAGACCCCCGACATTCCTGGGGAGACCCCCGACATTGTCGGGAGCGTGGGATTATGGCTAGCTGCTGAGATGTGGAGTTCACAGAGGTCTCAGTTAATGGATCGAGATTCGCACGCTGGATTGGTGGCAATTGCTGCACCCTCTGTCTCTGCGGATGTTCGGTTGAACGGATGAGGAGGGATCCTAGAAGGCAGGATCAACCGTCTTGGACTTCCAGTTCGTATGGCGTAGTACAGTGTGGTAATGGTGGATGGTGCTGTGTGGTATGATAAATCGTAGAAATGACAATGTGTTCAAATGGCCCAGATGCCGCCCACCCTGTAACAATTCAAAAAATTCAATATTATCTGGCGGGAGGTCATAGGCAAGCAACGGCTGTCCACGTACTGAGCAGTTGCACGGAGCTGGCCTCATCCCGCCTCTAATAACCTGTACCTGCTCATTCATAGCAGCTGCAAGCTCTTCAGGGTTGGCCATTATTCGCCTCGAGCTCAGAACATGCTCGTTGAACTCGGACTTGTGTTGGTTCGAGGGGTGCTGCAAGGATGGGTTCATGGGGTGTGCCCCTCTATTGTCAGCAAGGCACACCATACCAGGCTGGCATCTTAAGGATATCGGTCCACGTACCCTCCACGTCATGCGCATTAATTATAACCCATACTTGGAGCCATAGCGAGCGGGTCATGCCAGGCCCGTCTTTTGGCTGTCCTGAAGGACACATCCACAGGCGCCGGATCGTACACACCTTCAAGTGTGCCAGCAGCAGCTCCTCCAGGTCCCTGTCATTCATGGCCCCTTCTTGCAGCAACAGGCGGGCGCGCTGTAGCATCTTGAGGACAACGGGGTTGGAGGCCCAGGCGCTGATGTCCTATCCAGCAGGACACAGCATTTCCAACAGGACAAAGCAACGCAACATATCCGGTGTGCCATCGAAAATAGATAACACAAATAGTACAACGTGAACGCACTTGCTGCATGTTGCACACGTTTCCCTTCAGTCATTTCGATAATTTCATGAACAGTATACCTCTCCCTGTCTATTGCAGGGGTGCGAGAAGAATGAGCCGCTTAGACGCTGCGTAATGTGTGTGCAGCCAGGTAACCACTGGTAGTTGTAGTAATACACTCGCAGTACGCCAAACCCACCATCGTTGCGTCGTTGAACATTGTTGAAATTATACGCAGCAGGGATCGATGCTGAATATACGGCGCCAGTGCTCTTCGTGTTGTTTCGTCCGCTAGCATCAACTGCGGTCAGTTTAGCCAAATTCAGAGACGGCAGCCCAACGCTTCACCATGCTTCACCTACTTTACGATGCACATCATCGAGAGTTGCAGTTTCTCGTGCGTCCAAATGTAGGTTGAATTCCTCCAAAGTTGCTTCCTCGAGCAGTGCAGCATTTTCATGTCTCTTTGCAAAGTCTTGAAAGCTTTGTTGAAGCTGGATTCCATCCTTAAACAGCAACATTCCTGAACTGATATTTTCGTATCGGCCGCATCGTGCTGCATCCAAATTGCCTATATATAGAGTGAAATATTGTTGTTCGTACTTGTCGAGGATCATGTCCAAGCTCTCGGATAGATAAGGCACGCATCGGCACATCACAATAACGGGCGTTACACATTTCGACCAACAATCTGTCCTCCCTAAACGCAATGTGAACAGTCCAAAACGTCTCCTCGCACGGTTTCAGTTGCCTCGAACATCAAAGCTCAACCGCCTGCACTATCGCTTCGTCATTGGCCAAGATATTCGGCGGCTGTATCGTCGAGACAAAAGAAACAGTAGGTTAGGACTTCAATGCAAGTTGTGCGGGGTCAAACTCCACGAAGGCATCCATATGCACAAATCCAGGTGCACACTCAAAAGCCAACCTGTCAGATGCTACCCTAGTCAATAACCACAGCCCTGCCACAAATACCGCGCAAGTGTGATGCCATCAAATGGTCACAACACAGCGCCGGTGGACAACCACCGAATATTGTCACACATCAGCCAACTGGACAACGCCCGAAACGCGCGACCATATTAACACATCCCAATGTTCCGGTGTGTAGCTGTTACTAATCCCCAGGAGAGTACAGCCTTTGGCCTTGCGCAACGTCCCGGTACGACATCCGGTAACGAACGCAACAACTTCCCGAAATGCGACAAATCAAGGAGACGCCTCACAGCTTGTCCTCGTATTCAGACAGCGGCGCCGGCTCCGGCTTGAGACCCTTGCGCGTACGGATATTCGTGACGAGGGTGTTGGCCTGGTTGCCCTTCTCCAGTGGGTTCATGGGCATGACATCCCAGTGGTCGAAGACGCACTGCGGGAAAGCCTGGCCCGAGGTGTTGGCGCGCAGCACCGACGTGAAGCCAAAGGACTCCACGACGGGGAGATAGGCCTTGATGTTGTACATCGGAGTTCCGGGGCGCTGCGCCTCCTCGAAGACCATACCACGCTTCGTGTTGAGGGTAGAATAAATGCCACCCAGCGCATTCTCTGGCGCCTGGATCTCGACCAGGTACACAGGCTCGCAGAGGCGTGGCTGCGACACCAGCTCGGCGGCGTAGATGACGCTGCAGTATAACAAGGGCATGGAGGCTTAAAAGCTGTTAATAATCGATCCAAACATTATGCACCCCAATAACATCTGCTCTTCAAAGCGAATCGAACGGCTGCCACAATGGCTGTTAAGGACAGCATTTCACATTGAACACCCACTTACCGACGAGCGGTCGGGATGATCTGACCACCGCCACGGTGAATTGCGTCCGTGTGAAGCACCACATCCATGAACTCGAACACGATACCGCGCATGTTCTCCTCAGCAAGGACACCCTCCTTGCACGCCCACTGCATGGCGGCAACGCAAGAATCCTTGATCTCGTTGAGGTACTGCACACCCTTGGTGACATCCACCATCATGTTGGCACCGTTCGTATCGGGAGCGAAGCACCAAATCTTCTTGGCGATTTCCTTGTCCCAACCGTATTCCTCCGACAGGATCTTCGAGCGAATCTTGGGGTCATCACGTGGGCCAACCTACAACCAAGCCGAAAACCTGACGTTCAGATATTAAAACTCGTAGTTTCTTCCTCGGTTATGATCCAACCAAACTCATATGAAATCAAAAGGATTCACGAGATACCTAATATATGTAACGTACAGAGCGGCAATCCGAACTAAGGCACACCTTGCCAGACTCGATAGCCTCTGGGAGGCCATCCTCCATGGGGCGGGCCTGGATGTATAGACGGTTGTGTTTGTTGGGCGACTTGGACATAACCGTGTGGTCCGACTGTGCCGTGACGGTCTCGCGGAACGACACAACGGGCTCCGAAATCTGGAACGCAAATTAGGGGAAAATTTGAGGTTAATCACAACAGGCAAGGTCCTCTAATGGGATTGCCCGGGAGACGCCAGAAGGTAACATCCCCAGGTAGACAATGACTACCACACCTTAATCTCGGCACCACCCATGAAGTCATCCTGCAAGTCCTTGAGGCAAATTTCCAAATGCAATTCACCGGCACCGGCAATAATATGCTCGCCAGTCTCCTCGATAATGCACTGGACCATGGGGTCTGAGCGGGCCAGACGCTTAAGGCCCTCCACCAGCTTGGGCAGGTCAGCCGCGTTCTTGGGCTCTACAGCCACACGCACGACAGGCGACACGCTGAACTTCATGGCCTTCATGGGGAAGGCGTCCTCGCAGCCCTCCTTGGTGATAGTGGCTGTCTTCGTAATGTACTGGTCCAGGCCGACAAGGGCAACTGTGTTACCACACGGAACGTCCTCCACAGCCTCCTGCTTGCGACCCATGCACAGCACCGTGCGCTGCACCGACTTGTTGTAGAGGTCCTTCTTCTCGCCTGTAAAAGATGGAACCATGTAATTACAGATACATCAAGTCTCTGTGGTATGATCGAGCTGCTTAGGACGCGGCAACGGCCACATTTCCATCACACATTCCCATGCGGTATGCATTCCCATGTTTTAGCAAGACTACCGAATCCGACCCTTGATCGCTACATTAGAACTCCAACCCGCACCTACCCGGGACGTAGTTGGCGCCCATGATGCGGACCTTGGCACCGGTTGCGACCTTGCCAGCAAAGACACGGCCGAAAGCAAAGAAGCGGCCCTTATCGTTGGTGGGAATCATCTTCGAAACATAGCACATGAGTGGCCCAGTTGGGTCGCAGTTGCGAATAGCAGTGGCGTACAGATCGTCCAGCGGGCCCTCATACAGTACGTCCACGCGGTACTTCTGCGCCTTCGCGGGAGAAGGCAGGTGATAGACGATCATCTCCAGGAGCGCCTCATTGGCGGGCAGCCATGACTGCATGATGCGCTTCATCAACGGCTTGCCGCTTAGCTCCTTATCCTCGGACTTCAGGCGGCCAATCACTGTGTAAAGGTGGATAGTTGTGAATGAATTTAATAGATTGATCTTTTCAGGTAGGTTCCTCAGCTGTGACTAATCAAGTTCCGTGTACCCCGTGCAGCGCGGTACGACAACGGTTAGTCCCAGTCCCTTTAGTATCCCACCCCACCGTTTAGCTTCTCCAACATCGGCCACAGCTTCTCCTTGGCGTCCTTCATAGCCAGATCGATAATGGTCTTAATTGGCTCGTAGATAAACTGGACGAAACCGCGCTTGCAGGATGGAGAATCGGTCTGCTTAGTCGTCCACTTTTTCGTGGCCGGGTCGAAGAAGTTGTCACCCCACAGCTTCTGAATCATACGGGCCTCATCAGTACCGAACTTGGAGGCGTACATGCGAGCGAAAGTCGTCAGAGTGAAAGCCCACCCGTGCAGACCCGCGGAGAACGAAACAGTAGACTTGTCAGGGTACACCTGGATATCGCCCATGGCGTCATCCTGGTAGGTAGCCATAATCACGTTTGCATTCTCAATAACCCGCAGATAGGTTGTGTAAGCCTCCTCGCCCTCCAGCATAAGCTCCAGGAAACAACGGTCCATCTTGTTGACAGTCAAGACAGGGCGAATTCGCTCCGCAAGGGCCTGACGCAACACGGTCTCAGTCTGGACACAAACACCCTCAACACAGTCCACGACCACAAGGGCACCATCAGTGATGCGCAATGCGGCCGTCACCTCCGAAGAGAAGTCGACGTGGCCAGGGGAATCAATAAGGTTAACAAGGTAATCGTTGCCCTCACGTTCGCCAGTAAAGTTCTTCAAGTCCTCATCGGTCATCTGGTAGTAGAGCGAAATGCCGGTCGACTTAATGGTGATACCGCGCTCCTGCTCGTCGGCGCGAGTGTCCGTGAGACGAGCGTCTCCAGCCTACAGAGTAGGAAGAAACGTTGAGGCGGCGCATGGTAAATGGGTGCCGGGACCGGCGGCGCGTACCTGCTCAATAGCCATAATACCGGCGGCAGCCACCAGCGAATCAGTGAGGGTAGATTTTCCTGCGTTGCGCAGAAGTTCCAGTGAGCCACGAATTCATATCATATGTCCAAAACATACACATACCGTGGTCGACGTGGGCAATCACACTCATGTTGCGGATGTTGTGCTTCTTGTCCATGAGCGCGCGGATCTCCTCGATAGTGAACTTCACCTGCGGCAATTAACGGTTACGCAAGGCCATACGTATTAGGACTAAGATAAGTTAATTGCAATGCATAGACTAGGGCGCTAACTGCCTGCTTCGGTGTGGGGCTGCGGCTCACCATTTTTCACGGCTTGCTGTGGCTCAGCCCAACTAGGGGATAATAGGACGGTTTCACAGCCGAAAAAGTGAAGCCCCTGCTCGAGGAAGCAAGGTTTGAAAGGAACGATTATGTGCAAAACTTTGGGTTAATTCCGGCGTCGCGGTATCCGCTCCAGGGACGGACCTGGGCACCGACACATCAAAAAAGCACAAGACCACTACTTAGGTATGCGGGCATCCTATGAATTTTGATGCAATTAATTACGGCTGACATGATGCATGACCGTGGGCCATCATGCCTACAGTTGAGGCAACCGCCGGATACACCCATTTGTGTGTCATATGCTTTCCCATAGCAACGAATATCGCACAAGGTCACGTAAATAGTATATTGTGTCGCATGTTGATGCTGGTCTAGCATATACATTTTCACTGTTCTGGGCCCTAAGCTTATGCCTCTTGTCAACCTAAAACTGTACGCATACGACTTGAAATGTTTTCGGTCATCGTGCGCTCACTGCTGTCCGTGGGAATGTGCGGAGGTGAGCCAAGTAGAAACAAAAGCTATACACTGTCGCCCATATACGTAATGCAGGGAGCTGTTTGGGGACGTCCACATTAGAAATCCTTTCGATATACTGATGCGGTGCTGCAGCTTTTATGGTGGTTTTTTAAAAATGTTACCCGGTCAGCAGTAGGATCCCTTAAACGTCAGCTCTGTTAGCTTAGCAAGAGGGAAAGGTACCCAATTATCGTCATACAAAATCCTCTGTGACACAAATCGGATGTTTTAGCTCTGCCAGATGCCGTCCGAAAGTGCGTTCCGTCACCGTCCGTACAGTGCCGTCAAATAAGACTAATGCTGCCTACCTCCGTCGCAGCTGCCGTTTTCCAACGTATCGACGCATGGATATCGGAAGCTCATACTACAAGTGGTTACGAAATGTGTGGCTGGGCTGTAGCTTTAGTTTGGGGCTACTGCGTAGGCCGCCAGTTGAATTGCTAGTCGCACAGCGGAATAGATGGAACTTCTCTAAATAAATACCATACTGAAACCACCTACCTTTAGAGTTGGAAAGAAGGAATGACACTGTCATCTCAACAGCACTTCACAGGAAAGGCACACACAAGCGCATCGTTCATCTCGTCATCCCCACCTCATTGCTTACATCGCAGCAACTGTCACATACCCGGGGATTGGCTTTTGTAGCCGGCATTGTTTTAAAGGCACGTCACTCTAGCGCCAGGCAGCAGTCGCAGGATGCTATGCAACTAAACATTTTGCGAGCGTCAGGGCACGCAAGTAATAAACATGGGCACCGAACGAGAATTGCACGTCGGATTTACCCCAAAGTGTCGATACACAGAACTGGCACCTCCGGCAAACAATCCCCTTGCCTGCTATACTTAAGTCACTGCAGGACTCCTGAAACACGCACCTCTGTCATTAGCCTGAAGTTGTACATGCCATCCAAAAAACACGCTATCCACAGCGCGAGGGACATCATTTCCTAACTGTGATCGCCAAACCTGCCAAAGGCGCAGAAACGTGAGACCCACTGACTGCACCTGGGACCTAGGTTATGGGATTTGTAGAAGTAATTGCCATGTCCCGTAAAATTGGCACTTAACATGCTGCCTAAGCCTACTGATAACTGCCACTAAAGACCACCGACAACAGCACTGAACCCGTACCAACCTTGTAGACCTCGGTCAATCCCGAGTCCTAAGTTTCCCCCGCTGAACTCTGAAGCCCTTCATGCCTAGCATCTACACGCAACCATGCACGCTTAAGCACATCAACATAAACCTGTGAAAGGGCGCGGCGCGGCGGATATCACACGGCGGATGGGGGACCATTCCGTTCATCAGGTTGTAATAATCCCGACTCATTAACTCGGCTGTGAATCATTAGTTACTGGCTGCACTTCCCCAGATTGCGCACCTCCATGGCCACCCCTCGGCAACCCTGCCAAGCGCGGTTGCAGCCCCGACGATGGTGCAGTAGTTAATGCCGAAGGTCCTGCGCACAGCGCAGAGCCAGTATGCATGCCAGGTGGTTCGCCCAAGTGCGATGGAAGTACTGTTCCCGATACGTTGTGCTCAACCCCCGCCCGAGGGCCTGTATCCACAGTGGCCTGGAGACCTGGCCCTCCATGCACCTGTTCTGAATCTACAGCCTCAGCCCCACCTTTACCATGGCCCAGGCCAGCCTTACCCGTGGCCGCTAAGGAACCGTGCGAGTGGATGCATCCCATACCGCGCCCTTCTGCTGGAGCTCCAATCGCTGCACTTTTCGCCTCCGCCAGCATTGCGGCAGGCCCAGACCTGCCGTCAACCAGAATGCCGTGACCGTTCCGCGTGCCAGGTGCACTTCTGTCGCATATTGCGGTATTCTCCGGTCCGCTAAGTGCAAGGCCGTTCACGGAGTCAGCGGCGGAAGAGCGGACGGGGCGCGCCACATTTGTCTGCGAGGCACTTGGCACATCGGATGTCGCATGCACGTGCAGAGGACGCAAGTGACCAGCGTCGGCTGGCTGTGGAGTTGGGGGTCCTCCACCCGCGATGCCCTCGTCGCGCGCGAGTCCAGCTGTCGTTCGGCCCACCTCATCAGTGGGCAGCCTGCCGTGCATGCGCCCAGTTACACTGGCAGCTGCCTGTGCTGTCACAGCTAGTGCACCAACTGCAATGGGCGAGCTTTCATCAAGCTGAAGAGGGTGACCCGCAACACTGCCGGCTTTTTCCGCTGGGCCAACCTCCCCCGCTGCCGAGGGGTGTTCGCGAGCTGCAACCGACTGTGACTCGTCCCTGCTTGTGCTCTCGCTGCGCTTGCTGCTTAATCGCGGTCTGGACGCCTGCGGCAGACTTGCCGCGTGTAAGCTACCTGCAGTGTGCTGCGGCCGCTTTTGCCCCACGAACGCATAGCAGCGTTGCCGGAAAGCTTCATGCTTAATTAAAACAGGCTTAAGCCGTCGATGTGGCGGTACATCTTTATGCATCTGAGTTGTGTTTTGCAGGTACACAAGGTCCGTGTGTAGTATGTCCCATTCCTCCATCTGCTCGTCCGATGCATACCCAAACCCCAGGTGTTGCCACGTACTCTGCACGGAGGCGTCATTCGTGCTGCACAGCATCAGCTTCTGTAGCCCAAGCGCCCGAGCAATTTCCTCGATAGCCTCAACCAGGCACCTACGGGTTGGACAGCGCAGACAGGTGAGTAACTGCCAGTCAATACCCAATTAGCAATAATCATTGAGGAGGCAAGGCAAAAAACATAACCCCTCACTAACCTGCAGTAGCCCCGCCCCCGCTTGTTCTCATGCGTCGCAACAAACGGAACCTCCAAGTAACCCGGCCCAGATCGTATTGTCGCTGCTGTAACAGGTTTTCCATGGCTTTGCAAGGCGGGCAATGGACTTTTAGGAGCGCCAATCAGCCGCGCCTTGCGCGGCTCGTCAGGTGTTGTAACTTCCCCACCGGGCGGCGGCCAGCCGCTACGATACCGTGGAAGAATAACCAATACTCTGAAGCCGTCGAAATCCTGAAAATGTGCGCATGGCGCGGTCAGGAAGTAATGCTTGCGGGGAACAGCATTGGTTGCCGCAAGTTTTTGGGCACTGACCAGTTCGTCGTCGCCTTCCGCAGCTTGCGCAGTCACCGTCCAATCAAGATACTCGTGAATGGTTGCCACCCGCGGCTTGTCGCCATGCATTCGGGCTAGGCGTTTTGGTCCTATCTGACCGGTCTCAAACGCTTTAAATAAGAAGGGCGAATCAAGTCGGGCCTGTTGTGCGGCCTCTTCAGCATTACCAGTGTTCGAGTAGGTCCGTAGTTGGTATACAACATGCGGTCGTCCTGGAAGCTCAAAGAGCTCGTTTGGCGGAAGCGAATACAGCAAGGACCGGGTCGCCGCTAGGCGCAGCCGGCGCTCCCCCTGGGCGGTTGACATGCAACTTTGCAAGCCAACAGCATATTCAGACAGCGGTCTATGTGAAGAGCAAAATGTTCCTGCCGAGTTTACAGGGTGTGCCTGGGAGCAACTCAGACAAGGATAATGTTATCAAGAATAAATTTAAAACAGATAGAGAAAACAAGTAAGGATCATATCCTTTGGAGACCTGGGTCGAGCCCAATGCACGACAGCACAATGTAAAAGGAGTCACCGAACCTACAGAGAAGCAGGGCACATATCATACCTCGTTGCTTATCCATACTCTCCTAACATATTTCTTCTACCTCGCCGCAACCTCTCCTGTGTGAACACTTTCAACAGATTCCAAATCCTTTTACCAGGCCACACTGCTTAGCTGTTCCTTACATACACAAATCAGGTCAGAAAATTGAGCAATTAGCGCTTGCGCACGCCGTGGAGAACTGCTTGGTGGGTTTACTCTAGCACCCGGGAAAACGAGGAACCCATGCCCGTCAGGAGAACTGTTTCGGAGGTGGACGTCAACAAGAATACAAACTGGCTCAACTATCCAAGTGTTTGGACGTGGTACCTTGCGGTCATCGTGCTGGGTTGGCTCGGCATATCTGCGCTGATAGACGACGCTGGCTTGGCATGGACCTACGTACATCTCATACACGGTGTTGCGACGTATTATCTCCTGCACTGGATCAAGGGATCACCGAACCCGGAGGACCAGGGCAAGTACCAGGCGCTGACCTTCTGGGAGCAAGTGGATAATGAGGCATATGGAACACGTAACAGGAAGATATTCACGGTTGTCCCCGTCCTGTTGTTTGTGCTAGCAACCCATGGCACGGACTTCCGTAAGCAGCCGTTAGGCTTGAATTTGGTGGTAGTTGTTGTCCTCTTAGTTGCTAAGCTGCCTGCGCTTCACAAGGTACGCTTCTTTGGCATTAACAAGTACTGATGGTTGCATAGGTAGGGGAAAATTGGCTGGTTTTGTTGCTGCTTTGTGATTATGTGAAGACATCCTTGCTACAGCCTCAAACGGGGTCCACACCGAAAGGAGTTGCGACCGGTTTGTGGCAGCAACGTATGTGCCCAATAGCGTGCTGCCGAAGCTTCTAAGTTACTCGCGACGTGGTGCACTGCATGTGTGGAAGGACTGGATGAATACGATATGTGCACGAAAACTCGACGTACTGGACGACAGACTTACACATCGAGTGCGCGATGTGCGACCTCCTGCTGGGACAGTGTCATGTCTTAAGTGTAAATTATCGTCCAGGGTTAGGTTTGGGTCGCTTCAAGCATTTCCCCTGCAGCCACCCGTTCATATCCCACCGACAATTGAAGAAACAGAGCGCTGCTTCTTCAGCACCAGAAATGCCCATTCATTAATCATGCGTTGTGTGCAAGCTGATCATCGCCCCTGCCGGGGAACACCTCCTGATCCGCCATGGTTGGCGCGCCTCCCGCCGTTACCCGACACCCCATGCTCGCTCGTCCGGAAGTGCTGGACAGCTGCCACAGCCTGGGCAACCTGGTTTAATGATGCCTGAGCGATAGGTTGTCCGGTTAGGCTTGATAAGTGTTGCGCCGCCGTGTCCACCGCCTGGAAACGATGAACCGTGGGGACGGCAGCAAGCGGACTGAGAGCAAGTTTGCTAGTGGAATTGTTATTGCGAAAGCTTAACCAGGCAACAGACTCCGTTACGGTCTGTTCCTAAAAAAACAGATGATTATGGGATGAAGAACGACTTCCGCCAGGGGTCCTATCCTTCCAAACTTGGACCCATCCCCAGCCATCAGCACCTGCTGCCTGCGCTGCTGCATGGCAGTCGTCCACGTCTCCAGCACGCTCTCCCCCACTTCACTCCATGCAAGCTCTTTCCTGCGCCGCTCGCGTTTTGAGTTTGGCGACACGAGGTCTTGCCCCACGATATCCGATATGGAGTTGTCAACGTTACGGCACCGGACGGGAACACCTGCATGGATCATGCCGGCCCAAATTTGGTGCCAGTCCTCAACATCCGGAGCACTAGGAACCGATAACAGCAGCACACGTTCACTTTGCTATAATAATACCTGCAGTCGGTTTCCGGCATTCAGGGCAGGATTGCTTTTGCGTCAACCAGCTGGCCAAGCAGATCCCACAAAACATGTGCCCACATGTAAGGGCATGAGCACCCGCCAACCAGTCGTGGCAGATAGAGCATGTTAGGTGGTTTGCAAGCAACGCCGCGATGTCCTTGGCTGTCACTGCTGTTTTGGGTTTCTTGCATTCTTTATCTGTTGAACTGGTCGACGCCTCTTCATAGTCCATCTCCTCCTGGTGATCACGCCTGTCAATCTCGCTGAACTTGCGTGAGCGCGCCTACGAGAACAGCAGATGTTGGATACCCAACCCGAACAAAAAGAGAGGTGTTCATGCCGGATGTAAGGCCTCGAAGTCCTTGCAAAATACAAGGTGGTTTTCTAGCTCTGTAAAGCGACACCCCTGTATCGGGTGATGGACAATGCAAGATCAGAACTAAGGGCGATTAAATTACCGAAAGGTGTGTGGGCTGCATAGCTACACACCCGTGTACCATTGGAAGCCCAATACGACAGCAGACATGACATAGGACCCTATGGCAACGCTTATGTTCGGCGGAGTTTAAAGACATATACACACAGTAGATCACACTGGAAGGACGCGCTGTGGCCCTTGCAAAACACCAGACATTAACACATACACCCGAGCACAAGGCCAAATGTTTTGACCCGGGTCTACATTCCGGCGTGTTGGCAAAAGAATGCTGGCAAAATCTGAGCAACCTTCTGGCTGGCGCCCTTATGGAATTAGGCAGACTGCAAAATCTTATTCCTCACCTGCCCTGCAATTGTAACCAAAGCATGCGGCTCGGCAGATGAGTTGTTGGCGCTGTCCGAATCATCGTCAAGAGGAGTGTAACGGAACAGGAATGGGTTTGGCACTGTGATGTCCGGGGCCTCGCTCCGCGCCACGATGGTCTCCGGGCCACCAAAACCAATCTGACATGGAGTACATGCATAGTTAGATATAAGGTTTGGACGGCATGTCCACATTACAGATCCCGCTAGGGCAAATTTGCTATCGCCCCGTCCTTTATGCCAACAATAGGGGGTTGCCATGTCTGAAACACGGCGTGGCCCATGCTGCCTGCCCCACCACGTCCATAGCTTACCAGGTCACCACGCTTAAGCTCCCAGCTTTCATCCGGTCGAAGCCGCCGTAGGAACTCGCCATCGCGTGAAATGTATGTGCCGTTGGTAGAGTTGAGGTCACGTAGGACCAAGTTACCATCCGGCTGGACGCAGATCTTTGCGTGCTTGCGTGACAGAAGGAAAGGCACCTCGGGACAATCTAGTCTAATTGTTGAATCACTTTCACGACCGACACTGACAAGCCCAGCGTGTGCCAAGCCGACAAGGTCATAAAAAATGGACGGTCGATTCACCCCTTTAATCATGCCTGTAATTGAGTATGAGCCCCCCCTTTAGCTGATAAGAGAAAGTCGTGTGTTCAATATGGAGTTTGGGTCAACTACAGGTGTGCAAGCTTGCCTCGAACATCGCTGGCAGTATCTGCAATTCGTCAAGTCTAAGTACCGCCCAGATGCAGAGATGATACAGCTGAATAGTAGTATGATTTGTTTGTGATGCTTGTCTCAGGAGTGCAAATTTTGGTTTGTTTCATCAGGTGTTCAAATCTGCACGGCCGTGGATCCCGGTCCAATTCTTGAACACACGAAAACGCAGAGTTTCATTGTAACCCTTTACATGTAATACGTTCCTTTGTTTGACTGTATACTATGATACAAGTTCAACCAAAACATATGCGGCAGTTGATACCTTCGTTGCATGGCCAGACAAGATGACTTTGCTTGTATTCCCACTGCACTCAGTTTCATGTGGTAAACATGCCAATAAGAAAGCAATTTCGCTTTGGACTTATGGGGATTTCATACAAGAGTTCACGTCTTGCGAATTCACTCTGACTTGCACAAATTACCGAAGGTGCCGAGATATCTGTGTCAAGAGGCAACAGTTGAAATAAAAGCAAATCGCAGCTTCTAATTGAAAAACTGTGATATGGCATGGCATTCTTTTTCATGGCTCACAAGTTGAGGAAAGCCGCCAGCGATGCCAAATACTAGTCAACATCTTGAGCGGACCCTTGGTGAACACACGCTGCCAGGTTAGGCGCCAAGCAAAACCGCCGTGCCTGTTTTTAGCCATGCACCACGAGTAACCGGACAATGCAGCTGAACTCTAAAAGAGGCCACCAAGGTCGCTAATTGTAGGCTTGCAAGGAAGTTAAAACCAAGGTAATCCAAGGCTTTCGACGTGATTGTCACTGGACCGTGCACCACGGCAGGGAAAAGCGGAACACCGGTCGGCGCCAAGGATGGGGAAAAGGAGGGTAGGATCCGGGCTGGAATTGGGGAAGAGCTCTGTCGCAGAATTCAGAGCTAGCGCCAGCCGCGCCAGCAAAAGGTTTAAGAACGGGTCCCGGCTGAAGCGCTGGCCTCCATGGACGCGGCCATCAGCACAGATCGAAGTCCGGGCGTCGAATCAAAAGCACCCGAAAGGAGACCTTCTTCTACTGAATGAATGGGGTGTTACACTGTGCCGGGGCAGACCACAGGGCAGGAATAAAATCCAGGCTCATTCTGCGACAGAGCTCTTCCCCAATTCCAGCCCGGGTCCTACCCTCCTATACATGTCGTATGGTTGAGTGCCGGGCTGAACCACAGCGCATGGCGAGGCGCACGGATATGTCTGTTCGTCTGTCTGTCTGAACGAATGAATGAACGGGGTTTAAACTGTGAGCGGCTTGCCGTGCACACACGCCTCTGGTTCGGGTCGGTTCGGGTGGTGGTACCTTTCGTTGAACACACACATACACACATACACACACAATGAATGAGTGTATGAATGAATGAGTACGGAGTACGGTAAACAGGCGTGTAGGGTTCCTGCCACTTCCTGGCCCATGTACGTATATGTACGGAATCGAAACCAACATGTGTTCAGTACACACGAGAGATACTTGTAAGTGCTCCCCTTATAGAGTTTCATACTGTGTTCAGTACACACGAGAGATACTTGTAAGTGCTCCCCTAACAGAGTTTCATAAAGTTCCTTCACTCCCGCGATTCTGGATGCCTGCCTGAAAGTTTCCGGGCCGACCCCGAAATTGGTCGAAATTGCTCGGTACAAATTGGCACGGGGGCTACACCCGGGACAAGTTATATTGCCGGGACAGGCCCTTGAATTAGCCTGATAGGAACACGAATTGGCCTGGCAGGGATACTCCGACAGTCAGAATGAGCCTGTCGGGCTGTCGAATTGGCCTGGCAGGGACATTCCGACAGTGAGAATTGGCCTGTTCGGGGTGTCGAATTGGCCTGGCAGGGACATTCCAACAGTCAGGATTAGCCTGTCGGGGTGTCGAATTGGCCTGGCAGGGACATTCCGACAGTGAGAATTGGCCTGTTCGGGGGGTGTGGAATTGGCCTGGCAGGGGGGTGTCGAATTGGCCTGGCAGGGACATTCCAACAGTCAGGATTAGCCTGTCGGGGTGTCGAATTGGCCTGGCAGGGACATTCCGACAATGAGAATTGGCCTGTTCGGGGTGTGGAATTGGCCTGGCAGGGGGGTGTCGAATTGGCCTGGCAGGGACATTCCAACAGTCAGGATTAGCCTGTCGGGGTGTCGAATTGGCCTGGCAGGGACATTCCGACAATGAGAATTGGCCTGTTCGGGGTGTGGAATTGGCCTGGCAGGGGGGTGTCGAATTGGCCTGGCAGGGACATTCCAACAGTCAGGATTAGCCTGTCGGGGTGTCGAATTGGCCTGGCAGGGACATTCCGACAGTGAGAATTGGCCTGTTCGGGGTGTGGAATTGGCCTGGCAGGGACATTCCGACAGTGAGAACTGGGGGTGTCGAATTAGGGAAGCGCAGGATTTGTGCGACCGGAGCAGCCCAAAGAATGCCTGCGCTGTTCTTATCCAGAGCTCAAGATGGTCCTCTCTTGTTGCACACTCATCTTGCAGAATTGGAAGCCCACTGTAACACAACGACAAAAGCAGAAAAACCACAGTGCCCGGCATGTGCCAGCCCATCCAGGATAATGCTGCAGCTCCCGTAGAACCCAAGCAATGGCAAGGAAGGTAGGACACGAGATCGTCAAATGCAACCGCTCCTGCAGTCGCATGCAACTAGCTGGGTTGCTCAGCGTAGGCAAATGCAACCGCTCCTGCAGTTAAATGCGATAGACGTTAAAATGCCGGCCGGATACCAGCCCTAAAAATGTCGCATGCAACTCGTTCGTGATACCCTCACTACCTAGCTTATCCAACACTCCCTTCGCTACTTTGAGGATTAAGTGCTGCTTCGAACAGCCTCAGAATTATACAGTTTACTGCTTAAATCGCCCCGCACTATTCCAAAGATCCTGCTCCGAGTCGCTGGCCTCACCTGAAATGGCTGTCACTGTCTCGTTAACCCGCTCCACGGTGGCTTTCGAATCAATTCCTGGCACTTGCGCCTGCAGCTCCACCGCAGCCGCTGTAACGTCCGTTGTTGGGAGCTCCAGGAACCGAAGCGGCAGCCCACATGGGGGACAGGTGGTAACATGCATGCCAGCAGATGCAGCTCGAGGTACCAAGGCAGGTTCGAACACCTGACTGTAGGTGGTCGCGGGGCTCCCAGAAATTAGGGACAACAGCAGAGGAGCGGAGGACACACGCACCTTGCGTGCCGGCACTGGCCCGTCAGCGGAGGCTTCACAAAAACAGGGTGACCGCTGCTTACAGAATGCCCACGGGCAGCTTGAAGCATATAAATTCAGGAAGGCACGTGTTGAAAGAAAGTGTTAGCAGGACTTGGGAGACCTGCCTGGGAGGCGACGGGGCGGTGACGAAAGGCTTCCTTGGTGCACCGCTCCATGACGATGGGCTTTATGGTGCTGCAAGTTTGGCGGTGGGGTCGGTGTTACTTAGTACGCTTAAGCAGCATGCGCCGAAGGAGGGCGGTTTCCGGCTGCACGGCGTATGGGAGGGTTGCACGGTGCACGTGCAGGCTATTGCAAACCTCGCACCCCCGCTTCCTTTACAGGGGGGCTTCAGGCTGAGGCGTACTACTACTATTATACTTCTTCTACTAATATTGTACTTATGTAATCATAGCTGTTTCGCATGGCTTTCTATTACTGTATGGTAATGCGCTTGTGGAAGGACATCGACGTGAAAATAAGACGAGCCATAGACTTCTACTGAGCGGGGAGTATGATCTGCAGGTTTGCGGGGATTGTATTCATGGCATGCATGGGAGTTGCACTTCTAATATATATGGTTGCACTGGGTCATCGCGTGTCTAGGTATTCGCCTGCTATGCACAAAAGCCTTGTAGTCAGCCCTAAATGTCGGTTATGTTTGTTGCCGGTATTCTTTCTCCCGTTTCCAAACTTTCCTAAAGCTTGTTGACTTCGCACTGCCGGCGTGTCTATGCGTTCACAACCTTGGCTGGCGTCAAGCCGTTGGAACTACGCGCAGATAAGCATGCCGCCCCTTCATGCCCTATGCGGCGGCGTGTATAAGCTTAAGGCTTACGCTTTGCACAAATGCCCAGCTCTACATTTTGTTGCATTGGCCCAAATGTCAGAACATCAAGACAAAAAGCAACCTGCCTTATAAGCACTGCCATAATGGCCATAATGGTGCCGTGCCACCGCTCTGCATCAACGTAACTATTCGGCCGGAAGCATCGACTCTTCGCATGGTTGCTGGGTGGAGCTGCCGTGCCGGCGACCGATACCTCAAACGGCGTTCACTTCTCGCAAAACCAGATCATGGCTTGCACGAATCACCACCCTAAACACAACGTCCAACCCCAATGCCGTCCTATGCCCTGTGCCTCGCGCTCCACTTCTCGGAGCTGAACTGTGCCGCCCATGCGCATGCAAAGTCCAGCAATGCGTGAGCTGGGCAGGTTTGGCGGACCAAGTCCCCAGCTTCTATGGTGTACCGCCCGGCGTAGCTGCGGCTGCTTGCCTCCGCCGCCGCGCCTGTTCCTCAGCGCGAAATCGCTCCAGGCGCCAAAGATGGAAGAGCAGCCGCAACTGCGCGTAAGTCAGCGTGCTGCCATCCCGTTCGCCCTGCTCCTGCTGCCATTCGGCCTCCTGAGGCACGGCAGTGAGAACAACACGAAATTAGAAATGGAGGCGGCGGCCGCCGGAGAATGTCAACACAAGCTAGGGTATTAAATACCGAGCCAGAGCTAACGCAATGTCCGCCACCCGCCCCCAAGCCTGTTCTTTCGCAATGACTGCGCCGCCTGCGTTTGTGCGAAGCTGCGACGTTCACTCGCGAGGCATCTACGTTAATCGCCCTCCTCCAAAGCACACCCGCGATCTTCTATCCCACGCGTCCAGGTTTCCGTGGCTGGGCCACGGCCATTTCAGGTGTTGCCCTCGTTCTTTGCGTCACGGCCTGATTCGTTTGTCCATCCCGTTTCCCTGCTGCTTCACCTGCTGCTTCAGTGCCGCCCTGATCCCCAGATTGACGTGTAGCTTCTCCACCAGCGCGGTGTAGTACATGGCACTCCCGGGTTCCAGGCTGCGAGCCGCCTCCTGAACCACCGCCCGCCAGACCTCCTGCAGGTGCTCCCGCAGCGGGGCACCTGTCGGAGCAACACGGTTCCCACGGCGCTAACCAATTTTGCTTCCGGGTTAACTTGCAGACGAGAATCATTTGGTTTGCTGGCAGCGAGCACCGCAACGGTGACATTGTGGCATTGTCAATGCCGGGTTGTGCTTGCATGGCGCTATGTACAAGGGCGCCAGCCCGTTGGGAGAGCCACACGTTCGGCCGCAGGACAGCCACAACAGTGACCGGTCGGGCAACCTCCTTATGTGGGCTGCGCTATGCTTCATCCATGCAAGGACCAAGCCTGCCATTCCACGCTAGGATGACCAACCCATCGACAAACCAGTCGATGGGCCAATCATCCATGCGTCTATGAAAGTTGTTTCTCTTCGCCCCTGCACCGCTACACCGCACCTAGCGAGCTCAGCCGGAAGTCGTTCAGCAGCCGCTCCGGATCTATCCGTACCCCTGCTTTGAGTCCCTCAAGTAGCGCGTCCATAGGCTGTGATAGCCGCACTGTCCGGCCGCCTGCGGATGCAAGGTCCTGCAGGCTGTCCCCTTGGACGGTGTAACGATACAGCCGCTCCAGCACTATGGGCCGAGTCAGCTGTAGCGCCGCACAACGGCGAGCCAAATAAGGTATACCTATGCGGAAGGGCGTCAAGAAAGAAGGTCAACCAGCAATATGCGAGTTGCTAAGAGCATATCCGGGTGGGCAAGGCCCTGACTCTGGGCATGATTTCAACTTCCTCTCGGATGTGGTCTTCGGCTTGGCCCGTTTGGCGATTAAACCATTCTGCAAGGTGCAAGCCTGCCGTTGGCTAGCGTGCAACCGCCAATGTGGAACGTTGCTGGTTGCGGAAGCGGAGATTGCGGAACCAAGGGTTGCCCAGGGCCAGGGCTGCTTCGGTTAATATGCAAAGTGTGACTTGGCCGGCGGCGACTAAGGAGATGTTGCCGGTCGTGCATACACGCTATGGCCGTTGCTGCTCTTTCGGGCCATGCCAGGATAAAGTAGGGCAGAAAGCTCCGCAATACCAGCGCAAAAATGCAAAGCCCTTTCCCTTCCTTTCCAGTTGCGGGCTGACCTAGCTCGCCCTTGAGGCCGGCTAGGCGGGCAGACGCCCAGTCCAGCAGAAACAGCTCTAGCTGCGCCTCTGCCAGCCGGGGAGCCTGGACCTCCTGTGCAGCCACTACCTCCATCCCCACGTGGGCCTGCAGGCAGTCCATCGCCGCCCGCGCTAACGTCTCCGGCGGTGTCCCTTTGGCCGACAGCAGGGAGGATGCGTGGGAGATGGAGCGCGCCGCCGCCACTGCCGCGTCCTTGACAGCGCCGCTCGAGAGGTATGGGGGCTCTGGGTCGGGACCGGACGATGAGAGGGGGCCAGCGAGGCTTTCCGTCAAGTGGTCCGGCAGAAACTGACCTCCAGCATGCCTTCAAACATAGTACGTGCTACTCTGGGCAGCGCTCAAGGCAGCGCACTAGGTGCATCCTGTGTCGTCCACATAAGCCTTGCTAAACGAGTGTTTGACAATCCCGCTATTTTGATTGGCACGAGGTAGACATGCTACCACAGTCGGATAAACATGGCGTCGTACCGCCGAATGCCCTCCCATGCTGGGCATGCGCACCGTAGTCCAAGCAAAATAGGTCATACAGGTAATCCGGCGATGGGCCCAAGTAGCCCTGGTACTGCGCTATGAGCAATGGAGTGGCCAGCTCCTTAGGATCGGATCGCCCCAGGTAGCTGGCCAGCTCCAAGATGGTGCCGATGGAGCCACTGCGGCCAGCCGCCAAGGGGGTGGCAGGAGCGGAGGGACTCCCAACCTCATTGACACCTGCAGGACTGGAGGTTTCCTGGGGTGATCGTAGACCCAACGCGATGAGGACGTGCTCGGCTTGGCGGGGTAATACTAGGAAATCCTCGTACGGTAGTCCTGAATGGCAGAAAATGGCATCGGAGTCAGGTCACAGACTCAGTCGGAAACGGACTCAAGAAGAAACCAAACCGGGAGCGGGGATCGGCGTGGGGCTTGTGGTGCTTTATAGAGACCCCGGCAAGTGGGACCTGCAAAGGTGAGCCACACCAGGTCGAGGGACTATGAGCATCGGGCCCAGTCCGTGGTGCTTTGTCCTGGGCCGCCTAGGGACACCTATACCGAGACTACCGTGCCAGACCCCAAAACAATGAAAAGCTCCCGCAAATTTTCAACCCACTCTGTATGGTGACCCGCTCTTCACCCTTCGCTTGTTCCTCGTCGCTGCTTGCCGTAACTCCTTTGGCTGCCTTTTTCGAAGTGCCCCGGCTGGCGCGCTTCTGCTTAGTAGTACCAGCTGCTGTGATGTTGCTGCTACTGCTGGCGCCCGCGCTGCTGCCGCGTCGCACTTCTGTCTCGTCGTCTTTATTCCCAGGCGGAGCTGTCTCCTCTGCAGGTACAGGCAACCCCTCCCCTTGCTTTTTGCGCCTGGTGCGCTTGGGCGCCATGGATGGATCGGGCTCTGAGGCGCCAGCAGCACTAGATTCGCCAGGAATTTCGCTGCGGCTGGCGGCTGCCTTGCGCCGTGATGGCGTTGACCGTTTTGGGGCAGTTTCCTGAGAGCTGCTGGCGCCAGCGCTGTCATCTTCAACCCCGTTTCCTTCGTTTTCTTCCGGCAACTCCGACACCACCGCCTTGTCGGCTTCCGCTGCGGGGCTCACTTTATAGCCCCGTGTGGAACGGCGCTTCTTCTTTTCCACTCCTGTGTCAGCAGGTCTGCTGGGAGACAGGGCGCCGCCAGTATCGGGTTGACTCCCGGCATCAGTGGCACATGGGACAAGGGTTGCGGTGGCCCATGACGTTACCGAATAGCGGCGCGCTAGGGGTGGAGGGGTCGTGCAAGTTGTCCAACTGCCAAACTTTTGAAGCCAGGGAACGGCGTGTCGTAGCCGTAGAATCATGGTTCAAACGGAAAGAATTCTCAGTGTAAGCCGCCAGAGGGCCCCGGCTATCGCAGGCATATATGAGTTCCCTAAACACAACACGCATGCGAAATCTGACCCACGCTAAAAGATGCCGACGACAATGCTGTACGGTCGCCTGTCTTTCGCACGGTTTGGAGTCACACACGAGCAGCACTTATGTAACACACTGGCTCCTAATAGCACGTTGGTAGGTTATAACCCTAGTTAAGGTGAAGTATCGTTGAATTCTTGAAATTTTGCTCGTTGCAATCGAAAGTCGTACGCGTGCTCCAGCTCCACAACTACAGCTATCCTGCCTTATGTAGACAACTGTCTTTTTCTTTACTTGTGCTTGTAGTAACCTTTTCGTCTAGGTGTGACCATGTCGGCTCCTCTGACAATTTCGGGTGCTGACAGGTGAAGTTTTGCTGATAACAACAGCAAGTGATTTTGTTTGAGTTTTTTGTATACTGCGCTGCCGGTGACGTTACATGCTTATAGCAAGCAAGCTATTCAGACCGCTGTTCGGCGGCCGTTTGCAGGTACTCCCCGGAGAAGCTTCCGGTCCTAGAGCAAAATGTCGATGAGCAGGTAGAAGATGATTGTGAACTAGGATCTCAACCTGCTGGGCAGCGCTTACGCAGATTGGCGGCGGCGCGCAAACTGCGCGCGACCATTGCAGGTTGCAAACAGGACATGGAATCTGGATGCAAATGTGACGCTCTTGCGGTTCTACCAATTCAGCCCAGCCAGCGTTAAACCTCAGATCGTTGCGAAAATCCTCATTAAAGCCATAATGCAAGCGCCGAACCAGGACTACAAATGTTGCATAACCCTGCTTCCTGAGCGACTGCAGCAGGTGGGTTCTTAAGGCCAATTGAACGGGACAATTGTGTGGAGCTCGCGTTGGCGTATACGTAGGTACCGGGGAGTGACCGTGTTGGGTGGGTTACGGCACGGGTTAGGTTGTGCGGAATGTTTTTTATTACTTATCGCGATACAGAATGCCTTCACTCTGGCACTTGATGATATGGGGGAAGCTTGCAGTGCTGACTCCAAGGGAACTAGGCTTAGTATCGGGTCCAACATGTGGTGTGGCACCCCGGGACATTTTCCGCACCTACTGCCAAGCGCATGTCCTGCGGGAACATTCTGCATTTCTGGAGTTTGACTCTTCTCACTAACCCATTCATTTGCTCATCCTAACCCAATGCCGTGCCTGGATCTAATGATCCTTCAGGCGGATGAGGCGATCTACAAGGTGGTCCAATTGGCAAACGCTCTGGAGACGAGCAGGTTCGCCGACTTTTGGAATGCAACGAACACGTGCCGGGACCTGTTGATGAACAGTAAGTTGGGTCAAAAGTGTTGGATGGAGCCCAGAGGGTAATGTGCGAGCAGCCGATTGTTAGGTGGATTTCAAGTATGCCGGGGCCTCGTTATGGCTGTGTTGAAATTGGTCGGTTTGGACAGACCCATACACTCCATAACTTGGGAAATTTTTGAAAGCGGCTCAGCGCATTGATACGGTTTTCCGTTTAGAGCTGTGAGCACTGGATGGTCCGGGATGCGTCGAACCTTGCCTAAGTGCAAGTTTCCAGCGGCGCAGTTGTTGGGGCATGTGCGTTCTTGATGGTCCGGCATGCCACCTGTTTAGTAGGTACTGCGCATACGTAGCATAACTTTGTCTTGCAGACGGCCGGCTTTCCACATTTTAACTGTGAATTATCTTTTCATTGCGTCTGGACGCTGTGCGCTGTCTTATCGAACCTTAGTCCCAGGCTTTTACGAGGCGGTTCGGGGATACATCGCTCACACTCTGGTCCATACGTACGGCCGGGTCACGAAGCGCACCCTGGCGGATTGCTTGAAGCTTGACGGGGCCACGCTTGATCATTACGTGAGTAGGGGTTTGCTGCAGTGTAGGGCAACAGTAAAAAGCCTACAAAAAGGTGGGGCAAGGCTACTATTGCATGGTTGAAACCGCCATCCGGTTCCTACACAGCAGGAGCCCGGCACATCGATCTGAGCTCACTGATCTGAGCCGGTTGTTGTTTATGCTGAGGCCCTGCACGTGTCGTGATCCCCCCTTGCCCAGCTTTCGGACAAGTGCCGCAGCGCTGGATGGAGCATCGTGACGACTCCGGCGGGAGACGTCGTCGCGCTTCCAAAGAAGTAGGTCGGGAGGGCGTTTGGGAGAGCGGGCAAAGGCATGAAGCGTAGGAGCCTTTGACGGGATGGAGTCCTTGTACGCTTGCTTTTGGTTCGAGCAGCTGGCGACTGATGCCCAAGCCAGGATCTTGTCGTGTTCGTTCGATACGCATAGCAACTTTTTTCCGAATTAAGCGCAGGAGGCAGCATGAAAATGAGATGCACATTACAACGGAATATGCAACAATGCGCAACGACGCTCTTGTGTATGTACATGCGTGTTATGGCAGTAAAGCCGTCAGCCACGCAGACCAAAATCTACCCGGAAGCTACATATGAAAGCAGCCGTTAGGACCCCGTTGCTAGTCATCAACATACGGACAACAACGCGGCTTTGTAGATAATAATGAATGTCCCGCACATCTATGCATGCCAGGACGCTTTGTGCCTCGCCATTACGGTACACGTGGCAACAGCCTAGCACACCACACCCTTTAGGTACATAACGCTTCAACCGCTATTAGCATCATGGCAACTTAGCCCCTCCACCAGCTTCAGTAGAAGTTGCGCACTTAAGCGGCCTGCTGGTCCCGTTTCCCTTCCGCAGTGACGACAACCAGTCAGTTATTAAGCGTACGCAAGAGCTGATCCGCTTCGAGCAGGTGGCGCCCATGTTTAAGGCCGTCACAGTCGGCTTTTGAGACCCATTAGTGAGCCGCCCACGAGGAGGGGCTCCGCAGGAGTTGACGTGCTGGCTTGAGGATGTCTCAGTACAGCGAGTGCAGGTGTCTTTAGGTGTTAACACGTGGCTTGGCTTGGTTTGTTTGTCGCAATGTGCACGGAGAAGGGTGTAGATAGCAGCGCGGCGACGATGCAAGGAAGCCACTGCGATTTGATGTAATCTTGAGGCTTTGCTGTTGGCACGAGCGTTGTACGAAAGATAGCTTGGACCGCTGACGTAAAAACATTAGTCTTTGCTAATCAAGATACACGGCGTATAAGGGACAGTAAACTTTAAACACGGTGATGGGGACCTGATCCCTAAACGCCATGGGCCATTGGCCTTCTACCTAATCGGCGTGTACCGCCGCAACGATAACCACAACACATTGCTGTAGAGTAGCATATTCTGCTGTTTTCCTGCATACATTCTCGTGCCAACGATGCAACCGTTGCGGCGTCCGCATCGTACCATCTGCAACTATCTTATGTCGTCAGGCCGCCGTTCGCGTGCCGTCAGCAGAAATGCAGCTAGCATCCTGCCATTTACTTATCGCGTCCCGTCGCCTTGGCCCAGCCACGACAGCAGCCCCTTCACGGTTGAGCTTATCGTCTCGGCTGCCGCAACACCCACATTTCCTCCGCTAGCGCTGCCACCGGCATCGTCGGGGGCGGTTCTGTCTCTGCGCGTGCCACTCCCCGCGCTGTCGATGCCAGCGGTGGTGCTAGCCCCAGACAACTCCTCGCTTGAACCATCCCGCTGGCTCTGCTGGTGTCCGTGTGTGAACGCGGAGCTGGCGCTGCGCCAAAGCTGCTGCAACTGACTCAAAGGTCCCGGGGCAGCGGGCTTCTGCACAGTCGCGGCATACTGAGCAATATCTGCCTGGAAGGGAAAAGTGACAGCAGGGCGCGAGAGACTACCTTAACACACGGCAGAAATGCCATTCCCCACGCCCATTACATGTGGCCCGGGACTAATGCACGCCCACGATGTAGTAGATGCACTTGTCCCGCCTTCCTAAGGAGGCTATTATGACTAGCCCATGCATTACCTGGGACTGCGATATATCCTGATATGCTGCTGCGTGTGCGGCCGCACTCGCGGCACGCACCTCAGCATCCTTGGCCGCCTCTGCCGCCTGGGCAACTCGTGCCTCCGCCGCGACGATGGCACTTTCAGCCGCACTCTCTAGCCCAGCCTGCGGACACAATCAGCCATGTCTACGCTTCGGACGAAGTTTCGACTGCCGACATGCTGCGAACGCCTTTGCTTATGACAGCATCAAGTAGAGCAGCGTCCCACACGCGGCCCCCTAGCTCAGGAGAAGCCAACTCAAGAATGCAGTGTCTGTTAGATATAAAGGATGCACATGACGGTGGCCTTCGTAAGCACGCACCTTTGCTTATGTGCCTACCTGTGCTAGAGTGGCCGCTGTCGCCGCTCGCTCCGCTGCTTCTGCTGCACGTGATGCCGCATTGCTGGCAGCCGCAGCGTATGCGGCCGCGCGCTGGGAGGCCTCGACCGCCGCAGCTGCAGCACGCAGCGCTAGCTGGGCCCGCTCGCGGAGGCTGCCCAAAGACGAGTCACTAGGCAGGCGCTCCAGTGCAGAGCTGTCCGGTGCTCGGCTCAGCGGCTCGGGTAGCACGGTTGGGAGTGACATCCGTGGCTCAGCTTGCGGTGCCACGCTGGCGGCGGGTCCAGGGGATCCAGGGCCCAAGGGGAAAGCGCTAGCGTCACCAAAGGAACTTGCAGTGCGTTCCCGGGGTCGCCCTTCAATATTACTACTCGGCCCAGGCGCGGAGAGCACCTGCTCCGCTGGTGCAGCTAAACGGCCACGCAGACCACCAAAGCTGCCGCTACTGCCGGCACCGCAGTTAGGAGACGAAATATGGAGCACCTGTGCGGCTGCTTCAGGTGCTGCCTGAGGTGTGCTGTCTTCCAATGCGGATGGCTCCACCATGTCGACTGGCACATGGAAGGCTGCAGGGCCTGGCGCTCCCTGGCTCCCTTGCCCACCGACAGCCCGACCCGCAGCTTCCACAGCAGCGAGTGGACCGCTTTCCCTCATGGGTACCGGTTGCGGGGCTTTCGCTGCATTGGAGTTTGAAGCCCGGTCGGCTGTGCTTGCGACGGCAGATGGCTGCAGCGAAGGTCCAGGTGCAGGCTGCTGAACCGCAACCTCCCCAGACTGGCCCGCAACGATATTCTCTGACTCTGTTTCCACCTCGCCTCCCGTATCAATCTCTGACGCATCTGCAAGCGCACTGCTGGCAGTTCCCGGACCTCCCGAACTGCGTGTTCCAGCAGCTTCGATCTCATTTTGCGCAGCTGATGCTGCCGTCACTCCGCCTGCCTTGGTGTCTCCTTGGGGCCCGGGATTCACAGCAATGTTGCTACCTCCATCCTCCGTTGAGCATACACCCACTGCAGCCCCTAGCGCTGCGGCTGACGAAGAAGCCGCTGGCTCCTCAACGGAGGCCTCGGGCTTGCTTATGGACGATGGTGGCTGGAGGTGCCTCGAGCGGGACACGGGGGTCACCACGGCGACTTGCCTGGAAAATGGCTGTGCAAGCTGCTGTTCACCACGACCTGCCCCTGGATCGAAATTATAGACAAAGTGACGAACGGTAAGCGGGCTTACGTAGTGTATGGAAGTCGCAACTTTACTTCCCACTAAAACCGGAAAAAGTCCTCACCCTACAAACCAAGCAAAAAAACACATTGTTCTCACCTATGTACGTAAGAAGTTGGTGGACGCCGAAGCTCAGTCCAGCGATCATAATGAAGAAGAACAGTACGCCTGGTGGGGCCCAGGTGGATAAGAGGGACTGAGAACTGTACCTCAGTTATTATCAAAGCACATCCTGGGGGATACCTGAAGAATCAGGCTCCTTAATGACTTGAGGGTCAATTGTGCCTCCCCAGTCCCCCGGCAGAGGCTTCAGCCAGTCGCCCTCGACAGTGCTGGCTGTCGCAGCTGTCGGTTTTGGGTCCCCAACGTCCCTGGGGGCGATGGCTTTCGCATCCACGTCAATTACATTGTCATGTTGCTCTGTTGTATGAGTATTGCTGTTCGACAGGGCTCCTGAGGATGCGGCAGCGCCTTCGCTCTCTGACGACGACGCAGCCTGTCGACTAATGCGCACCGGTCCATGATAACAAAAGGGCAATCCTAGAAGCCATGCATTCCTACTCCTTACAAAGCGGTTACCGGCACAAGGGCCGGGGCCTCGCAGCTGAAATTGCATTACGCGTAACGCTACCCTACTTGGAAAGTGCTAGAACATGTCTCTCTAATATGCTAAGCAAGATGCTAAGGTTGTGTTATAATTGACAAGGTAAGAAATGCGATGTCGCATGGGGAAAAGTACTTTTGACGTGAGCCAGCGCGGACAAATCATGCCATGTCATTATTTGCCCTGTTTGCCTAATAGAATGGTTCTGCATAAGGTTTTGTTTGCAGGTGCATTCAAAGATATATTGGAAGCAGCTGGTTCACAAACGATTTGCACGATGGGAGCTGATAGCCTGTTCAACCAAAGATAGTGATTTCCAGCTGCTCGGGTACTTTATGCTGTCCGGGCTTGAGGCTTACACATGGCGCGTCTGAAGCCGATAAAATTCCAACTGCCCGCTCTCGATACCGGACCGGTACCGCTCGTGTCGATTCGGTGAGCTCTGATGGTATAGCCCTCCTGCATCAGGAATCTGGAAAGGGGTGTGGGAGGTGCTGGGATTGGTATTGAGGCAAGGACGTGTGTCCACGGCGGCTGCAGGGAACAAGCCCGGAAGCAGCTGCTGGAGGTGGTTGACTCGGTAGGTACCTGGTGGAGGCTTTGGTAGACTCCTTGGTTTGTTCCTGTATCACCGATCAGTTGGCGAGGATGGGGGGGGGAGAAGAGTTGCCTTGGCCACGAACAGCACTCGCAATTACAGCCCCGGGGTGTCATTGCCGTCATGGAGTCAAATGCGATAGCGAACTGCCAAGTGGGCACAGTGTGGGGAAACAAGGAACACTATGGGCTAGATTGAGCAAGACGTGATGACTTAGGACGCATTGCCCGCGAAGCAATTACCTACACACCTTCTGCTTTGAAGGCCTTCCTTTAGGCATGATACAGAACTCGCTCAATTCCCAGCACAGAGTTCCTGAAAGGTTGAACGGTAGAACCTTGTACGGCGCAACCTCTCGAGTTTGACCAGACCACGTCAGCGCTCTTGCCGCCTCGGGGCTGCCTACAGAATGAGTTCTTGTCTCTACGCATAAGAAAAGCATTTCCTAATGTACACGTCGTCGAGCTGCTCGTGACGCCTTGCGATGTTGCTTTTCCCCTGAGGCAGCAATTGCCGCGAGCTCCTAGATCCTCTTCCAGAAGCGTTGCGGACTCGCCCCCCATTCCTCCCACGTTTGCAGCGCCGCGGGAAGAAGGCCCTGGTCCTCGATCCTGCCATCAGCGGTCCGCTTGGTTTACTTGACACAGCACTGACCGACCTGCTGAAGGAGCATGGAGTCGTCAAGTTAGTGATTTGGCAATGACCATCCAGGGTGGCCTTGTGGCTACGAGACGGGGCTGCCTATATATAAGTTGTCTACTAGCTGTTATGTGCCATCCATCCATGTGCCCATGGCATCCTTACCTCATGACATGGCTTAAATGGCATCGCCACTTAGCTGTCATTTCAACTTTTTAAAAGGGACCCTAACTCCACCGTGTTGAAAAACGAATGGAACTGCAGCCCTCACCTCGCCCAGGCCTACCGAAGTCGCATTGTTACTAGACACAGGCGTATACATGGTCACGCTAGCCCGACACCGAATTGGACCTCAGGTTGCTGTACCTGGCGCCGGGGAAGCGGCTGGATGACCCGTCCTACAGTGCAACGGAACCGCGCCTGTCCGACGTCCCCACCGTGCTGTACCTGGTGCGCACCAGCATTGCCAACGCACAGGCAGTGGCGGCGCAGGTCAAAAGCAGGCCCAAGTACGAGGCGCGTGTGGGCGCAGGGGGGTTGCTAGCTTGACAGGATTAGAGTGTGGTGATGCGATTAGGGCGGTATTGGGGGGCTGTTGTGCGGCGTGGGTAGTAGTGGTTTCTGAGCTGGCATGGAGGTGTAGCAGCATGCATTTTATATATTACCATCAGGCAGATTCTCCTCTCAAAGGCCGTAGAGCAATGCCGGAAGGGTGTTAAATTGGCCGTATAGCTGGTAACTGTCGTGGGTTCCCAGCGCACTTGCGCACCCCTAACCTGACCAGGCCTGCCACGTCGGCTGCTTCCATCCCCTTGCAGATCTGAGACACAGGATTTTTCTGTGTTTTTTGTGCCCCGCTGCACAAAAGCGTGCGAGCGCATTCTGGAGGAGGAGGGTGTTCTGGGAGATTTTAGGGAGATAGGTGAGGCGCGGCAAGATTTGGAAGAATGGACGACCTTTGGGTATCGCAGCGCCTAAGAGGGGTGGCAAAGATGCACTTCCTGGGCCCATTGCTCCCAGTTACGGGGTAAGGGTGCAGGGACCCCGACGTTAGGCTGATGGTCACGTCTGCGGCTGCTCGGCTTTGTCCCACCTCGCGCTGCTGCGCAGGGGAGTACTGCCTTGACATGGTGCCATACGATGATGACGTCATAAGCCTAGAGCTTGATACCGCCTTCTATGATTGCGTTTGCGATGGCGATTCGACGCCCTTGTACTACACAGCGGCGGCGATAACCCGGCTCCAACTCATGTTCGGCCTAATACCGCGAGTCCAGGTACCACGGTGCACCTCCTCAAACGCCGTACTCTCTGCTTGAATTAGGCACATGATGGTGCGGCCCCAGTGCGTGACAGTTGCTGCCGTCCTGCATCAGTTCTAATTCCACGCTTCGGGGCCCTGGGCTTATTCACCTCCCCCGTGTCACGAAATGGCAGCTGGTACGTGCGCTCATGCATAGGCCTCCCGTGCCAATCGCAATTATTTTTGTCTTTCATTTAACACTCTCTACTCCGTTACAGGGCAAGGGACCCGCCGCCACGGCAGTGCGGGACATGTGCTTCCGCATGCGGCGCGAGAGCTCCAGGCTGCCGGCGGTCCCGCCACTGGCGTGCGGCATCAATGGTGCTGGCGGGGACTCAGCTGTGGGTGGCTTCGTGTCCGGCCGCATCGACCGCCTGATCTTGCTGGATCGGGAGGTGGACTTGATCACTCCTATGATGACCCAGATCACTTTTGAGGGCCTCGTAGATGAAGTCATAGGCATACGATACGGCTCAGTGCCGTTGCAATCAACAGGTGAGTTGATACAGATGCAGATGCAGGTTGGCACGTTGCTTGTGGCGGTGATGAGGAGCACTGATGGCTTTGCGGCATTAGGTAATTCTTCAAGGCGTTGAGGTGGTGCAGTAAGTGCAAGCGTTGATGTGTGTTACTGCCCGCGCGAGTATCCGCCTGCCTGTACCTGCGTTGCAGACAAGCGCGTTGGCGAGTCCGGTGACTCTCATGGTGCTGCCGGTGGCCGCGGGCCCACGGCTCCTACGCCACTTAACAGCACAGACCCGTTCTATCGCGAGTTCCGGGACCTGCCCTTCCACGTTGCCACCCAGAGGTACAGCACGGGCTTGTGTAATGATACGCAAAGGAAAGGATAACGACAGGGCGGGTGCAGGTCCTGGGTGTGCACTGCGCAGGGGATGAAGGATCGTCGATATAACCCAGAGCAGGTGCAGAAATGGCTGTGCGTCCACGCAAGTAGTGCGCATGTGATTTGGACGTGTGGAAAGTCGGAGGCTAAGGCGATGTCATTGTGTCGGCTGTGAGAGTCTGGGTGCACCGAAGCTGTACTTACCGAGCTGTTGGACCGTTTCACACACGCATACGCAGGCTGCAGCAGTATGCGCGAGACGCCCGGCGGGAGTACAGCGAGCTCGGGAGCAAGGACCTCAGCGTGCTCAAGAGCTTTGTCAAGGGACTGCCTAAACTTGAAATGCTGGACCGCCTATCGGATGTGGCTACTCCGCCAGCGGACCGGGTAAGCATGGCCGTAGAAATGGATATGGGGGCGTGGCATGGGATGGGATTTGTCAGCTTGAGAGGTGCGTGTCCGTGAGTTTGTAGGTTTGTGGCGTGTGCTTCAAGTTTCATGCTAGAGTTCCATGAATGAAGAGGGTGCTGTGCATGGAATTGTGCCAGTTGGGCTACAACATCAATGCGAATTCCTCGGTTGCTTCTCGTGCTTGGGATACCTGCTATACGTACGAACAGATTCCGTTCACATGAACAGTTCCTGTTGCCCCATTGGGGAACTAATGGAATCCACTTGTTGAGCACGTACTGCTTAGTTTCTATTGTGACGTGGTATTGCAACACCGGCCGGCTGACACAGCATATGGGCCAAAGGATGCGGGGTTCTCCATGACCTCTGTTGGCCTTGCAAAAGTGCGTTGCTGCAGCGGATCTGCTCCGCGCCGATTGGATGCTTGAAATTGCTGCCAACTTCTACAGTTGGTATGCCACCTGGCAAGGTCATGCTTTACCCCTGGTTACAAACTGCGACAGGTGAAGCAGCAGCCCTTCCATGACCGGCTGAATCAGGAGCAGGCGATGGTGGAGGGTTACGAGCCAGAGGCAAGCGTGGCGTTCATAGAGGTAGGTTCTAGCGTCTACGCACCATTTTCTTGTTCCTCATCCTCCTATAAAACCTGGCTTCCCCAGCTAACAACTCCAACCCTGCACCGCACAACGGTTTCTTCGCCTTTAACCAGTGGCTGGGTAGTTCATCGGTCAGACCGGCATCAAGTAGACAGGCTGGGAACACCCCTTCATCCCAGCCGCCGGGCCATCGCTGCATTCCGCTGCATGCACGCATCCTTGTGCATGTGGAAGTTGCGCAACAGGCTGTTGGCCCGAGGAACATGACGATGGTGACGTCATTGGGCCCTGCGAGGTTTTGGTTATTGTCCGGCCCAGCACTAACTTCTAAGCTAATTAGGCAGTACCTCCCGCGCATGTATATCCCGTCAGACTCATTTCCTGTGACAGCTCATCCATATCAAAACCTAAAATCCTAGGTTCCCACATCGATTACCCACACAGAGGTAACTTCATTCCATTACAAAGAACATCCATCGTGATGTTGCACTGATCCTACTGACCGGGTGGACCGTACCTGGTAGGTATTGGGTCCGACAGAGGGCCACCGGCAAAGGTAGATAAACACGACGGGCATGCGCAGCCGCCAAGCGTACGATGCAGACGCGGGTTAATGATGGTGGCCCCACATCAGTAACGCTGATGAAGCAGGGAGCATGTAAGCAGCCAATACAAACCGGCTCTCGGCGCATTATCGCCAGCTTCCTTGCACAGTCGGCCAGCCTCGCGGGGCAATCCAAGTTTCTACTCTCCTACCGCAGGAGCTCATGTACCGTGGGGCCGACATGGTGGATGTGCTCCGGTTGCTGGTGCTGCTTAGCGTTGTCGGGGGCGGGCTTCCGCGCCGGCAGCTGGACTCCTTGCGGATGGAGGTGCTGCATAGCTACGGCCACCAGCACCTGCTCACTCTAAACGCCTTGGAAAAGTCAGGTGGGAAAACAGGCATCTGCCAGGAGGGATGACGGGTGTGCACAATGCGGAATGGACATACAGGTCTGTGAGCGGTGGGAAGGGTGAGGTAGTTGGGGCAGATGGCGTAGGACGGACACATAGGACAATTAGGCTGGCGGCGCGATCCATGTAAGGCGTGCTACTTGTGTCCCCTAACGCCGGCTTACGGATGCCGGCCGTTCGTCTTTCCGCTCGTGCCTTAAAGTGGGGCGATGTTAGCAGTGGCGTAACAAAAGATTTACGCATTATGGCACAACGCTCTGTTAGCTTTTTGGTTGTCGTCGATATCTGACTGGATACGCATCACGCCATGGTAAGCAGGATCTGAGCAGGGGTTCGCTCATGGGGTTGTTTCGTTTTGCAGGCCTGCTGAAGGCTGCATCTGGCGCAAAAAGCCACTTTCCTTCAGTGCGCAAGGCGCTGCAGCTCATCGTACCGGAGCAGGAAGGGCCCGCAGGCGCCGCAGCTGTGAACGTGCCCAGCGACGTGTCGCATCTGTACAAGGGCTACGCGCCGCTAAGTATCCGCCTGGTGGAGACTGCTCTTCGGTGGGTGCGGCCAACGGTGACAAGGGAAGGGGTACCAGATGAGCTGGGGTTAGGAAGCCTAGTGCTGCTGGCTCCGGAATCCAGGTTAGGGGTCGCATGCCGCCAAAGGATTGCAGCAAGCTTAATATCGAGATACTATGGACCCAATCCGTAGTAAACCATTCGACAGTACCTCCTGGACTGTTCCGTATGAGCAAGGAGGCTGCAGATGAATATCCGTGAGCTCATGTGATTTGGTGTTGCTCGCTAAGTGTGTACGTTGCAATGCCTAACGAAACCTGCCTGTTGCTTTTCTTGCCTCGCCGCACCCCGGATGCCTCCACACTGGCCCTTCAGGACCGGCTGGGGCCCGTTGCAGGAGGTGCTGGTGCATCTCCCTGGCAACTCGTTCGATGTGATGCAGACGGTAGACAGCAACGGCATGCCTGTGGAGAAGCCGTTCAAGGCTGGCGCAAATGGGTCTTCGGGAATATTGCCGAGTTCGGGGCTGGGCACGGCTGCCAGCGGCGGCGGCGGTGGCGCAGGTGTATCGGTGTCCTTACAAGGATCGGGGTCGCTGGGTGCTGGCGTAACAGGCACGGCGGGTGTGGGTGCCGCCGCTGGAGCTCAGCATGCAGAGACGGTCCTGGTGGTATTCATTGGAGGGGTCACTTTCGCCGAGATCTCAGCGCTGCGGTTTCTCAGCTCACGGCCCGAGTGGCCTTACAAATTCTTGGTCCTGACCACCAAAATTGTCAACGGGCGCACCTTGTTGCAAACGTTCGTCGACCCTCTTGCGAACGAGTTTTCGGCTTCTGGATAGGCGTATGCCTTCGCTTCCAACGCTTTTGCAGGAGGGCCAGGGGAGCACAGGCTTACATGGGCGAGCCGCCCATTAAGGGCAGCCGCGGTATTTAACAGCCCTGCACAGGAGAGCAGCGCAAGAGTGATAATCGGTCGATGACTCAGGCTGATGCTTTTCGAGCTGCGAGGGCAGCCTGCAGACCTGAAGTTACGATGAGGTTGAACAGCGCAACAAGTACACCGCCGTTGGGAACCGTGCATGCTGGCCTTGAGAGGTGGAGATTCGCGCACTTTGTTTCAGTCCCAGATATGTCTGGAAGATGTTCCCGATGAAGTTGAATGTCGTACAGACTGCATGCGTGTTGCATACGTGTGTAAGTTCTTGCCAAAAGGTTTGCATCCTTCGTGACTTCTCGCTGTTCATGACCTCACAGCCGGCGTTATTTGATTTCTTGCCCCGCAAGGGCCTGCACAACGAGGACCAAGGGCTCGTCGTGTTTCGCCAATGTTCATCCCGATTGCATACGTGGCCGTGTCTACCCAATCCTTTCCAACAGCTGCTTGGATAACAGGAATGTAAGAAATCTCATGCCGCGCATGCCGGAGGCCGGCTGGGGGAGGTAGGCTGTGGTATGCCGCCAGCTGGAACAAAGCAAAGAATCAAGGCTTTTCTATCGCGAATCGTCATCGAGACATGGCCTGGGAAGCCTAGCGCGCAGGGTTTTGATAGCACTCTTCTGTCCGAAGGCACCAATCTGTATCATGCACCAGCGCCGAAACCGGAAGCCGTACGAACAATGTGTCTTTGTGGTTTGTGCGATTGCCCAAGTGAACAGATGAATTAATACACCTTCTTGTAAACGTATGTTAACGTTTTAAATAGATTCTATGTAAGAAGGCCAAGTGTATTGCCTGTAATTGCGTGCACATCTCGTATTTGTTCGGCGCCCAACTTCGGCGATGCCTCCGATGGCATCGTTTCCTTCAAAGATATAAGTGTACAGCGTGCCTTGAGTGAATACGCAACGCCAGTATGTCGACAGGGCAGGGCGGAGGTCACCTGGACCAATCCTTTTTCCGCATAGCTACAGAGTGTGCTGGCGTATTAAAAGACTTTTGCCGTGGGCAACGGTAAGTTGCGAACGGATGTAAGAGACGCTTTGCCTCCAAACGCCCCATTCGCCCTGCGTGAAAGGGTGGCATTGGGCTGCTGTTTGCAGGGCAAAAGCGAAAAAGGCACTCCAGCGTCTTGCACAGGATCATCCAAACAGCTTTTTGCCACACAGATACCTGGTGCGGGGAGCGCGTTGTGCTTTTTGTGGCGGCCCCTTACGTGTCTGTTTGCTTTTTGTGTGATAATTTGTTTCGATACGCGTTATTTCGGCCCCTGAAACTAATTATTTCGCAAAAGGAGGTGGATGTGGGTTGGCAGGTCCCATGGCATTGTAGGCTAGCAGCGAGGGTGAGCTCTGCTGCGTGTCCTTGCACGCAGGCCCGGTTGTTATATCACGAAAGTGCTCGTGTAGAGGCAGATCAGCAGGTTTCCTGCGGGACGCTGCCGTCCCATAGGCGGCTCGCTCTGCTCCATTCCGCTTTGTTGGAAGCGAAACAGGTATGTCCAGGGCAGAACATAAATTTACCTGGTTGGATTTCATCGCAGTTTTCCCCTCCAATTTATTACTTCTTTGGGGGCTGCTTACTGGCTGTTTGCTGTCGCACACAACGTTTCCACCAGGCGTCGGAGCTTGCGCCCGGCTCGCTCAGTAGCGCTGCGCTGCGTGCCACCCTGCTCGTCAACCTACTGGTTGAGGAATCAGCTCTGCAGGGTGGGCTCGCTAAACCGCAAGAGGAGCCGCTGCAGCCTAGCGACCAAGTGGCATTGGACACGTTCACAGAGCTTTCTGGGTCTGGGTCGTCGGCAGCCCCTGGATCCGGTGACGTGGCGTGGTACCAGCTACAGCCCGAGGCGCGCTGCGAAGCTATAAAGCGGGAGTTCCGCGAGGCAATAGCTCACTGCGTGCGTACGCTGGAATGCAATACGCCACTGCTGGTGGAGCCGGTCATTACGATATCAGATGCACACGCTAGGACGTGTGACCCTTGCTGCCTGGTGAGCTCTTGGGCACTCAGGCACCTACACACGGAGGGTGGTGGTATGATGGTATGAGGTGATATGTAATGAGGGCCCTATGCAACCACGTTTGCACCTTGCAAGGTTTATCCTGTTTTAAATTGTAGCACTCACGCAATAATGTGCTATCTGGCGCCCACTTTGATATGGCTCATGCAGAGGGTCCAAGACAGTATCGTGGAGTGGGTTAAACAGGATAACTGGCAACGAATTGTGGCGGAGAAGCGCAGCGTGCTTGCATGCATGCACCAAGTGCTTGAGAGCTGCCATACGCTGCTGGATAGCACCCATATTCCTGTGGATGGCATAGTGCGCCTCCTGCAGCACATCTTGAGGTACGTGAAGTATTGGGGGCTGTGCTTTGCGTGGCCTGGCTGGTATACCCACGTGTGTACGTCTCAAAGCGAGAGTGAGCTTGAAGTGCGGCAAAGCCGTGACTGTATATTGTTAATATGAGTCGGTGAGTACAAGCACATGCATCGAGTTGTCGTTCCCGTATCTCTAAGCCGGCAGACGAAGTCGTGTCGATGCTCTGGATGCTAACAGGCCGCATCAGCAGGACCTGCAGCTCTGGGCCAGCCAACTGCTGCTGAGCAAGGGGAGTGTTGACGACCTGCAGCACAAGTTTGAGACTCAGGCAGCGGTAACCGAGTTGCTCCGCATGCTTCGCCCGGGCCGTCCGAGTGAGGAACTGACGGCTGGTGTCGGCGCATCTCAGCCTGGGCTGACACAGCTTTGCCCAGCGGCCGTCCAAATGCACGCTTCGGCAAGCGCTGCTCTGCCACAGGCACAGATACAGCAGACGCAGCAGCAGCCGATGGTAGCTAGCGTCTCAGGTCAGGTAGCTGCCGCACCTGCTGAGGTGGTAATGGCGGGCCGGGTTGGGTCAGGAACCGCGAACTCTCAACCGCTACCACCGCCGCCTCAGCAGGAGCTTGCAGCTTGCTTGTCAGCTGAGCAGGAGTGGGATGAGGTGCGAGAAGGCATCACTATGCCCTCCGTAGGCGCAGGTGTTGCAGGTGCCGGTTCCGGCGGCCGAAGGGCCGGGGGCAAGGTGAAGAACAAGACAAAGGGCAATGACGCAGCGCGGGGCACCCGGAAGGAGCGTAGCCGCTACGAGCGGTACATGGACGTAGAAACCTTCTGGCGTACGACGTCGCCAGAACAGCGGCGGGAGCTGCTGAAGGTGCCCATGGCTGCATTGCTGAAAGGTTAGGCCATCGTCTTGGCTTCGGTCGACTTGGTGTCGGCGTTGTTGCAGCTGCTAACGATTATTTAGTGATACCATAAAAGCACATCTTCGTTTGATGGGTTCCGTTCAGAGCACATGTACCACCCTATGGGAATGTGGCGTTCAACTTACTTAGGGTAATTGAAGTGTAGATTGTTAGGAAAGGGGCTGCCACTTGAGTATGCTGCAATTTAAGGAGGGTACCGTCCCTGCCCTGGTGTTTCGCAATTTTAACTTCCCAGGGGTACGCCGCGAGCAAGGAAACGATGCAGTCGACGAGCTAATCGAGGGTCTAGTCCTCTTGCGGGAGCAGGGCAACCGAGCGGCGTGCTATTGGTTGTGCCCGGTCTGCGAGCAAAAGTTCCACAGTAGTCGCGACTTCCTGGGCCACGTGGAGATGGTCCACGAGGGCCTCGCAGTGCAGGCAAGGCCGTGCTTCTGTGGCCTCGGGGGTTAGAGCCGTGCTTCTGATAGAATAATTCCTCGTGCAGAGGCGTTCAGATTCGGTGACAAGCGCTGGGTGGTGTTAATGGCATAGTGACGCTAGAATTTCAGGTTGCAGTGGCGGTGTTGGAACGTGATTGGGTAGAAATCTGAAGTTCGCGGACAAAAGTGGGTATGGCAGTGTCCTGGATATCAGGAACTACTTTATGGTCTCCTTCATAGGATGAGCTCGGGTTATGCTTGTGTTTTGGCAAATTCCTGCAGGACAACAAGTACGTGTGCTGCTATAAGTGCCAACAAGACGTCGTGGGCATGTACTACGCTAGTACACGCACACCGGGGTATAATCTATGCTTTCGATGCTACGCAGCTGATGCTGCGAACGTGAGGTAAGATTCTTGGTGCTTGCGTGGCAGAGGTGTCATGCAGACTTGGGCTGTCGTAAGTGATTAAGAAAATTATGGGTTGTGCATGGAATTGTTGTGGTCTCGACTCCTCACATTAACCGAATTGCATACATTCCCTTGCGATACCCGGCAGCCTTGCATGTATGAGCAACCGTAGGCGTCAGTTATTGGGTCTAATGGCCAGTGGCACGTTCATTCAGGGCGGTCATCAAGAACGGGCATGCTACGCGTTGCTTGATGCTGTAGTGAGGAGAGATTCCTGGATTGATGACGTTACAACACCCTCCCGTTCGACTTGGTTGACACAGCGCGCCTGAAGCGTTTGAAAAGGTGTTTATGCGCCATTCCGCCAGCCGGCCCTGGTCATCGCACAGCGACTTCATGAGCACGCGCGGCTCGTTCAGCTCCCTCAGCGAGCGTTCGCACCGTCATCATCATCACCAACAACAACATCAGCAACAACAGCAGGTGCTGGGTATGCAGAAACTGCATCAGTCAGGCGGGGCGGTAGCAGTGGGGCCGGCTGGCCACGTGCATTCGGCGGCCTGTCGTCACCATCCGAACTGTCCGCACCACAGCCATGCACAAGGCCAGGGGCAGCAGCAGTACGGGTGAGTTTTGACATAAATGTTGTCCTTTCTTGCAGCAAGGCTATGGACAATGTGTAGCGACACCTGCCTGGATATGAGGGCACTCGCTCAGTGTCATGCCGAATGGCGTGTGCTTTTGTGGCACATGTGCACTTGTCGCTTCATAGGGCTTTGCATGCACACGCATGCATTGTAGGAGACATTAGGGAATATTTCCTGACGCCGTGTTGTGGCAGGTGGAATGCCGCCACCTGCTGCGTGCGTGTCGCTGCCGGCTAGAGCGCAGAAAATCATGGGATAAGCGTCTCTTTATTCCTGCGTAAAGCAATTGGGTGGTGATTTGGCACGTGCCAACCTTGGCCAACCGTACCGTTCGCGGTTCTCCCCGCAGCTTGGAGAGCTCCTCGGCGCAGCAACCGCTGAAGTTTGGAGAGGCGTCCGATGAGTGGCTGGCGCCCTTCCCTGCGGCGTCGCTGTCCGCGCCCCTCATGGTGCCCGACCCACGCGCCGGGTTGCCAGTGCCCTCAGGACCGGCCACGTTGCCGCCATCACATGCGCCCGGAACGCGGTTGCGGGGAAAGCGCAGCAGCGGTGGCAGCGATGTAAGCGCCGACAGCATACTTGGCCAGTCTCTACACAGCCGGAGCCTCAGCGAGCCGGCAAACCAGGGGCGGCAAGCGGGCGAGCAAGGGCATGGAGAGGTCGGAACAGGTTCCTCGATGGTTGATGATGGTACGGACGCCGGAGGCGCGGGCAGCAGCTCAGCGACATGGCGGTCCTGGTGGCCGACGCGGCTCATGCAGGGCTGGGCCGGTAAGGGGCAGCAGCAACAAGGGCCAGGGCAGCAGCCACAGCAGCCAGCCCCAGGGTCCTTACCGAGCGTCAACGCTCGGGATAGCGGCCGCCAGGAAGCGAGGCAGCCTAACTTTGACGGTGGGGGGCCGCCTGGTGCACTGCGCTTCACTGCCAAGGCACCGTCGTCTCCCAAATGCGCTAATGATAGCGGTACCGCCGTGCACAATGACGGCGTCTCCCACCCGTTGCTTGCTGCTGGGGGCCTTCTCGCACGCGCGGGCCACGCTGCTGGTGCAACTGAGTTGGTCGGCGTTGATGGTTTTGGAGGTCGGATGAACGGCATGGTTGTTGAGGTCATGACACGGCTGCGGGAGATATATCTAACGGATCGCGACCTTGGCGACACTACCTTGGGGCACATAACGCAGTTCGTGTACCGCAAGCTAGGTGCAGGAGCCGCGGCCGACGACCTGAACCTAGCGTCCTGCCCACCAGGGCCCCGAGCCGTGTTGCTGGAGTTCCTGTCGCAGCCCTCCATAGTGTTTCAAAGGCCTCAAGCGCTGGCTGTGGTTCTGGGCCTGTTGCCTCTGGCGGACCTTCAAATAGTTGCCGCATACGCTGTCCGCCAGCACGAGAATGCTGTGAGTGGCATGGAGGCGGCAGCGCGTGATATCGCCGCAGGAAGTGACGAGGACGGAAATGGAGCACAGGAGGAGGAGGACGAGTGCGATGGCACTGGCGGTGGCGTCGGGGGTTCTGGAAGCGAGCAGGAATATCAACTTGACCTCGCGGCACGGCTGGAAGCGGCCAGGGTGGCTGCCGCGGAGGCGGCCGTTGCGTCGCACTTGGCCGCACCAATGCCGCGGGCACGGCGACGGCTACGTTACACGAGTCGTCGAGCGCCGGCTGGGGCCACCGCTGCGCAGCAGAGCTCAGCTAGCCTGCCACCATCATCATCCGCTTCGCAATGTGCCGCAGTACAGTCACAGCTTCAGCAACAGCACAACAATACAGGGCCCGGGACGCCGCCCCTACCACCGCATGCTTGCGGCAGCTTGCACATTGGTGGCAGCCACGCGCTGTCCTTGAACCGGGTTAACGATGATGCCAGTGCGGAAGAGGTATCGGAAGAGGAGATGGAGTCGGCCGTGGACGGCGTCGAGTACACTTTGGGCCCCGACGGCGAGGCCCTGCGTGGCATGTCGCCTCACCATTCTGTTGCCACGGCGGACGCAACGATGTCCCGCTCCCATCAACATCAACTTGAGCAGCTACGTCACGCAGGCGGCGGGGGTGTGCATCTAGTGACTGGGGCCGGTGCAGGTGTGAATGCCATTCTCTGCGACGACGAGCGTAGTATGGAAGGCTCGCTGGTTGAGGATGGCGACGAGGAGGTCTCTGAAGATGTTGAGGGGGCTGAAGAGGAGTTGTCCGAAGAAGAAGACGGCGTAAGCCTTGTCCCTGACGACGAGGACGAGGAAGAAGACGGGCCTTGCGTGTCCCTCTTTAACGTCGCGGGTGATGTGGAACTTGGCTTTGACCGCCTCATCACGCAGATGTGGGGTGGTGGCGCAGAGAACGACGATGCTGCTGTAGCCACGCTTGATCAGCAGACGACAAACACTGGTAACGCCTCCACCTCAGGGCATGGCGGCTCGGGGGGCAACAGCAGCAATCGCAACCGCAGCCAGCAGCAAGGCAACCGTGGCGGACGAAATCAGCAGCAGGGCAGGCAACAGTCGCCCACGTCGCGCAGTGGCGGGGCCAACAGCGCAGCAGCTGCAGTCCCCGGAGGTCCGCTTTCCAGCGTGGTGTGCTCAGCAGGCGCCGTAGGGTTGCCTGACGACCCGGTTCTCGCGGAAGAGCTGGTGGGTCCGCGCGAGGATGAGCCTTACCTTGTGGTGGCCGACTGGTGGCTGCAGCATCTCCGCTTGAACGGCGGTGGTCCGGTGCCCGATGAGTTACGCGTGTTGCGATGGGTCTATGGCAATATTATCAACGTGCAGGCGGAAGAGTTCTGCGCACGACAGCGCGAGCTGCGCGGCGGACGCGATCGTGACACTGCCATTCTGGACCTATACGACGAGGTAGCGGCAGTCTGGCGCAGCCTACAGGCCGTAACGGACAAACGTAGCCGTCTAGAAGCGCTTCGGCGGGCTGCACGCGGCCATTTTGCCGTTGTGCGAAGGCTGGAGGAGGCTGGCGGCCACGCAACCCTAGATCAGGCCACGGAATTCTTGGATGCCGTTCTGTCCGGCTACTGCCAGGGCCAGCAAAGCGGCGCTGCCACAGGGGCTGGCACTACTGCCGGGCCGTGTAGTGATGCGGGCCCCTCTGGGCCACCGGAGCAACCCGGCACGCCCACCACATCAGAGGCGGTTGGTACTGCCGCCGAAGGGCCCGCGTCAGGCACCGGTGCCGCAGTCACAACACCAGCAGCATCTGTCAGCGCCGACACTGCGACGGCCACTGCATCGGGCAGCACTGTAACAGGTCCATCGGGTCCGTTGCTGTACCTATGTGAGCGTGCAGTAGAGGTGGTGAGGCGGCATCCAGCACTGGCGCAGGAACCCAGCCAGAGGTATGCTACAGCACTGCTGGAGCGCGAGCTGTCCGTGCTGGCGCTGGTTGAGGTAATGGTGGCGGCGGAGGCTGAAGATGCGGCGCGCGAAAGGGGTGTTGCGGAGGAGTCGCTGAAACGGCACCGAGCAGAACATCGGGACGCAGAGGCGGAATACCAGCGCGTGCAGGTATGGTGCTGCGGGGTGTCCACGTTAGGAGGATCTGACCGGCACGGGAGGGCACTGTGGCTTCAGCTGTACTGCGTGGCCCTGTTCACCCGACTATGGCTTATTTGTTGGCTGTTGTATGCAGTCCTAAGCGTGCGGCATGTGCATTCACTTCCCCTATATCGGTTGACGGTGCTGTGTAAGTTTTACTGTACGGAAAACACGGTCCTTTCTGCTTGCTTTATGATCCGCTTGATGATAAACCATCCGATTTGTTTGCCCCTCTATGGTCGCAGGCTGAGGGTCCCGCAAGCCATCGTAAAAAAGACCTCCTGGACAAGGCGACTAAGGAAGCCGAGCACCGTGAACAGTTACGCGAGTTGGCCGCTCGTTTGGCATCGCTGTCGGATAGCATTGCGGCGGATGAGGGCAATAAAACAAGATACGCCGAGAAGTGAGTGCGAAAGCTGTTGGGATTATGACGGTTGCCCCTATAGAGGTGTTCCTACCTAGAGGCCATGTTAGGATCCCGCGGTCGCGCACTTGGGCTCCATTGGAGAGTTGTATCAAGCATTAGAGGTCTGTCCCTACGCGCCTGGGTGTTCGCCGTGCATTGCGCATGATGACGACTGGTTCCGCTTGCGCAGTCGAGCCTCCGAAGGCCGGTCGCATGCAGGCTGCACGAGCTGTTGAGGTTTTTGCACGTCGTCATCCCATTCCGCTTTTTATCTGCGGGTATTCTCTGACCGTAGGCAGGACGAGGCTGAGCGTGAGCTGGCCTACGTCCGCGACGCCATTCGCCAAACCAGCGCCCGCCGTGCTTCGTTGCTGGATGTCTGCGCCACCCTGGACGTGCCGTTCGCACCCCCGCCTCCACACCATCCTCGCGCTCACCTGCAGCAGCGGCTGAACCGTAGTGGCCCAGGCGGCGGTGGCTCAGGCGTAGCGCCCGTGGACCAGGTGCCAGTTAATGGGTCGGTGGCCGCGTCGTTTCCACCTTCGGACGCGGATGTGTGCTCCGCAGCAATGGCGCTGGGGCCGCCCTCGGGAGGAGGCTTGGCGGCCGCAGCTGCGGATATGGAGTGGCGCGCCACAAGGCTTGAGTGCCTCATGTACAGGGTGCTGTGGGTTTCAGAGGCCGTAAAGATGTTTCAGCCGCAGTATAACCCCAGGCCGACCACACATCACTACAATCTTTTCATTCGCGCTACCCACTGGGCCAAGCAGCTGAGCGAGGAGTACGAGGAAAGTATCCGTGCGTATTGCTGTGAGCTGGAACGCTTGCGGGCCCGCCTGCGCGATGTTGCTGCTGTGGACTTGGGCTACGAGATTGGGGCGGCTGCGCTGGAGGTGGTTCGCAGGTATGGAGAGGCAGGAAAGGATAGCACATGGACTGCTCCTTAAGTGTGTTCCTTTTCATATCGGTGTTGGAAGACGTATTGAGGGCCGCTGTTCGGCCATGTTCGCATGCAGCGATTCCGGTGCCGGACGAAGAAGTGAGACCTGTCCGCCCTGAAAGTGCTGTGTTATTCGCGAGAGCTGATGAGGAGCGAAGCTGATTGCGTAAGCGGTTATATCGCTCATCCTACAGGCGTATCGAAGCTGCTGCCAGGGCTGCCCGTGAGGCTGCCAGCCTTACGCTGCTGAAGGAGCTGGAGGAGGAGGAAGAACGGCGGAAGGCTGCACTAGCAGCAGCCAAAGATGCCAAGGACGCCGGAGGTGGTGCGGCTGCCAGCAGCTCTAAGAAGGCGGGGGCAAATAAAAAGGCTGCAAAGGCCTCCCAGGACAGCCGAAACCGTGCGCAGAAGGAGAAGGAACGGGAACTGGTGAGAGTTGACTTGATGTGCTTGTTGAGAGTGCTGGTATCTAGCTGACGAAGCTTCTTCGCTTCTGGATGTGTGCTTCATGATAGCTCAAATGTAGTTCCGTTATAACCTACTGCTTTGTTCCCATTAGGATTACTGGCCCTGCGCTGTTATTAATCAGCTCGTTCTCGTTAAACTTTTGGTGTCGTTGCGGCAACCCTTAATCTGCCTCCGCAGGCGCGACAGGTTGAGGAGGAAGCTCGGCGTCGGGCTGAGGAGGAGGACAAGGAGCGCGTGGCTGCAGCCCGGCGGGCTCGCGAGGCTGCCCTGGAGGCGGAGTTGGAGCGCAGACGGCGAGAGCTCGAGGAGCTCGAGGCACAACGAGAGGCAGAAGCCATTCGCGCGGCCCAGGAGGCTAGCCTCCGTGAACAGCAGCTGCGTGAGCAGCGGGAACGAGAGCAGCGGGAAGGGGAGCAACGGGAGCGGGAACTTCGGGAGGAGCAGCGAGAGAAGGCCGAGAAGGCTAGCGCTGCTGCTGTTTTACAAGCGCAAGCCAATGTGCCGGCACTGACGCTCCAGCAGCAACAACCTGCAGCAGCTGGAACGGTCGCGGGCCAGCGCGCAGGCGTGGTACAACCTGCGGCGGGACAGACCACAACTGGAGGCCGTAAGCAGGAAGCTGCGGGCATGCAGCTGCAGATGCATCAGCAGGTGCGCCGGCAAGCTACAACTTCGGAGCATTCACCTGAAAAACAACAGCAACCAAAGCGCAATGCGCCGCATGGGCCGCGCCCACGCGGAACGACGGCCTCTTTGCCTGATAAGAGTGCTGGCGGTAGCATAGAAAGTTTAAGTGATTCACGGCTCATCTCGGTGAGCCCGCAACTGGCGAACGGGTTCCCGTTCGGTGCATCTTCCCGGGCTGGCTTGCCGGGCAAAGCAGGTGGCTCTACGGTGACTGCGAGCAGCCCGGCTTCCCCCCCTCAGGGCGTTGCACAAGCTGTGGTTAGTGTCGGGGTGGCCGCTGCAAAGGCACGGCAGGTTGCAGCAACCCAAGCCTCGTCGCCTCCGCCCAGTAGCTCCGGTTCTACCGGATCGGATTCGGCTGCGGCTGCTGCTGTTGCTGCAGCTACTGCCGGCATTGCGAAGGCAACGCAGAGTGCTGTGGCTACTCCTGGTGGCGCACGGTCTAGCCCAGCGAAGCAGGGCCCTGGGGCTGCGCCTGGCGTCCCGCTAGCAGGAAACAACGCTTCCCGTCGACACCATCAGCAACATATGCAGGTGCAATGTCAACCGTCGAACAACCAGGCAGGCGCCGGTGCCACTGCGGCGCCAGCTGGTGCTGTTCCAGTCGCACCGCTTGCAGCGACTTCCATCGGCTCGGCGTGGGGCTCGTCTAGCGCCGGCCACGGCATGCAGGCACAGCCCCAACCTCAGGCACAGCAGGCAGTTCCTCAGCTGCCTGTGCCTCCGTTGGACGCGGTAAGCCAGGTGTCGGGCACACCCACCGCGGTCCAGGGACCCCTCAGCCCTGGCTCGGAGTTCCCGCCGCTATCCGTAGCGGTTGCTTCTGCCCCCGGTGGACACCGGCAGCCAGTGTCGTCGCCTTCGCAGCCGCTGCAGCCGCTGCAGGCGTCGCAGCAACAGTTGAGCAGTTTTATGTCCTCTCAGCAGATGCAAATGCAGCTTCATGCGCAGGCCCAGGCCCAGCCGAATTCGAAGGCGCAGGCACAAATGCACGCACAGACACAAGGGCGCGCACGCATGATGACATTTACGCAAGGTCCTGGTGCGGTGCCCGCGGCTGCTTCGGCCATCCAGCAGCCTCTACCGCCGCACATTGAGGTGGCAATCCTGCCTTCTGAGCACTTACATGCCCAGATGCTGGAGCAGCAGTTTCATCCGAGCGTGCAGCAGCAGTACCGGCAGCAACTGCAGCAGCTGCAACAGCAGCAACCCCCACTACTACAGCAGTCGCAACAGCAAGCCAAGCAACAGGTTCCGACACCGCAACAGCAGCCTTCAAATCCACCACTGCAACCGGTGCCATCATCGCAGTTGCAGCAGCAACAACTTCCGCAACCTCCGCCACAGCAGCTGCAGGGATCACCGGCTGCAGCGGTGCCGTCGCAAACGCTTTCTAGGCATGCCGCAGTGGATGGCGTGTCTGTCCCGGATTTTAACCCTTTTGCCGAGAATCCTGTTTTCAAGGCGCTGGCAATGGACGCCAAGGCACCTCAACCCGCCTCACCCAGTGGCGCTGCTGTGCCTGTAGCACTGGCTGGTGCAGCTGGCCAAGGCCCATCCCAGCAGGTGCAGTTGCAACAAGGCGCGCCTCGGGCGCCGTCACAGCTGCCATCCGTGCAGCCGCACCCTGATGCGCTGCTGGCGGGAATACCGGGCTCACAGTCGGGTTCAGCGGTACCGAATCCAGAAGCTGACACGCACATTAAATCAATTATGTCTATTTTGGACCAGGATGGGCAGAGCCCGTCTGCTGGCTCTGGTCTGAGCGCTGGTATGTCACATCAAGGAACGGGTCCGGGAGCTAGAGCATCGCCCGGGGGTACGAGCCGCTCTACACAAAGTGGCCAGGCATCGCAAACGCCGACGGCAAACAGCAGCCCGCAGCGCGCACTCATGCCGCCGGCTCCACCTCCGGGGCCCCCGGCATTGTTGTACGGCAACCCTTATGGGATGGCTGGCGCTGCGGGTGGACCTCCCTTGCTGCTTCCTGGCACGGATGGATCACCGGGCGCTGGTGGAAGTGTGGGCCGAATGGCCACGGTGGCGTCTCCTTCGGCTGCATCCCGTTCACATGTAGTCGCGCAGGTTGGCGTGCTGCCGAACGGATCTTCGATGGGGCTATGTGGTGTGGGTGGAAATACGCTGACTCCATCAGCTATGGGGAACCCATCGGATGGCCTAGGGAACTCGGCCGGAGGGGCCCAGCCTGGTGTTCTTGCTGGCCTGCCCACCGGCGCGGCCTTCAGCAGCGCTATTTGGCGGCCTGGTAGCGAGCAGTTGGCCCCTGGTTCGCAGCTTCCTATGGGCATGCTTGGGCTGGGCCTTGGCCTGGGATGCATTGGCGCTGGGCCGAACACTTGGGGAAGTGTAGGGTTGAACAATGCCACGGCGAACATGCCAACCGGCATCCCGCGTTCCAGCTCAGCTGTGATGGCCTCACCACGGCAAGTCAGCAACGGCGGAACCGGCGAATGGGGCGGCAGTCCGGTTAGTGTAACCTCTGCCGGAGTCGCAACAGCAAGCGCTACTGCAGCTGGTGCTGGCCGTGACAATGGCATGACGCTTCCCGATTCGGTGGATACGCTGGTGGCATCGCTCCCCTCCTCGTTACTGCCGGGTAACCTGGACTCTGAGCCGGCTCCTCCTCGCAGCCCTGGAGTTGCAGCAGCGGTCGCAACGTCGGGCCTAGCGCCGACTGCGGCTCCCTTCTATCCTGCCAGCTTACGAGGCAAGGTCAGTCACCCTGCTGGCGGCGGCGTTGCTGGTGGTGGCATGGGCAACGGAAGTATGATTCAGCAGCAACAGCTTGGAGGCAGTGCAGGGATGGGCATAGGGATGGGGATGGGGATGGGGATGGGGATGGGGGCGATGGGCTTGGCAGCAATGTCTGGTGATAATGCAGCGGTGTGGATGAGTGGGATAGTTTCTGTGCCTGGTAAACAGAGCGCCGCAGCAGGCGCTGTGGCCGGCGCTGCGGCTGCCGCCGCCGCCGCTGCTGTGACGGCGGCGGGCAACGGGCTAGTTACGCAGGGACAGCACACGGGGCAGCAGCAGCTCAGCGGCTCCGCTGGTATGGCCGCTCTGCCGGGGGTTATGTGTCCGGGAGGTATACGCTACATGGGGCTTTATAATGGGGATGGCGTCAACTGGTCCCATGGTGGGATGATGCCCACGCCGGGGGTAATGGTGAGCGCGCCGGGGATCCCGGCGGCCATGCGGGCGACGAGCAGTACTTGGGCACCGTTCGTGCCGCCAGCTGGAGGCATCGCACCTAACCAGCAACAGTTCGTTCAGCAGGCAACGCAGCAGCAGCAGGCGCAGCAGCAGCCACAACAGTTGGCAGGATGGCCGCGTGGACAACGCTGGCGTAATTAGGCTTGTGCAGTACAGATTTAGGTGGCTGTGGGGAGCGGAGGCATCGTTATCGTGTGGGATGGCGTTGGTTAAGACTTGTGGGGTCATTGGGCTGCAAGGATACTTGGGTTGGGGCTTGTAACTGTCCTCTTAATCGCATACGGCCTAGGTTTGTCGTTTGGACGCCATGATACCGTACATTGTACGGCGTGGAACCTGGCACACGCAGGATTTGGGATCTTCCTATCTGGAAGTTTGTACAGGATTATCAATGTTTGCATCTTGGAAATAATGCTTGTAATGTCCATTAAGCCCATGTGCATCTTCCTTGAAGACGTATAGATTATCTGAAGGCCTCAATTTATTCTTTCTTAGCCACAAGTGACAAGCCTGTAGTGGCAGCGTTGCCTTGCACTTCACCTTGTAATTAACTGTCCACTATTTAGGATACTCACGGTACAAGTTAGTCCAACAACATATGATGGCAACCTCGGCAATGCTGCGTTTGATGACTGATCTAAAGGCAATCAAATCTGAGCCACCGGAGGTGCTTAAAAAAGACTGTGCGCGGCGTTATGTACACGATGTATGATGCTCAATCTTTTCGTGGACCTGGGCAGGGCTGCAGTGCAAGCCCAGTGGATGAGAGCAACCTCATGGTTTGGCAAGCGACAGTGTCTGGTCCAGATGAGACGGAGTGGGAAGTAAGTCCATCGGCAAACCCTTGTATTATTTGTTGCATTACGTTTCCTTAACCGCGGCCCTAAGCGTGGCTTTTTCATTTTTTAGGGTGGCATTTTCAGCCTGCGCTTCACGTTCAGTGGTATGAAGGGGACTGACGTCCGCAGCAGGGCTCAACCTTGGTTGTCTTGCTTGAACGCGAACTTTGACTAGCACTAAGGATTTGGGCTGAAACTGGGATTAGAGGTATGCCGCTATGGAGCTAGGGACTGTAGGGGCCCGCGTTCCGATTTTTATGACGAACGCCATGACGAGGACGCGCGGCTGAGGCTTCATTCAGCGTGCAAGTGCTACAGCGGTGGCATGCTTAGAAACCGTTTTAGGGTTGAAACCTTTTTGGTGTATTCGTTCCATCCCTGCTGTGCCAAGCACAGAGCGCTATCCAGACAAACCACCACGATGCCGGTTCACGTCTGACATGTTCCATCCGGTGAGTGCTTGCTGTTCCGCTCCTCGATGCAACACTTAGCATTGTCACCGTAGATAAGGAGATGGGATGCAGCGGGCCACATCACAGTCCACCATGCCTTACACATGCCCAACATGTCTTCATCGCCCACGTGGGTGGCCCCGGGAATCCCGACATTGTGTTTCTAAGAGGGTACGTGCTCTTGTTCCGCATTTCTCCTCCGGTCTCCATGCGCAATGCAGAATGTTTACCAAGACGGATCGCTCTGCATGGACGTGCTTCAGGTACGCGGATCCGGGGGGGGGGGGGTGAAAGTTGGTAGGGCGGTGCAGCTTGGACAGCCCGGCTCTTCAGTCGGGTCCGAGTCCGCTCACGGCTGTTTGGTGGTTATGTGCCACGGTTAAATGCACAGCCCGAGATCTGCACTGCAGGGCTCGTCGGCCGACCAATGGGTTCGGCCATGTGCCTGGTGACCGTTTCAAGAGATTTGCATAACGCATAGAGACCGCAGGAACGCAGGTACCTGCAATGACAAAATTCTATGGCTAAGGGCAACACCCAATCCTACATTTCACGCCCCACATATTCATACACACCGGGGCATTTGTTACTGAGAACACCATTGGGAAGGCACTGAGGTACGAAAGGAATATGGAAAAGAAGTAGACATGCGAAACCGAGTATCTCTTCCTCACAATCCGTGCACACCGGCATCAGGGATGGATGCAGAACACCCTGGACAGCATACTCAAAAGCATACAAAGCGTAAGGAACGATTACCCTGTCTATGTTTTTATGCCCCGTGTAGGACCAGTGGTCTCCCTGCCACAACGTGTCTACTCTCCTGACGTCCATCCAGTCGTTGTTGACGGATCCAAACTGCTCTAGCCCGGCTAACCCGGAAGCTGCAAACCTTTACCTCAACGACCGGGCTGCGTACAAGAAGTAAGCTTATGTCTGCCTTGGTCTATGCATGATGATAAAAGTTTGGCAGAACTAACTACGCATATTTATTGTTATCATGGGAACTTCTATGGTGCTCATGCTTTTGCGGCAGAAGGAGCGCGAATCGATACAGCTTCCTTATGCGTTCTGGCCTTATTGAGAGGAAGAGATTTGCGTCAGTAGGCTATAGAGATGCAGGCGGATGTGTTTACGTTCCATCAACATCTATACTTGCTCTTCCCGTGCAGGCGTGTGCGGCGCATTGCCCAGAAGAGTTTGGAAAACTGCTGAGCTGCAGCTGTTCCGGGGTAGGGTTTTAAGCGTTTCCCTTTTTCGCAAAGAGTCGGTTATTTGATTTGCATGATGATCGCACGGATGCGTATTGTGTGGTGCCTCTTTTCTGCATTCCAGCTTCCCGAGGTTTGTAGCATGCGATGCTATTTTCCACGGCACTGTATCATAGGAAAAAAACTGCAGGTTGCATCATATGTCGTGTACGACACGTGGGCGGAGCAGACAGCTGTGGGCTGCACGTCACCCGGACAGAGTTATACCGTGAACACGGTGCAACCGTATATACTATTTTCATGGGTAACCTGCTGACGGTATGCGGGTGTCCCCGAATGTCCTTAGGTTGTTCCGGTATAATCGTGTTCCGTAACGACATGCACTGTTTGAACCGGGAAATGAAGTGGCTTGGGCAGGTTGCATCGCTCATGCGCATGTGTTCTATCACTCAATAGATTTACAGGAGAGTCCATTTGCATTGCGCCTGGGTATGGATAGGGAGTTGTTTACTTAAACGGTACCAATATAATAATCGGCTGTAGTGCGTATTACGATTGGCCGGCTCTGCCATAGCATGCTGTTAATGGTCATGTCCAGAAGCCAGTAACTACAGTATGAAATTGTACGTGATTGCTGCTTTCCCTTCGGGTGGCAATGGGAGCCTGAAACATCTGCGAAAGGTGCAGCCCCGGTACCAATAATCTGTTTCCATATTATCTGTTTCCATATTATAATAGACTCCCACGTTACTGGAAACAGCAGGAGTCACGGAGGAGTTTGGGGCTAAGGTCCCACATTCGGATAAGCTCTGCCTAATCAAACTGAGGCTCAGATGTCCCTAGCACCACGAAGAGGGCTGCGGATGCCAGGCAGCAGCCTGCTATAAGCTCAAAAACCAATGCCCATGATTGCGTCCGGTCCAAGATCACGCCCACTGCGTAAACAAAAATGCTTCCCGCCAGACTTGCAGACGCATTGGTAGTGCCGAAGAGGACGCTGCAGTTGGAAACGGGCAATTAGGGGGCGCGCCGTGCGGTCAAGTGCAGGTTGTATCGCTGCGGCAATACATTCCCATGTCGTACATTGAGCTGCTAAGTCGGCAGCTATCTCAGCATCTGGAACGCAGCCGAGCAACGAGCTCACCTGGCGAGACGAGTAGCGATGTCCTGATGTGTGGATGCGAAGCCGCCGGCTTGGAATCCCAAGAACGCCATCGTCAGTACCAGGAGCACGACAGCGTTTGTCAGCGGTTGCTGCTGCGACGCCCCTGCTGCTTCATGTCCGATCGGCGACCCCCATGCGAGGTACAGCAGGCATATCGCCGGTCCGGCACTTCCCACAATCTGTAGGAGCTTACGCGTTCGGCTGGTGCTCAACAGTTTTCGGTTGATCAGGAAGTCCGCAAGCCAGCCAGAAACATTCGTGCCCGCAGCCATCGCCATCCACGGCAATATGGACAGGAAGGAAGAGGAGCGCACGTCCAGGCCGAACTCACTGTTGTAGTAACGGGGCATCCATGATATGGCGGTGTTGTAAATGATGCCTGTCGGGATTGTCAGCACATATTCCATTAAATTAGGTATCACAATCGTCATGCAGGCTCAAATTAATGTAATATGGCGATGACATCCAGTGCTGGATTCCCGGCAGGCAACTGGGAAGGGCCGTAAACAAAATATTTTCCGCATCCATTAGGTAAGCCACGACAACTTAACCCACCAAATGTGGAATGGCACGCCATAAGGGCCCAGAAGACACGATTGCTGAAAATCTGCGAGCCGGACAAGGGGGGAGTAAAACTCATGGTGAAGCTAAGGTTACCACAAGCAGCCCTTCCACGGAAAAACTCAGGTGCCGGTTGATTATGAGCAAGCATGCTAGCATGTTGCGTTTTGCTCGCAATTGCAACCTGACAGATGAGGCGCGTCCTATACACTTCACACCCACCTTGCCCCATGGCAACTGTCTCAAGTGCTGATGGCCCGCAGATTGCGCCCGGTAATCATGCAACATGGGCGGCTCTTTGGAAATGCCTGGCTCCCACATAGCCAGCCATATGAACCCCAATGCACCGTACACATAAAACATAACGTCCACACCTGCGAGCGGCAAAAGGTTTTCAGTGAAATGCAGTAATCCTTTCCTTGAGTAGCATCGACAGAGCAGAGAATGCTGCCTTACACTGCCACTGTCACGGGGACGAACATGGTTATAGGCAAAAGGACATCACGCGTCTCTGGAGGCGCCAGACAGCATGAACGGATCCGAAAGGATTACTGCCCATTAGCCTACGCAAGTGGTCGAGCCAATAGCCAATAGCCAACGGCTATAGCATGACGCTGCCTAACCCCAATAAAGCTACACGACCCACAACTTACCCGTTGACGCAATAAGCAGAGGCGACCAGAGCAGAGATAGAATGCTGCCAACTTGATGACCTGGCAGCCAGTAAGGGTGACGGGGTGTGACAGCATTGCAGATGCTGGCTCGCTGATAGCTCCTACAAGTTGCCGTTAGCCATGCATACGGCATGTTTCTCACCACTATACATGAGGCTCAATGAGCGAGACCTGCGCTCCAAGGGGATCCAACCCTTGATGATAGCCTACGGGCCAGAAACAAAATGCGTTGGTGGTGTAGAGGCATCGCCCCTAATCCTAGGCTTCTTGCCCATTGCCTTCAAACCCTAAATCGCCGTCCCTCAGCCTGAGCTGCACTGTCGAAAGAAAGCATTCACGTGCCATCATGGCACGTGAATGCCGTGGGGCGAACTACCTCGCTGAACTCTCCCAGTCAGAAAGATAACCCGTCGAGGGTGCAATCCGAACGTGTGTTATGAATCGCTGATTGCAGAAACATGCAAACCGCAGTAACAAGCCTAAAGGCAAGAGTAGTCAGGAAAGAAAGCTCAGTGCAGTTCGGTTCAAGAGCACAGAGCCCCTCATGAGGAGTACGCGGCGCTGCCCACATTCCGCACCTGCATTGTCGGATAGGCGACCCCTTCCCCCAGGCCCATACACACACGCACGATGAAGAGGGGCCCAAGACCCAAGGCTGCTGCAGGTGGAGTGAGAAGGGTGAAGGTGCTCCATACCACGACACCAATGCTGAGTACAGCTTTTGGAGAGTAGGAAGCAGCGAGAATGCCGCCATAGAAGTTTGTCAGAGTGTGGCCGAGGTTGAATGCACTGCCCCGACAAGGAAAAAAGGAATGTCACCAATATGCACCAAACAGGCAAACGGGTCAATGATTCGGCAGGTAAAATGGCACCATGTACTCCAACGGGACCATGTACACATTCTCCGTGTGCAAGCAATCCGGCATTTTACAGGCTGCCCGTATCCATCTCCCAGGTTGGTGGAGGGATGGTTTGGGCCATCTGGTCAGTTAGGACACCCAACAAGCACCAACACCGCATTCTCACCTGCTGACAGCGCCTTTAACGGTGTCGCTCCAACCGTACCTGATTCCCATGGGGAGAACGGCGACTATGTACACCGGAAAGGGGGGTTAGGTGGCATATAACGACTATTTAACCCCTTAGCCCTTCATATGCCACCCACCACTCATCGCTGTACGGTCGATAGAGCAAATAACGGCAACCATTCCACAAAGAGCAACAACTGTCAGCCAGCTGGAGCCGACATGGCGTGGCGTCTCATGAGATGGCAATCCAAGCAAGGTCCGTGACTCTGATAATGAGACAAGCCATGATCTCTTTGCCCCAGTGTGCATTCGTCTCGAGGACAGATACATAAACTCTTCAGGTCCTGTTGCTGTCCCAGAGCTGACAATTCAAGTAGCATTGGTAGGGAAAGAAGAGTCCTTCAGGCACCATGAATATTATTCATTACAATCTGATTAAGCCAAACTTGAAAAGGAAAAGTTCACAAATAGATAAAACAGGCATAAACCTTGAGTTGAAAACGTTCAGGGTCAAGTCCAACGTTCGTTGCCGATTAAATAAAAGCACAACACTGAATCCACAGACACTCAATTGGATGTAAATGAACGCATTTGTCGTGAAAATGTCAATTGCCTCCAGCCCCTGCTGTACAACCGCATGAAGTAACCGTGGCCTAAGTCCGTGGAGGGGCAAGAGGCACAATTGACACCTCCATAACAGACGCTTAAAACTTCTTACATTCACGCTCATCTTTCATCCTGTCAGCATGGCATGCGTGCCAGGACGCGGTTTCACAAGTAACAAGAGACGGGGAAACCCAAGCGTGCTCACAGACTCCTGCCTCAAATGTGTTTGAGGTCACATTTAATGTGTTCAGGTGATGTACAGCCAATATGGAAAAACAATGAACCAATAAGACGCATGCAAATAGCAGGCCTGGACCCCAAACACCGCAATCAAGGCGTTTTGACAGGCAATCTGCTGGCAACCCCCGAAAATCACACCTTAAACCACAATCGCGCAAACCCATGCTGGGATAAGGGTCCAAGGTTGAACGATTAGGGCGCCATAGCCACAGCGAACCCCCCCGATATATCCTGAACCCCACCCTGGGTTCATCCTACCCCGACCCCCCGATGCATCTTCTCACCTACCCCATCCCATATCCCCATCCGAATCTTTCCCATCCGCAATTCTCTGCCCGACCCGCCGCCGCATCCTGACAGCTCTACAACCCTCGGAAGCTACAACTCGACACAACCATGTTGTGTTAAGACTGAGCCTCATCAGATCCCATGTTATCCTCATCATCGATCTTTGGTGCCAAGTAGAAGCGAACACTGCCTAACTCGCCGACCTGGTACTCCACAACTATGGGAAGGTCCTTCGTTAGGCTTAGTTTGACCTGCGGTGCCAATGGTGTAGCCTTGCTGAAGTTGTTTAGGTACCGGAGGGCAAACGTCAACGCGACAGGCTCCTTCAGGTCAATGAACGTCTGCTCCTCGGGCTTCTCCGGCGTGGTGTTATGCCTACAGGGATAGGAGAGACCCATTTTGGAGCGCACACATTTGGGATGCCTCCATGACTTAGCTGAAACACCACAAATTTACTGTTGTCGACTTTCCCCTGAACCCCACGTACCGGAGCGTGATGTTCGCTGTGCCGACGTCACCAGAAGTGGAGAACTTAATTCCCTCCTTTGTGGCCGAGATGAGAACCGTGTCACCAATACTGGTGAGGTCACGGACAATTCGCTGATACTCTGAGGAGGGCAGTTTAACCTCCGCAGAATAATCCTGGTCAGGAATCCCCAAGTGCTCGGACTCGATGGACATCAACTTGAGGTCGAAGTCCGAGATGCGATCCTGGCTGGGTGCCTCAAACATCAGGGTTAGCTGGTCCGCATTATCCTCTGCTTTAAGTGTAATGGTGTCCTCATTTCCTGCGACAGCGTAGGCTGCCTTAGACATACAAAACACAAGCTGGTGCCAAATGTGGGCTCATACCTGCACACTTCAGGATCTTTGACAAATTCCCGAAATGAATACCCATAGCCATGTTCCGATCGCAACGGAAATGATCGAATCCGTCTTCGCGCAGCGTAAGCGATACAAGACAAACATGAGACGAATCCATCGCCTGTAGGGAAAGCCCTGTGTTGCTAACATCGAAGTTGCCCTCGGTCACCAGCTCCTTTAGCGCCTCCACGAGCTTCTTCAGCACACTTCCTTGGGTAATCCGCGCCTCGAACATGTTGCTGCACGCGGAAGAAAAGGTAAGCCGTGGCTGTCAGTCGACGGACAACAACACTGCTGTATTCTTCAGCCTGGCCGCATAATGGCCCCCATATTGAGAAATAACTATGAAGGAGCCCAGTTCCTCGTGCTACGCACCATTACCTCACAAAGTTTACTTGTCGAGAGCCAAGAGAAATTTAGATTCCCCTACGGAAAGCTGTAGTGAACTCCAGGAAACAATTTTTTGGTAAAGAAAATAACTGGAATGTGCCGTAAACAACTCGTTCTTTGATGCTGTCGTGTACTAAAATGGCGCCCTTTGCTCAATTTCGTTCCTGGTTTCGGCGCGGAACATTAGTTCAAAAGTTCATGGACTTGCACGTCGACCGAATGATATTTTGGTTAGTAGCAACCTGACCGGAGTCAATGCACTCAGCTTTACAGGCATAAGGCTGCAAATTGTATTCCATTGACCACACCCCTCGATCGGAGGCTCCTTGCTAAGCATCTGCATTTCATCTGCCAATAACTATCGGCATTTGGACGTGATATGTCCGCTAAAATCACTTCACACTTCGTTACCAATTGGAACTCTCACGCCCGTCAGGTAGAATCCAGTTAAAGTCCCGCAAACAGGTTCTGATGTGCCGTTCGCTAATTGCAATAACCGAATCGAGGCTATGCGGCTATTTTTGGTATCGGTTATCCCGGCTGCCCTTCTGAAGAGGCACGTCGACAGCTTGCCGCCGGCGGCAGGACCTGCTTTCGTTGAAAGTATCTCGGATGATATAAGGACGAATTAACGTAATCATCGACGCAAAATCAATAACATGCGAGCAGTTTTAGAGCACAAAGGAAAGTCATCGACGAGTGTAACATTCGGGTTCAGGTTCCCGTGACGTTTATTCGGTCTTTGCAGGTCGGCAGCGACCGGATGTCAAATCAAACGGCAGCGCACAGTTCCGATCATGCTGGACTGTATCCCACTAGCAGTGCGGTTCAAGAAGCCCACAGGCAACTTTTTTGTAAAGGACGTATACGTGCACCATGTGGTATCAGCCGGCCTTTGAGGGAGGTAAATGTAGCCATGTTCCAGGAATATGCGCGGATGCAGCCGACGCAATCATGCATAGGATAAAAGGCTCGTATGGGTAGTTTTACAGGTATGTGGTCAAGCACACCCAACCATGTAACACACACACATGGAAAAACGGTTGAAATCGCTTACGTAAATGTTGTTGTTGTTGTTGTTGTTACATGGTCGTGGGTGCGTTCCCCGTACCTGCAAACCACCCTAGTACGAGCCGAGGGCTCAAGGGCTGCCAAATCGCCTATAAGCACCATCCTACCTCGCACTTCCAACGAAACAAGTAATGAAGTATACTAACGACCAAAGGGAACGATAGAGTTGCGGTGAGACCATATACGTTCCAGCATTCTTGCCAGGCGTCCAGGTTCCCACTTCATAGCGTCCTTCATATGTTCGAAGCGTGGAAAGCCCATGTCAGATCTGATTCCGTCGTAAACCGGACAGTCCAGCAAAATGTGTTTCTCATCCTCGATGTGGCTATCAGTGCCGCAGCAGGGGCATACTCGCTCCTCCCTAGGTATATAACGCCGTCCCTTACGCGCTCTGTTAGCCGCCAGTGCCCAACAACAAAGCCTAAACTGCATAAGCTTGCAATTCGCCGAACGTGGGATAAACATTGTGATGTGCGGGAGCACCTCCTTCCTGCCCGCTTGCTCGGCCGCCAGCCCCATCCAATGCTTATACTTCGCCATGTGAATTCCTGGTTGTTTGCCGTCTGACGGATACACGTCAGGCTGGACATCTAAACGTGTATGCTTCCAACCACTCACTAATCGGTCCTTGAACTCCGAAATCACACCTTCTGGCATTGGCTTGTTCATCAGCCACTCCACTCGTTCGTCTACCTCGTGTAGCCCTTGCGGGGCCTCTTTCCATACATCGTGCCCCAAAAAACATAGAAAACGGAGGAGTAGTGTCCCCCATCCGGGCCCTTCGGGGTTGGAGAGGGATTCTGCGACCTCCTGTCGCAAAACTTGGTATGCCACAGACCCACGCTGTAAACGGACATGGTTCCAAAACCTCACAACCTGCTTGAGAACGTGGTAGTGTAGGGGTAGCTGCGATAGCTCTGCGAACAAGAGGCGGTGTGTTGGTCTGGCAGCTCCTACAATTTGCCGCATGAAAGATATCTGAAGCTGCACTGCCCTGTCCTTTAGGCACGCCTCGAAGGGCCCCTCTGCAAGGTTATTCGCATCACTCCGCTTCCTGAGCCTGTC